TTTGGATTTGATTTAGTTTAGGGTTTTCGTTTCTTGATTTGATTCTACATGAAACTGATGCGATCGATTGGGTTTGGGTTTGGGTTTCTTTCATTTCCTTTTCGCGATTCCGATTTAGGGTTTTCAAGTTTTGTAATCGTTCTTATGTATTTTCTGTAGCAATCGCGAATCTACTCGGAAGCTTGACTCCCCCGTGAGAATCGCCGTCGTCGTCGAGTCAAGGTACTTCTCTATCTGTGTATGTTAGGGTTTCCGTTTTCATGGTGTTTAGTCTGAAATTTTGGTTTTATTTTACTATATTAGATAATGAAATTGAAATTGAACGAGGACAAATGCATATGATCAATTCCCGTTGGTGAAATTCTTTCTGTGTTTAAGCAATTGAGATCGACAAAGTTTTGATATTTTGGAATCAGGATATGTTATACATAAAGGTCCTTAATTTACACATGGTCTTTACTCATATAACAAGAATTCTAATCGTTAGGAACAGAACAAAACTAATTCTAATAATAAATTGATGTGACTCTTGATCTCTTTTATTACTGCAAGTAGCCTTGAATTTTCTTTTGCTAGACTCATACTGAAAATGCGACTACCGTATAACATAAATTAGGATTTGATCTCTTACAGATGATTGTAGATGGTTAAATACGTTCGAATCCTTTTGATTGATTTCTTGTGCTAGCATTTATCACCATTGTCTAAATAAACTTCCTTTGTAGAACTAGGGAATTACAGGCTGAAAGATAGAGATAGAGAAATAAGATTTACTTTCAATTAAAGTGTTGATGAAACAGAGAACTTGAAATCAATTTTAAGATTTGTTTTGTATTCTACGGTTATTCTTTTAGATGTCTCTGACTTTAGCCTCTCTCTCTGTGTGTTTTTGTTTTTCTAACAGTGTCTTGTATGGAGAATTCATGAAGCAACTAAAGAAGCAGCAGCAGCAGACAGATAAGCTCTTTTACTGGTTCACTTGAAGCCCAAAGGATCATAGGCAGGCACTAAAATAATAGTGTTTTTGTCAGATTCTTGTTGGGGACATTGTCCGTCAGTCTATTGGTTGGTTGGTAGTGCATGCCCAAGGAAATGAAATAAAGGGACGGGAGATAAGTTGGTTGGTAGTGCATGCCTAAGGAAATGAAATAAAGGGATGGAAGATAAGACAGACGGTTATAAAAGTCTTCAGAAAAAGAGTAAGAGCTGGGTTTTGACTTGTCGGATGAGATGGAAGGGAAAAAAAAACAACTAACGATTAAAACAAGGGTCTTAAGTCTTAAGGCAAAGACAGATTCCTTAGTTTACTTGTACCCACGGCTGATAAAAAGTCTTAAGGCAAAGACTGTGATCTGGTAACGGAATGGTTACAATACTATTACCCACGGCTTAGAAAAAGTCTTTAGACAGAGACTTTGAATTGGTTTTCCATTTGTTGAATGGAAAACATGACCCACGGCTTAAGTAAAGTCTAAGGACTATAAACCAGTTTTGGTTTGGCTTGTTGGATGAGATAAACGAGCAACAAGTTAAAAACGTCTCTAAGACAGAGAGACTATGAATGGGTTCGGCTTGTTGGATGGGATAAACGATCAACTTAAGAAATTCTTTAAGACAAAGAGACAGACGGTTGTTGGGGACATTGTCCATCAGTCTATTGGTTGGTAGTGCATGCCTAAGCAAATGAAATTAGGGGATGGAAGATAAGACATACGGTCTGAAAAAGTCTTCAGAAAAAGACTATGAGTTGGTTTTTGACTTGTCGGATGTGATGGAAAGGAAAAAAACAACTAACGATCAAAACAAGAGTCTTAAGTCTAAGGCAAAGACAGATTCCTTAGTTTACTTGTACCCACGGCTTGTGAGAAGTCTTAAGGCAAAGGCTGTGAACTGGAAACGGAATGGTTACAATACTATTACCCAAGGCTTAGAAACAGTCTATACAAAAAGACTGAGTTGGATTTTGACTTGTTGGATGAGATGGAAAGGAAAAAAAAAACAACTAACGATCAAAACAAGAGTCTTAAGTCTTAAGGCAAAGACAGATTCCTTAGTTTACATGTACCCACGGCTTGTATAAAGTCTCAAGGCAAAGACTGTGAAGTAGAAACGGAGTGTTTACAATACTATTACCCACGGCTTAGAAAAAGTCTTTAGACAGACTTTGAATTGGTTTTCCATTTGTTGAATGGAAAACATGACCCACGGCTTAAGGACTATAAACTGGTCGGTTTGGCTTGTTGGATGGGAGAAACGACCAACAACTGAAAAAATGTCTTTTAAGACAAAGAGACTATGAATTGGTTTGGCTTGTTGGATGGGATAAACGACCAACAACTTAAAAGGTCTCTAAGACAGAGAGACTATGAATTGGTTTGGCTTGTTGGATGGGATAAACGACCAACAACTTAAAATGGTCTCGAAGACAGAGAGACTATGAATTGGTTTGGCTTGTTGGATGAGATAAACGACCAACAACTTAAAACGGTCTAGAAGACAGAGAGACTATGATTTGGTTCGGCTTGTTGGATGGGATTAACGACCAACAACTTAAAAAAGGTCTTCAAGGCAAAGACTATGAGTTGAAAAAGATTGACTACTACCCACGGCTTACAAAGTCTTTATACAGAGACTAGATAAAATAAAAAAGGACCATCGGCTTAAGGAAAACAGATTCCTTAAGTAAATAACCTCTGTTTAGACAAAGACTAATTTGAGACTAACTATTTCTAATTTCCTCAGGTATGTGCTTCAAAAGGTGTTCAAGTTGTTGTAGACTCCAAGGAGACATCAAATGTAGCAGACTTCTTTGACAGGTATGTGTGTTTTCTCAATATTTTTTGTAAGTTAGTTGATACAACTGTGAAACTCATAAGAAGAAGACACATACGTTGAATAAATACTAAATTTGATTTGTTCAGGTATACACTTTTAAAACTTGACTGTAATTTAACTGAAACTACTTACTGTGATGAATCTCACAATAAGGAGACGCATACGTGCAGTAAAGACTAATTTTGATTTGTTGTGGTATGTGCTTTTTAAACTTGTGTGTAATTTAGTTAATAATTATAAAAATCACAAGTACGAGACACATACGTGAAGTAAAAGACTAATTCTTGTTTTGTTCAGGTATATGCTACAAAAGGTGCTCATATTCTTATGGATTTTTATAGACTTTTCTGCTTCTCAAACAGAGAGACCTCACAGGTATTTTCTTTACTAAATTGATATTATTACATCTGAAAATCAAAAATTAAGTCAAGTTATTGGGAGAGACCTTACATACAAAAATTAAGACTTTTCTGCTTCTCAGACGGAGAAACCTCACAAGTATATCTAAGGCTTATTTTACGAAAAATCTGATCTAAGCCATTTAAATCTTTCTTAAATATATAGATGCCTTGATTATACTACTGTCCTTGGTCTAGAAAGGTAGATTTTATTTTTGGTATTGGAACATTAGATTGTGTGTTTACTATGTGTGTATTAAGAAACCTCTGTCTTGGTTTTCTATATTTGCTTTGGTACTTGTATGTCAGGTTACTCATTTTACGAAATGGATGTATCTTGGTATCTCTTGTAGATATATATCTGCTACTATATCCATTGATAAAATGGTAAAAAACTTCTTTTGGGTACATTGTGTGTTGACAATTTAAGAAATCTCTATCTTTTTCTTTTCTTTTTGCTAGAGATAAATACTTAGTATCTCTCTTTGGTGCTTGTATGTATTGTTAGGTCTTTCATATTGAGAAATAGATGTAATTTGGAGTCTCCTGAAGATATCTAGTTTGAACATATGTGAGGCTCATGCATATTATGGTACTAGTTTCCTTGAATCTTTTGCATTGCGCTCTAAATATTTGGTGATCATTCTTAACATGGGAGATGACATCCTCACATTCTAACACTTGCATCTGTTCGTTTGTTTGTTTATAATTATAATGATTGTTTGTTTGTTTATGATGAACAAATTGAATTTTGATTAGTTTTGTTGTGTGTTAAATTATAAGCTCTGTTTTGTGAACACAGTTCTTGCATTTTGATTGGTGGTTGTGTGTATGCTTATTGTTCATTCTTCGTTAAGACCGACTGTGGTACGGGTGTGATGATACCCATTTTGACTTTTTCTTCTTGGTTCTTGGAATAGTTATTGTGGTAAAATTGATTAACCTCTTCACATATCTATTCTCGTATGTTTATCCTAAATTATACTAAATTAAGGGTCCATCAATGCCTATGCTTGTGTTGCGTTATGGATCTAGTAAGTTGATAATCATTCTAAACATGTGAACTGACATCCTTACAATTCTGAAGTTCTCCATATTCTGAAATTCTGCATCTTACGTTGATGATGATAATTGTGCTAGATTATATGATTTTTTCTCGTTGACTTTAGTTTGTCTAGTAACAATGACTGAAGATATCTCTGTTATGGAAGTATTGTCCATCCATTGGTCTCTTAGTCTTAGATACTCGATGGAGCTTGATCTTTCTTGGTACCCTTTTTTTTTGTATTAGTAACATTTTTCTAGGATTGATGTCAAAAATCAAGAAATTTGCAGTACATAAATTCCAAATTTGTCATCCTCATTGTAGGCATGTGGAATAAGTGCCTTGGTTTTCTATGTTCAGGTCGACTGAATGTTTATTATTTTGTGAACTGCTATAATAGTTGTTAAGACATGGAAGTTTTTTTTTACTTTCTACCTTTATGTACATAATCTAGTTTTCTGTTTAATATTAGGCAAAGTAGCGCATCAAGTTACTGTTCTAGTGAACATCATTAGAGTTTTCTGTATGAATTTCAATGTTTTTGTGTTTTAGCTTATATAAAGATCAGTTTGGTGAACACATTTTTCTTTTGCAGTTTGATTGGTTGTCCAATCATCTATTGTTCACTCTTTGTTAAGATTGAACATTCAGTCGACCTAAGTAAAGTATGAAATATGGTATTTAATCGAGGTGTTAGATTTGGTATTTCACTATTTTTTTTTTTAGAAGTTGAGATGTTTATTTATATTGTAAATGGCAATGTAATGGAAAGGATCATCATTGTTATTACTTCGTTTTATTATTGCTTTTTGACAAAGAAAGAAATACAGAAACTGAGAGTGATCAAATGGAAATACTATAAGGAACACCCATTCCGGTAACACCGGGTTAGGAGAGACGGGCTTTAAAAGCTCGTACTTAACCACACCAGCTCCCACTCTATTCTTTAGTTTAACGTCCAAGTTCCTCTCATCTATCACTCCTTCTAGGTATATCAGCTTGCCTTTGAATCTTTCATATGCAGCATTGATGACAGGATCGTTGACCCAAGATGCCTCGGGTACTTCTCCTATGTACTCTTCGCCAAGAAAATGGGTCGATAAAAGATCCAGAGTGAACATCACTTGCATCGCCTGCTTCTGCGTCGGGAATGTCTTAAGCATCACCTGTTCTGGCGTTTCTAGGAACTCTGTTGACTCCTCCGTTGTGGGATCTTCCACTGGCATTTTTATCCTTGTTGTGGTTGGTCGGTTGGGAAAGTATCCTCCATAACCGTACTGTCCGAAATTCACAGCTGCATGGTGACCTGAGGCTACCCACGCAATCGTAGTCACTATCCCGATCAAGTCCTCTGGTGTTTTGAGGTCAGGCCACCATGGTTCGTCTTTCTTGTCCCCATGCCCTACGTTCCTCACTTCACTCCACCATTCTTGGAGTTCCTCATCCGACGTGATCAATTCTGCCTTTGGATAATAGTGATTCACATAGTCTGTTATCCATTCCTTGAGTGCATCCCACAGCATCAGACCGTCATTCGCAAATGGGTAGTCTGTTATCGTCAGGCGTACCCCATGTTCCACGGTCTTATCTTCCACAGCCAGCCCCCTATAAACACCCAATTTTTTTTATGCTTAACCAAAAAAAAAAAAACAAAAACTAGAAACAAAGCAGTATATTGTATATGATGAATTACCTGCTGATGAGGTCTGCGGGTAAGCCTTCCCTGTCGAACCTCCAGAGTTTACCATATACATCTGAACTTAGCTCTAGTGAATACTTTCCGGGCCAGAAAGTATTCTCAATGATTCCACCTGCGTTGATGAGATTTTGGCGTGCACGAGCGTTGATCTCCATGGTGTAGCGAAAGTGGGGATACAAAAGCCTATAGATGGGATGCACGGCACTTAGCTGTCTGTTTGCCGCTATTATGTATGGCTCCATACAGCAGTGAGTCCTCAGCCTGTAAATTTCTCCATTTACTAGTTAGCGATAACACATTTGTATATATGCGGTTATATATAAAACAAGATTTTTGTTCAAATACCAGTGGGAAATAAGCTGGTGATAACCGACGTCATGAGTAACCGCGTGAATCTTAGCAAGCCTCCATAGCCAGGAGGAGGTAGCATCATATCCTGGCGTGAACACCTGCTTCCATTGGGGCTTGTCGGCATCTGGGGGACAAGTCAACTCAACAGCAATAGGCTTCAATGTGCTATCATCTTGGAGGAAGAATAGTGTTCGAGATGCATATAGGCTTGTATCATCCAATTCTCTCACTTTGTTCACATACGGTAGTAGCAAATCGTGATAATCCAACATGAACAATCTCTTTTTCTTTAGAGCCTGCATGCATCCCCGCCCCATTCATCATTTATTAATGGAATATATATATAAAAAAAAAATATTGCATGCACATAATGAAATATATAGAACTATGTAACGTCCTGTCGGAATTAAACTAACCTCGTCAACTGACATGACTCCTCTTAGTTCTTTTTCCACAACTTCCTGAGTAATGAGTGAGTTGGGATCACCATAAACCGCAGGGTCTAGTTTGCTTTTCAACGGCCACTCCTATGCCAATAATTGTTTAGTAGCTTTATCGGAACAAACTCTATTGGTTAAAAGGCGTATATATAGCTTACTTGAACTAGCTGAATGCAGTAGGGATTAAGGCCTGCAAGGGTCTGGCGACCAAACTCCTCGTCTCGTAACCATGAAAATCCATCCTCTGTATCAATTTGTGAATGATATATAGGAAAAAAGCGAGATTAATTGTAGCTAGAGCTGGAATATAATAATACAATAAATTAGGAGAGAGGGAGGTTGGTACTCTTAATGAGAGCAGGGGGATGAAAATGGAGAAGCTTATAAGCACCAGCAAGCAATTTGAAAAGTCCAGCATCCTTGGGGAGCTTCCCATATGCAAAGAGATTTTCAATGGCCTTGAAGTGTGGGAAGGGCATGTTGGGATCCCGGATAGGAGCCTCGAGCTGCCGTAAATAATAAGGAAGAGCTGCCAAGATGGTCTTGCCCGTGAACTCAATGCCCGTGGCTAGGGAGAACTCCTCGTCTCTGGGGACATAGAAGTTCTCGAAGATTCCTTCCAGGCGTTTCTCTGTGGAGGGGTCCTTGTCGCTGGCTTCGCGACCAGTTTTGCACCGCCTTGGGTACGGATGATCGAGGCCTCCAAGAACTGGGCGTGCAAGTTCGTCATCTCTGTCAGGGTCACCCAGATCGTTGTACACGTCATAGTCGTAAACGCGCTCGTACTTGGCGAATTCACCAACACTCTGGCGGTTCTTCCCTTGCAAGGTCTCCAGCTCCTCCTTTCGCAGCTTTTTAAGAGGTTCTGGGGTTTCCCAAGGCAAGTATGACTTGTTTGAGAAGAATATCCGCTTGGCTGGGTCTACGGACTTTGGGCTCACCCATGAGTTACATGTAAACGTGACGGGGCCGCTTGGTAACTCAAGCTGCATCTCCTTAATGAACCTCTCTCTATCATTCTGGTTCTGAATCCTGATGGCCCCCACGGTTCCAAAGTCTGCGGGCATGTCAAACACGCACTCGTACTTCTCATCAAGGCCTGAGCACCATACGCGTTGTGCGTACTCTTCTACCGGATCCTTCCCTGACAAATGATGTGTACAGTACAATATTATTATCATAATTATAATCATTAATATAAAATACTCCAAATTTGCTAGCTTAATTTTTCTTAAAATAAAAAATAAAATAAAACATTTTTCTGAAAACTTAATCGTAGTTTTGTATTTCTTAAAATTTCTCTTTTTTGTTTGATTAATTAGCATGTACTCACCGGGGTCAATATCGGCGCTAATAAGCTCGACGAGCAGTGATCTGCCAGCATCGTCATCGTCATCAACATCCTCTGTGACTTTGTCATCGAGAGGACTCAAGCGAAATATGCCCCGTTGTTGGGCCGTGATGAATCCCTTTACTTTGACTTTTTTAACTTCTTGTTTCACTATGTTACCTTTGACTCTATGATCAATATTAGGCTGTGAGGCCGTGACCTTACATCGTCCTCCGAGGTTTGGACGACGACCCAGCTTGTCTCGACGTCCTGCCGAAATCTGGTTGATGAATGCTGATGGTTTAACAAACAGAGAGCTGAGACTCTTCGCTATACTCAAGGTCTGGAGACTTGACGACGACTCTCTACAAAACATCTCTTTATCTCTATGCTTCTTATTTTTGCTTACAATCCTCTTTGCATCACCTCTGCATGTATTTCTAGTACAGCCTAAATATATTATATTCTTCTTTTTTTTTTCTTTTTTTTTTTTTTTTTTAAATATCAACCTCATGTGACGCACATGGGTTAAGCTACTTGATAGTGATCGTGAGAATACTAAAAGCCAAATTGAAATTTATGAAACTTTATGGCAAGCTTAATTAGGGATGTTAGTGAGAGTAGTAGAATTTGTGTGGATTTCAATGATTTTAAAAGTTGAGAGATTTTATATTTATAGACTTAAGCAAATATATTATGAATTCTTATCAAAAAATTTGTGTTGATTGTTAATGATTTGTAAAATTTATTTTGCTTATAGAATTTCTTCATAATGCAATACCCATATTTTTAATTTTGCTAACTATTTTTTGGACGTGGGCATATCATATACACATTCTTCTTTGATTTGCATTGCTCTTCCATTTTGTTCTTTGGGCAAATACATGTAATCTCTTTGCTTGTACTCTTATTTTACTATGTTTTGTATTGTGTAATGAAAATCCTTTAACGAAAAACAATATTTTGTATTGTATATTTATTTTGATGGTTTTTTGTTATGTTCATATGACTTTTCTTCGGCTACCATAGTTGATCATTTTAAATATGGCCGAACACTAAACTCTTCCGACTATTTTTCATGTATCTAAAGAAGCACTAACTATAACAATAAATGAAATGTGTTTAAAGTGAACACTAACTTTTCAACCATTTTTTATGGTAAAAGAGTATATAGAGAAGTCTACTAAGATACTATTTTTATTTTCCAATACATCTTAAAATTCGTAGGTGTTAACCCACCAAAACTAAAAACAAATGAAACATTTTGAAGTTTTTTCAAAACAATTAGTGAAATACCTTCAAAGTTAACACTAAACATTTAAAACCATTTGACATGTGATTGAGTCTAATGAAGCCTACAAACATAACCTTTAAACTTTTTTCACAATATTTGAGAATTTATATGTGTTAACCCACGTATTTCTAAAATGTATTATATTGGACATTTGGTAGATACAATTCCTTTATTACAATATATAACAATTGTATTATATTATAATTAGTAAAATAATATTTGTGTGCAATCGTTATAATATAATTTATAACAGGTAATGTTTATGTACATTAACTGCATATATGCTAATGTGAACCATCATATTTGATTAAATCATAAGCAACGTAAAAATGAAAAGATTTTTTTTGAATCTTCATATTTGATTAAATCGTAAAAACTTTAAAATGTAAAAAACTTTAAAATGATACAAATCAAACATTTAGAAATATGAAAAGAAAACTATAATTGATATGCAATAAATAGAATATTATCATTTATATAAAAATTAATTTCAATTACAAACTGAGAAAACTATAATATATAATATTTTTATTTGCCTATTATATATTTGCAATATTTTTTCTAATGTTTGTTGTATGATCTATTTCTCATATTTCCGTTTTTACATATCATATAATTTCGCAATACATTTTCTAAGTTAACATAATAAAAACATTTATTAAAATATTATACTAATTGATATGAATCTTTATAGGGAAACTACACTAAAATTATATTGGAAAATGAAAATCATAATTTAGAAACTAACCCTAACAATTCTTTGGCTAGAATACAACATATATATTATGTATTAATACTAATTTTTGCCCTTTTCATTTTTTTATGGAAATAAAGTCTATACCATTTTCTTTGTCTATAAAACATAATTATTTATTATTTTTTTTCACTTAGATTTTATAAATATGGGGTTTAAAGGTTATGGATTAGATTATGTGTTTAGTGCTAAGATTTAGAATTTAAATTTTATATTTTTGAGTTTTGGATCTAAGATTTAAAGTTTTGAATAAAATCAACTATTTATTTTCATTAGTTTTTTATGTTTAGGATTTAATAGTTGGATTTAGGATTTAGTATTTAGATCTAGGATTTAGAATTTAGGTTTAGGGTTTAGATTTTAAGTTTAGAGTGTAGATTTTAGATTAGAGTTTAGATTTTCGGTTTTGGATATAAATTTTAGGGTTTAAAGTTTTATGTATGAGGGTATAGAGTTCATAGTTTAGAATATAATGAACTATCTTTTTCGCTATTTTTATATCAAGTGGTTAATAATTTCGAAAAACCATACTATTGTAGAATGATATGAACATTGTATCTATATGGTATAAATGCAAATCTCATAATGACTAATCATAAGGGCAATTTAGTCCACAGAAAATTATTAGTTAGTTTATATTTTTTATAACTATATTTTTATATATAGTCCAATTTTTTTTTTTTTTTTTTTTTTTGATAACCGTGGGGATCCTAAAGGCTTTCTAGGCCCAAAGACTAATCCCACGAGGCCTACGGCAGTCCGCGTATTCTTACCATTTAAAGCAGCCCGAGTGGCCAAGGGAACTCGAACCCAAATGGCAGAAGTCACAGTTGTGACCCCTTTACAACTGGGCCATGAGGCCTTAGTTAATATAGTCCAATATAAATATTAAGATAATTCACCTATCTTTATATTACAAAAGAAATACGCCAGTTAATAAATTTTAGTTTGAATTTTTCTGTTTGTAAATATACTATATATATATATATATATCTATATATTTATTAAAAAAATGATTTGCATAAATAGTGAAAGAAATCGACTTGCACACAAATATATCAAAGTTATGAACATGCAAAACGAATTTCTATAAACTTTTAGATACATTGATTGATACGTTTCTAATATTATAATCAATACAAATATTCATTTGCACAAATTGATACAAATATTCCTTTGCACAAAATAAAGAAATGTTTTGACAAATGTTTGTTGTACGATACTTTATTAACTGCGGCATTGACACTTTGAAGCAGTGATAAGTCAGTGTCTTAAAATCAATAGTGAAGAGACAAAGTGATCACGACACGAGGCAATTTCTTTTTTTTGTTAAAGACCACGAGGCAAATTCAAAGATACGACTCCATGCATAGGTCTGTGTCGTCGATGAAACCTATGACTTCTTCACCATATCACTTCTCTTCTCTGTTTTCTCCGTCTTCTTCTTCTTCTTTTTTTTTTTTTTTGAGTAACAAAACAAATTAAAGGTTCTCCGTCTTTTTTCTTTTCTTTTATTATAACTTAACTAGGAGAGAACCCGCGCAATGCGCGGGTTTATTAAACCAAATATTTTTAATTTAATTATTCAGAACATTAGATTCGAATATATCATTTGTTTTTTACTCGAATATATTAGATTCTGTAAGTTTTGCATTTTGTTTTTTTTCATATAGTTTTAAAATTTAGTTGTTATTTACGTGAAATCTTATATAGACTCATAGTGAATAGTTTCATATGTTTTTTGTTCTTTTATACAATAATTTATCGACTGGAGTTGAGTTCTTCTAATTTTCCTTATACTAACAATCATTATAGATTGATTATTATCCTACAGACTCATAGATAATAATAATTGCAATCCTTTTTAAAAGGAAATGAAATGAGCTAATTAGCCAGTAAGCCCATTTAAAGCTACCATGGAAACGAAGAGGTCCGATAAATAATCAAGCCCATCAAAACGAACAGCATTACACATAATTTTGATTTAGATTTTTTTTTTTTTTTTACGAAAACGACGTCGTTTTGGTGTAAGACGAAAAAAAAAGATAAAGCGCAAAACGACGTCGTTTTGGTGTAAGACGAAAAAAAAAAATAAAGCGCAAAACGACGTCGTTTTGGTGTTAGGCGAAAAAAAAAAATGCCACGTGTCAAAGGCTGGAGATGTCCAAACCTTATTAGTTATGTATATTTTCTGAATTGTTGTTCACTATTCAGCAATATTTTTAATCGGTGTCATAATATTAATTATTTGATAATAAATGATATGCAACATAGGCTTTGAGCATAATTAATAGGTCCAACGTAAAAAAAAAAAACAAAATTACGGGTTCAAACACATGAATTTAACCAAATGTAACAGCATTTAACAATAAAACATGACTAAAATATGTAACTTATTTATAGGGGTTCAAGTAAAAACACATAGGTTCATGTGTGGGAACACAGTAAATCTTGTCATCATACACAAGAGCTATGTTTGTTCAAGAAGACATCAGTCAAAGGAATTTCTGAATAGAGCAAGCAATGAAGCAAAGATAGAGCCTCTTTTTGACCAACATCTATACATCCTCTCCAGCTTGTCAAGATTTCATAACCAAGTCCTCTAAGTGTACTCAGGACGACAGCCTTAGAAGCAAATTCCACTTTCATATTTTCGGTAATGATGACAGATCTTTCATAGCACTCGGTATCAGCATCTGTGCTAAGATCAAGCTGTCTGCAATGCTTCTCCGGATACAAAAGCATACCTTTACAAGCTTCCCTGGTGAAATCAGAGACACTTTTGTAGAGATTGTTAAAACAGCCTATTTGAGACTTCTGGTTCGGCTTATATTTCTCCACCAATCTCACAATGGTACCCATTGGTAGCGCTATAAAACTACGGAGCCTCGGCCGAGACAACCTTGTCCTTCTCCCAATATTTTTGGAAACACTAAATTCTCTTGCAGTTTTAGTTGGAGAAATGAAATGCACTATTTTGATATTTATATAGACAGAATAGATAGGGAGTTTGCAAAGTTTAAGATGCCAATGGAAGGTACGCAAAAACGGGCTTGCAAATAAACAAAAAAAAATTAGAATGTTTGATATTTATCTTCCTTGAAATTCTCAATTGTTTGAAAACATTTAACATAATAATATAAGTTTCTTTTTGATAATATTTCTGATGACAAAATAATAAATTTTTTTAAAAAAGTATCTTGATGTTTAGATGAAATAAGTAATTTGATGTTCAGATGAAATAGAGCCTTTTCATACGTACGTACTTATATAAACTAGACTCGGCCATTTTAGAGATTCCATGTCCATTCATATCATGAAGCCTAATCTCATGATTTCTAACAACAGGAGTGTTGCTGCTTGTTGTGAGCAACCAAATGAAAGCCTGATGAGTATCTGAATGAAGAACTCAGATCCTTTTTCCAAATCCGTTGAGTACATTCTGCCATTACTATTCCGACGAGAAGAAGCTTATTGAATCAGCTATGGTCTAATTGGAGAAAGGAGCATGTCTCTGGTTTTCAAAATTCGCTCCTTAAATCATCAGAGATGGCTTGCTGAAGCTGTCGGATTTTGTAGACATAACAGAATCTCGTGGTGGTGGTCGGGCATCGGCGTAGCTCTTCCTCTTTCATCTCTGCAACACGAGTGGGACGAGTGAGACGTGTCTTGTCTAGCTTATATTTTTCACAAACGTGTCCAATACGTGTGGATTTTTGATTTTCGTACCAGTTAAATATTGTGATCTTAGAAGAAGATGGATTTTCACAATCTGTATTGCCTAATGAGCCTTTAATGAAATTAAAATTTCCCGGCAGAAAATATAAAAAAACTTATTACCAATCTCACTTTTGGTCGGAATGGGAACTTATCTGAAGTGCTCAATAGCTGACATATGTCCAGATATCAGCCGTATATATTTAATAAATCTGAGAAAAAGGCCCTCTCATATAGTATTGAACTATTGACCATTGAATATATTGATAGATAGATCGAGAAGAAGTTGACCTAACCTATATCAATTACAGATTCGATCCTTGTCGTGGAAACAAGAGCGACGATGATATCCGATCTTCCAAGGGATTTGGCGGAGGAGGTGCTCTCAAGGCTTCCGGTGACATCTCTAAGAGGAGTCCGATTTACCTGCAAAAAGTGGAACAGTTTAACGAAAAAGCGGAGCTTTACAAAGAAGCACAACCGTGAAGCAGCAGCAGCAAAGAATAAGCAGAGGACGGAGTTTCAAGTGGTCATGTTGCTCGAAGATAAGGTTTATTTAGCGTCAATCTCCTCTGTGATCCATCTCTAGAGCGTATAGGCAAACTCGTTAGCCTTGGCGATGATGCAGATATATCTAAAATCTTTCACTGCGACGGTTTATTGCTATGCGTCACCAAAGACAGATCTAGGCTTGTTGTTTGGAACCCTTACACTGGGCAAACGAAGTGGATCCAACCCAGAAATTCTTACAACAGATTCGACAGGTACGCTCTGGGGTACGAGAGGAAGAACAGCTACTCGCTCCGTGGCTACAAAGTGTTGAGATTTATGGATGATTACGACTCGAGAGTGAAGCAACGAATCACTGAGTTTGAAATCTACAGTTTAGACTCTGATTCGTGGAAGGTTGTTCATGTGAATCCGGACTGGGATATTGAGTATTTCAGCGTGGCGTGTCTCTCAAGGGAAACACCTACTGGTATGCTCAAGAGAAGGTTCCAATAGGTAGCACAAGGAAGAGCGAGAGATATAGCAGATCAACGTGATTTCTTACTCTGCTTTAATTTTACAAGGAGAGATTTGGACCGCGCCTGCCTCTGCCTTTCCACTGCTTTGGAGAAACAGTGACTCTATCTAGTGTTAGAGAAGATCAGCTCGCGGTCTTGTATCAGAAAGTTGGTGCACCTGCATCATACACCCTCAAGATATGGATTAGTAGCAAGATTGAGCCCAATGCAGTGACGTGGAACAAGTTGTTCTTAGCTGTTGAGATGAAACCGTTCACCGGTTTTCAGTTTCTTAATTGGTGGGAGTTTCTTCGTTGACGAGAAGAAGAAGGTCGCGGTGGTTCTCGATATAGACAGAGGTAAATCTTGCCCCACACGTAACACGGCTTACATGATTGGCGAAAATGATTACTTCAAAAAAGTGGATCTCGGAGGATCTGTGGATCTCGGCCGTTGTTGGCCACTTGTGTGCTCTTATGTTCCAAGCTCAGTGCAAATCAAGCAAGCTTCACCACCAAGCAACAAGAAGAACACACCCTAAACTATTAATTTGTTAGTGTCATGTCATCTTCCATTCATTAATTTGTATCTGCTTTCTTTTACTTTTTTTCATCCTGTTTTATCCAACGGAAAGCGGATCAAAATACTGCATGTGAGATCTCGGTTGGCTCTTCCAACACAGTCAAATGCATCTTAGATTGCCATTGCCTCTAAATGTTAGAATTTGTTCCTTAGCATTTGCTAATTAGCTGAAAAGAAAGGACTACTCTTCTTTAACCTCCTATTTAATCTCGAGTGATTTGGTTGTGCCCTTGACTTTATTTTCAGCCACATACTTTTATTCCAGACTTGATAACTTGTTGGAGGACGAAGCTATACGCAAGCAGTTCCAGGTAACTGATAGATATTTAGTCTGTTGTGACTTGTGAATCATTTTTAGTGTGCATTGAAGACCTTACTTACCAGTTTGGATGGATGAGCACGTATTATTTACAATGTTAGTGAAGCTATGTGGCTCTCTCTCTCTTGGTAGCATCCATGTAAGACTCTGTTATGTGATATTGCATACACACTTGGAGGCAAACATAAATCGTTTTGGATGTGATTATTTTATTAATATCCTCTCAACAAATAGGATTATTCTGAGGGATGGAAATTTTTGTTGGATTTTAGTTTATTGAGTGATTTTATATACTGTGGTTATTTCATGATGTTCGACATGGAGGGTGAACTCCTTAGAATCTACCAAATATGGCAAGTTGTTCACACGGACGACCAAGATGACATGATGATCAGATTTTCTTTGATCTATGTATGGACCCAAATCTTCAAATGGTCAGATTTTCTTGGATCATCGGAGAGAAAGAGTGTATTGAAAGAGTGAAAAGACATGCATCGTTACTGTTTAGTACTTTTATAGACTATATGAGGCCTACAAATACAATGACTTGCAGAGTCGAGCTGAGACATGCATCGTAGTGTTTGGTACTTTTGTAGAGTGAAAAGACTATATGAGGCCTACAATGGCCCATGGGCTTAGTGTTGAATCAAGTTAAGTTTGAAAACGCCACGTAGACGTAAAAGTTGTTAAACAAACTCGCCGCTCTGGTATCTCCGCCTCCTCCGTTTGATTTTACCACTGAGTCACTGACATTGCTTCTCTCTCCGCCTGTTTGTGATCTGCGTCTCTCCCATTTTCTCTCTCTCTCTTAAAATGCAATCAGCTATCGCGATTCCGCTGTCCCAGACATCACTTACCAGACCGAACCGCGTGCTCAATTCAACTAATTCCGTCTTTTCTACGCCGAGGAGTCTCCGGTTCTGCGGACTCCGGCGTGAGGCGTTTGCTTTCTCGCCTTCTAATCAGTTAGCTTTGCGCAGTGACCGGATTCGAAATGCGAGCAGGAGATTCCAAGTCTCCGCTGCTGCTTCTTCCGCCGCGGGCAATGGCGCTCCGCCTAAATCTTTCGATTACGATTTGATCATCATCGGAGCCGGTGTCGGCGGCCACGGAGCTGCGTTGCACGCCGTTGGGAAGGTCTCTTTTAATTCTAACTTCATATTAGCTAATAGACTACTGATCTTCCTTGTACTCGTGAATCATAACTGAGATACTAAACTTCCGGAATGAGTCATAACTGAGATAAACTCTGAAACAAAATTGGCGAATTTGTATTAGGGGCTTAAAACTGCCATCATTGAAGGAGATGTCGTTGGAGGGACTTGCGTTAACAGAGGCTGTGTTCCTTCCAAAGCTCTTCTTGCTGTTAGTGGGAGAATGCGCGAGCTCCATAACGAACATCACATGAAGGCCTTTGGTCTGCAGGTATTTCACTTTAGACGTTGTCTGTAAAAAGTTTGATGCTTTGTAGAAATGACTTCTCTTGGGCCTTCACTAGCTTATTATGGGTTTTGATTACCTCTTGGGAACAGGTTTCAGCTGCAGGGTATGATCGTCAGGGTGTGGCAGACCATGCTAACAACCTGGCTACCAAAATTCGGAACAATCTGACCAATTCAATGAAGGCGCTTGGTGTTGACATATTGACAGGGTTTGGCAGTGTTGTGGTCAGTACGTGCTTTTCTTTCACGTTTGACCAGCTAGTAGCTATGATACAAGTTTTTTGTTAACCGGCGATCCTAACTCTTTGTATTTCTGCAGGGCCCACAAAAGGTTAAATATGGGAAGGTTGGTTTCTCTGACAATGTTATCACTGCCAAGAATATAATCATTGCCACTGGATCCGTGCCATTTGTTCCTAAAGGAATTGAAGTTGATGGTACGTTTCTTGTTTTGACCGTACGGGAGAAGCCTGGAAAGCGACGGTAATTAGCAAGCAATAGACTTGATTCCTTGTATGTTTATGGTTTGGTGCTGCAGGAAAGACTGTAATCACAAGTGACCATGCCTTGAAACTGGAGTCTGTCCCTGATTGGATTGCAATTGTAGGAAGTGGTTATATTGGTCTGGAGTTTAGTGATGTTTACACTGCACTTGGAAGTGAGGTAACGTGATTCTTGTCCCTCCATTTGAGATTGTAACTTATTGCAATTTGGTAATGATCTCCATTTTTAAGGCTTTGTTTGTCTTCCCTTTCTTCCTGTATTATAGCTTACTGACTTTCTTTCTTTAGGTTTGCTCTACCTTACAACAATAGTCAGTGACCAAAAAGGGACTTACTGGTTTTGCAGGTAACTTTTATTGAAGCACTGGATCAGCTAATGCCTGGATTTGATCCTGAGATCAGTAAGCTAGCTCAAAGGGTTTTGATAAATCCAAGAAAGATTGACTATCATACTGGAGTATTTGCAAGCAAAGTGAGCCTGTTAAATCATGTTTTCAAAATATTGTTTTCTTTCTCTGTGCAATGTGTCTATGTATTCATGAACTTTAAATCTATTCTGTGCAGATTACTCCCGCAAAGGATGGGAAACCAGTTATGATTGAGCTTATTGATGCTAAAACCAAGGAACCTAAGGATACTTTGGAGGTAACAAAAATGTCATATAAAAGATAGCGAGAACTGATGTCTTACATAGAGAATATCACAACTGTTACTTAGTATGCATGCCTGAGATTCAATGTCACGGATTCACAAGTGCATATGTGCTGTTAGTATTTGGTCCTTAGAAGTCTTGTTTTTCACCCATGTTGGCTTCTCACTGCAATATTCACCACACTTATACTCTTCTCACAGAATTTGATGTATACAGAGTTTCTCATTTTCTGAATTTATAGTAGCCTTTTCCTCTAAGAAAAGAATTGAAACAATAATGTCTTTTGGTTTCATCTCACAATCCCATGTGATTTTCTGCGCTGAAAGTGTGGGCTTGATTTCCATTCTCCAGGTAGATGCTGCTCTTATTGCTACTGGAAGAGCTCCATTCACCAATGGTCTTGGCTTGGAAAATGTATGAGATGACACTAAATCGCACCATCTTCTTATTGTGATAGACTGCGACTATTTGGTCTTCAGATAAATTAACCTTAAAGCTGTCATTTCAACACAGGTCAATGTAGTGACGCAGAGAGGTTTTATTCCAGTTGATGAACGAATGCGTGTGATCGATGGAAATGGGACTCTGGTCAGTTTTACTTGCATATACCTTACCTTTTCTCTTACCAGCGATTATTTGTATATATGTTAAAAAATCATTTTTGCGTGATAGGTTCCAAACTTGTACTGCATTGGTGATGCCAATGGTAAACTGATGCTTGCACATGCAGCTAGTGCCCAAGGAATTTCTGGTAAATGGGGTTATCAATAGGCTACTAAATAATGCAGTGAATATTTTCCCTTTTTTTTCTTCTTTGGCCTTGTACTAAGCTCTGTGCTCTTACTCTGTGGCTAGTTGTCGAGCAAGTCACTGGTAGAGATCATGTGCTTAATCATCTTAGCATCCCAGCTGCTTGCTTTACTCATCCTGAAATCAGCATGGTGGGATTGACAGAGGTACTTCTACATCTTGGTGCTAAATATGGTTAAAAAGAAAAACATAATGAATAGCCTGCTTTCTTTAACCCCTTATGTTTTAACATAATTACCGTGACTGTCAGCCTCAAGCGAGAGAAAAAGGGGAGAAGGAAGGATTTAAAGTTAGTGTTGCCAAGACAAGTTTCAAGGCAAACACAAAGGCCCTAGCTGAAAACGAAGGAGAAGGAATAGCTAAGGTAGGAGAAGCAAAAGCTCTTTGATTATTTATGGTTCATGAAAGAACAAAATGATCTCACTGCCTTCGATTATGCAGATGATATACCGACCTGACAATGGTGAAATCCTAGGAGTTCATATATTTGGACTGCATGCAGCTGACCTTATCCATGAAGCATCCAATGCGATTGCTCTGGGAACACGCATTGAGGTAGGATCTTTGATACAAGGAAATCTAGCTGTATACACTTAGTACCATAGCTTGTGAAAATACTAAACACGTTAATTATATCAAATTTGAAACATGTTCTTGATACCTGCATGCTTATTGGTATCTCTGCAGGACATAAAATTGGCAGTTCATGCGCATCCAACTCTCTCTGAGGTTCTCGACGAACTCTTCAAAGCAGCCAAGGTAAAAGCAGAACATTTTAAAAGCTTTCTCCAAAACAAACATAATGAGTCATTTTGATCGGAGACCTCCTTTACACTTCATACTCAATTTTTTTTCAGGTCGAAAGTCATGCAACGACTAAGACAGTAAGTGAAAAAGTGGCTGTATAAAAAGAAATCCAAAAACTTATTGGGAGGGGGGAAAGATCTGTAAACTAAAAAAAAAGTTGAAGAAAGATAATTTGTGGTTTTACTTTAGGGAGATGCCAAGAAAAAGCTACTAAACACGAGCGAGGATGATGGAAGAAGAAGAGACGGTGAGAAACAATCTTCAGTTTGTAAAGACTTGGCATTTGGATCTATAAGGCCTTCTTCTTTCGTTGAGATTATTTATGTTCGAGTCTTGTCTCTGCTTTCACGTATATTTGTTTGAGTGTTTCATTGTGTTTCGATTAGGGTGAGATTGTGTTTTTGAATTTTGCTTCTCTGTTTGTACTTTGAACATATTGTTTCAACTGAAAAATAATAATATCATTTTACTACTCCGATAACAAGTAAAATCACTTTTTGGACATTATGTCCATCAGATTCAGATGTGAGGTGGCAGAGGAACCTTAGACTTCAAATGTTCATCAGATTCTTCTGTTTACTTGCAATATTCTACAAATGTACAAGTCCAGAGATTGGTCTCGTTATGCATACTTTTATTCTAAACCAGTTTTCGGAATGTTCGAAAGTATCCTTTTCCGTATACTTAATTTACATATCAATATCATCCTTTTAGTGGACTCATCTATGTTTGCTTCCCTCATGCTGAAATTCAAGTGTTTTAGTTAAAGAACTTACTTCATATTTTGAAATAAACTAGCAAATACTTACCCAAAAGGAATGTATCATCTAAGTTTCCTATGAAAATTTTTGGTCATTGAATGTAACATAGTGGAGTTAAAAGTTACTACGATTTTTTATGGCTATGATTTTTAAGAAAATTTCACCACTTTTGTCAGTTCCATTTATACACCATTGTTTCTTTTATAGAAAAATCTCAGTCTCACTATGCCATATCTTTGTGTGTAATATGTTCGATTTCCTAGCGATTGAAACAAAGAAATTAAGATTTTGGATTGATTCAAAGACTTCTTCAACATCGCCATAGTTTAGTCCATCATGTCTTGATATTTCTAAGACATTGAAATCTGGTAAACAATTCAACTATCAAAAGTTAAAATCTAGTGAAAAAATTGTGCAGTGTATATACACATGGTTCCATAGGAAAAAAAATTGGGTATAACAATGGAAAAAAGTAGTGAAACGAGAAGATAAAGAAATCTAGATATAAAAAATCTAGGAAACAATAGGAACTTAGTAAATTTCAAGAACCTATTTTTTTTACCAAAAAGAATTTGCTAGTTTATTTCAAAAAGAGATCCAGTAGAAAAAAGTTTGTAAGTAAAACATTTGGATTTCAGCTTGCAGATAAGTAATAACTAATAATGAATGCTTCTGTGCGACTTTGAGATTCTGAAGATTGTGAGCCAAAATGATCGAAGAAAATTTTCCACCAAACTGCTTAAAAAACAACAGATCAATGGAGAAATCATTATTGATATTTCTACTGCCAAGATCAATATAACCAATATGCTATTTTATATTTTCACATTTAAATCATAACATGAAACTGAAGATGTAACACTTTTAAAATGTGAAAATATAAAAGAGTGGATTGTGTTGTCTCAACACATATTACTGATCTGTTAAAATAACTTGGAATGCATTATTGTAACCATTAAATTTCCAAAACTTTGCATACAAAACTACAAAAATCCCTGTAAAAACTTTACTAGTTTTTCTTCATTTTCCTTCGAGAAACTAGAAATATCGGAGTTAAAAACTGGTGAGAAAAGCTTTCCAATTTCTAAGAAATCGAACAGTCAACATATTAAACAAATTGTCTCGATCAATACTAAACAAGTTGTAATTTGTAATTTGTAATCGAACTGCTTTACTTGTTTACTTGTTTAATTCAGAATCATGAGACAATGTTGATTCAAGAGATGAGATTGATTTGTGTCCTTGAATGAAAATGCAGAAAACTCGATGAAAATGAGAACTATTCGTCGTGTAGACAAAGTAAATGAAAAATTGAAAATGAAATGTACCGGTTCTTTGAAGTACTTGTTTCCCAAAATACCAGTGGCATTAATGTAATTTGAGTTTTGCTGAACTCTGTTTGCACTTTGTATATTTTATTTCACGTGAAAAGTAATAATAAAGGATTTTGGAAGATTCTTCTCTCGTTACTGCTCTCATTACTAGTAACATCACTTTTCTGACCATTATGTATTTATCTTCATCAGATTAAGACGTGAGGTCCAGAGTTAGACTAGCGGTACCAGAGGAACACAATCATAGAAATAGACAAATAACTAAATCTATTTGTTAATTTTGTCTCACTTCTCATACACCAAGTACCAACAATAGAGATTGGTCTCGTCAAAAGATACTTTATTCTAAACCAGTTGAGGATACCCTTTTCCATTCACATAATTTACAGATCAATACTATCCATCTTCCACACCAAACTCTCTTGGACTCACCTCTCCATAGCCATTTTTTTCAAAGATCTTGCTCGTAATCGTACTCCAACTGTATCACAACCATCAACAGTTAATATTCGTTAATTCACACTATTCCTTTTCATTCCCTAAACTGAGAGACTAAAAAATGATAGATAAAAATTCACCTGAGCTTCTTCATGAGTGAGTTTCATCCTCCTGTAATCCTGTTGAGCCTTCTTAGACCTGAACATGGCTTGGACCCGGACCACAGACCTCTCGAGCCTCTCCTCTGCTTGTCTCTGGCTCGTCTTGTAGAAATCTTCCTCTTCCTCACCTGGAGGATCCTCCTCTCCAGCAACCTGTAGTCCTCTAAACCCTTTCCTCTTTAGTCTCCACCTTATTATTGCCTTCTCCAACACTCCCACCGACCATAATATCTTCTTGTACTGCCTCCTTGCTTGTAACCCCCTGAAAGCAGCCTGCCACAAGAGGACCAACCAAACATAAATTTCAGACAAAAACTCTCAAGTCTCATCAATGTAAAAACCAAGTCACTACGTACCTGGATCCTAATTGCTTGATGCCGCATATTCAAGAACTGTCTTCTCATTTTCCAAGTTTGGAACCTACACTGTATCCTGCAAGCAGCTTCCATCTTCCTACGCGTGTCGTATTTGCGGAACGCATGCTGAATCTTCATCGCCGCTATTGTCCCTTTAGCTTCTTCTTCTTTGTTAGCAAACTGAATCTTCAACGCCTTTTCCCTAAACGCACCTTGTATCCGAGCCGCTGCTTCTGCGGCTGTTCTGTACGCAGCCAAAGCGTCCTTAAGATTCTGCTCATCATCTGGGAGAGAGCCTCCGCTTGACATCTCCCCCTTGCAAGCCTCAAGGTCCCCACTAATGTTTCCAGCGATTTTCATGTCTATAAACTGAGCTACCAAACATTTCTCAGCAAGGTAAGCAGCTAAACCATCAAACCCGTTTTGCTGTGCAAGATCAGCCGCCGTGCATCCTCCAAGATTATCTTTCCTCGGGTCTGTCACCAAGTTCGGTCTCGCCCCAGAAGAGAGTAGAGCACCCACCATTTTCTCCCTTCAAAACCCAAATCAAAGTATGTTAACAAAAACACCAAACGGAGAGATAAAAGTTTATTTTATACCTTCCATAGTAAGCAGCCCAATGAAGAGCAGTCCATCCTTGTTTATCACGGAAGTTCAACGATAAACCTGACAATGAGAAGAGCTGGACAGACCAAGTGTATCCAAGAATGGCACAGAGGTGGATCACACCGAGGCCTTTAGAGTCATAATCAAGTGTGCTACGACCTTCAAGAACTTTCTCCATAAGCCATTCCTTAACCCTGTTCTTCAGAGTAAGCTCAAAGATATGATCTTTCGCTTGATCAAACGACACTTTGTTCCCTTGTATGGACTTCATTAGATAAGCCCAGCTGTTTAAGAGGTGAGAAGTTTTGCTGGCGAGTCTTTTAGCGTCTTGGAGGTTTGGTGGTGAGATTTTGCTGGAGAGGACGTTGAGTTTGTTGGAAGATGTAAAGAGAAGATGAGCAAGTCTGACTTGGACCTCAAACTCTTCCCATTTGGATTCTTCATCATCTTCAGGGACAGTCTTGTCAGGAACTGGTGGTGACCGGTGTTCGAAGGTGAAAGATTGGCTGAGTGGTTTGAGTCCGTCTGCACTAAGATAGAGGTTCGCCATCCCTGGTGAGTGAGGAGGTATGAAGCAACGGTAGACTCCAGGCTGGACATATTCCGCAGGGACACAAGAGTCGCCACAAACGCAGAAAAGGTTTGAGCTTCCAAGATGTTGATAACTGTTGTGCAAGAGGCCAGTTACCAGAATCTGCAGTCATCAACATGTAAGAACGTTTTCATTTACATTCAAACATGTAATCATGTTCTTATGATTGAGAACATTCCAGTTAAAAAGAAATTTAACCTTTGTTTTGTCTGAGGAATAAGCCCAAGTAGGTGAAACCTCTGTTATGTTGAACACTTGCTCAGGCATGTTCGAGTGAGGATGAAATGGCTCGTTCTCAAGTGTAGCCATGGCTCCATAGGTAGGATCCTCCAGAGAACCATTAGAGTCGCTGATGAATGAGTTCATCCACCTTCCAAAACTCTCTCGGCTTTGTGGACCATTGTTAAGCAAAGCATCAAGAGATTCATCAGCCACATTCACATGCTCTACAGAGCCATTTGCAGCATTCTGGAGCTGTTCTGTGAAGTATGGCAAATCATCTGACCACAGAAAAATAAATAAAGAAGAGAGAGTGTAGTTTCAACATTGTCCAATAGCTCTTAAACTGCAGAATCTGATATTTGGGTATCTTTGAAGGATGTGCCTAAGTCTTGAATAAGTTATACCTACGATTGGTGCAGATTGGTTGTCAAGATCAGTTTGTACTAGCAGATCATCCCAATCAAGCGTATTGATCTCATGAAGCCTATTATCATGATTTCTCACAGCTGGAGTGTTGTTGGTTGCTGTGAGCCACCAAAATTAAACCGTGATAAGTGTCCAAATGAAGAACTCAGAGCAATAGCAAATGCATAGTAAGTAGAAAAACTGTAAAAGACCAAGATCATTTCTCACCTAGATAACTTGAGTTATCAGCTTGAAATTTAAATTCCTCAGCTGACACAAGATTTGGGGATGAATTATTAGAGACGGAGTTTGGAGAGTTTGAGTCCCCTGATGTCGTAGCTACCTGAAAAATATCAGTTTTACCAATCAAAATATCTCCAAATAAGCCCTACCAATCGAAGACTGTGACTATATATATAATGTAAGAAGAGAGCATCCAAACATGGACAGCAAACGAAATATATCAGCCTTGAGAAACATAAGCGAGAGTAGAAAAACAAACCTCATGTGTATCACGGTAATGTACAAGGACGATGTTCTCTCGATCCCTGAAATAAAATAAAAAAGAAGAGAAGAGATGGTTTGCTTTCATAACCTTGAGAAGAAACATAGACGGAAAAGGCCTCCAGTCAAGTGGTGGCTCAAAGGAGATAATAGTAGAAAAGTCAGTGATGTTTGCTTTGCTTACTACGTACTTATCTAGTAACCAATAACACCTTCGAACAAAGGTAGTGTTGTCTTCACCGTGCGCATAGTACACATGAATCCTTTCCTCGGTACCAACCTAGCATCAACCAAAAGAAGTTATTATACATTTGTAAAACAGAGAGAAGAAATTCATGATATGAGCTTTTAAGGTAAGCTATGAGAAAAAACTCACTTTCAGGCGTTCGTGAGCTTCTTTAACGGTCCTTCCATCTTTTTTCTTTTTCCAGTTATGACCATCCTTTCTGAAGTTCCTCAGCATCTTACGATCGAACAATATAACTCTGCCACCTACAACATAATGTCAGTGTGAAAATAAGTCATGGAAAAACTGAAGAAACATCTCAAAATATTTTGACTGAATGGTTGTAGAAGAGAGTGATTACTATTTGGTAAGTTCATTGGTTTGACATTGATGGTGAAGTATTTAGGGTTAGAGAGGATTGCGTAGATCTCGTTTGGCCGGAACCACCTGCTTTTTGCTTCCTCCAACATTGTCTGCACATCAAGATCTGCACAATCATGTCAAGAAACATCAGTCAAATGTATGTAAGAACTTCACCATTTCAGACAAAACAAGTACAGATAAAGATAGACAAGCAAACACAATGTATGTAACTGATTCCAAATATGGACAAGGTTAGATTTTGCTCGTCTTAAAAAGATCTACTGTTTCTAGAATTCTGTCTTTACAAACATGTGTAAATCGTTTGTATTCCAAACTGAGTTTGTAAAGGCATGAGAAACCTCAATTTCCATTTACGATGGCTTGCAAAGGAACAAAACTGCCACGTCACTTATACGATACAAATTACAAAGTGTGTGATAATTGATAACCTCCAAACCCAAGATTAATATATTCTTAAAAATTAATATATAATACAAATCAATCTTGCCAACAACAACACACGGAAAGCAACCTTGGAACCAACAATCGTCATGCGATTGACGAATCAAAGGCAACAAGAAACAATTCAAGAAGTTTTCCAAAAATCAAGAGATGGGTCGGTTTCGGTACCTTGCAAGGTATGGAATCCATGAATCTCGGAGCCGATAAGTCTGCCGGAGCCGGAGCCGGAGCCGTCCATCTTGGTTCACACTCGTTCGAAGCTTTTTACCAGAACAGGAAACAAAAGCCGACGAAGAACCCAAAGTAGGTGGAGTATATGATAAGTCAAAAGTGAAGAACTTTATTCAGGTCACTGATTTCGTCGGGAGAAAACGAATAAATTAAGAGCTTCGCTGGTCTCCGGGAATTATGAGAGAGAGAGAGAGAGTAAAAAAACGGAATGTTACGCTAATTATTTTCCTTTTACAAAAAGTTGAAGTTTCAACGACATATTTTATGAATTTACAGTTTGCACCCACAATTTTGTTCTGCAACACATTTGGCCCTTAAATGGATTTGGATGGAGTACTTTTCGAATTGGTTTGGATCTGGTTTCATTTCCATCATCACGGTTCAACACAAATGTTCACATAATTAGTGGGGATGTAGTTTAACGATATAATACATTTTTAGTGTGTATTTATAGTTAGTATATGTAATTATGTGATGGGTATTATACTTTTACTTCATGTAACTCGCAATTGTTTTCTTGGATTCATGTTTGAAATACTTATATTAACTGTTTTTGTTTTTCTCAGAGAAAACGAAATTGTATATATACTACTCCATATCATTTAATTATAGGTACTGATTTGGAACATATGAAAATTCGGAGCCTTAATTCTTTAAAAATTGTGTATATAAAGACGCGGGACAAAAGTAAGAAACGCCAAAATGTGAACAAATACTATAAAGTGGGAATTAAAGAGCGTCCAGACCAGAGAGAGCTTTTAAACGATCATTCACTATCCGCGGCTGGGTGTTGTACGAACAGAAACGGACAGTAGTAGATACGTGGCGTTATCATAATGGTTCATCATTTAATATTTTTTTGACATTGTGGGTCCTCATTTTTGGTTCACACCTATTTATTTATGAGTACTACTATCTTTCCTTTTTCCCGTCTCATCCGTTTATTAAAAAATGACAATTACGCGATACTCTCAGGCGAAGTCAACTATTGAAATGACCGGTCTACTTAACCGGTCGGAGCGACTGAATTTTTTGCTTTACTTTTTCTTGTCGTGACCACAAATATAATACTCTACGCGGCACAGCCACCAATCGTAAAATTCTACTTTATCATGATTCATGATAATGAATGTTAATTTACTAAGTTCCGTATGGTCTATGAATAGATGGTTACATTGAAATATTTTGAGATCACTACTTATTTTCACACTGATATGTTGGAATTGACATTTCTTCTTTAACCATGAAGACAACCTGATGAGATATGAGGTCATTAAAAGTTAGATTTTTTCAGATTGAAATCGCGATTTCAGGTGTAATAAAGTAGATTTTATATTTTCAACCCAACAGTTTACTTTTACGGTTATAGCGTGGTTAAATTTTGCGTAGTTAACGTAAAGGTGAGTAGGCCTTGGGCCATTATTAAAGCCCAAGTTTGAAATTGGAGGAAAAGGAAAGAGATTTCGAAGGTTAACCTAACTTATTTCCATTACAGATTCTATCCTTGTCGTCTAATCTCGAAACAGTAGCGACGAAGATGATATCCGATCTTCCTAGGGATTTGGCAGAGGAGGTGCTCGTAAAGCTTCCGGTGACATCTCTGAGAGGAGCACGATCTACCTGCAAAAAGTGGAACACTTTAACCAAAGATGAGAGCTTTACAAAGAAGCACATCAGTGAAGCAGCAAAGAAGAAGCAGAAGAAGAAGTTCCAGGTGGTCATGATGCTCGAATATAAAGTATATTTGATGAGCGTCGATCTCCTCTATGATAATCCATCTATAGAGCGTATAGGTAAACTCGTTAGCCTTGGCGATGACGCAGATATATCTAAAATCTTTCACTGTGATGGTTTATTCTTATGCATCACCAACGACAATCACAACAACTCTAGGTCTAGGGTTGTGGTTTGGAACCCTTATAATGGGCAAACAAGGTGGATCAAACCTAGAAACTCTTACCACGATCTTGACAGGTACGCACTCGGATACGATAAGAAGGAGAACAACTTGCTTCGTAACCATAAAGTCTTGAGACTTATGGATTACTACGACGGGAGTATAAAAAGGAGAATTCGTGAATTTGAGATCTACAGTTTAAACTCTGATTCATGGAAGGTTGTTCATCTCACTCACGAGTCACGAGTGGTATATAGAGTCTGATCAACTAGGCTTGTCTCTCAAGGGAGATACTTACTGGTTTGCTAGATTGAAGTTAGATTTTTTTGGAGCGATGGATGATTTCATACTCTGTTTTGATTTTACAAATGAAAAGTTTGGACCTCGTTTGCCTCTGCCAGTTCGCTCTCGCCCTGGAGACACTGTGGCTCTCTCCAGTGTTAGAGAAAACCAGCTCGCGGTGTTGTTTCAACAGTGGGATACGTTGAAGATGAAGATATGGATTAGTGATAAGATTGAACACGATGCAGTTTCTTGGGGAAAGTGTTTCTTAGCGGTTGATATGAAACCACTCATTGGTATTCATTTTCACCGTAACTCTGCGAGTTTCTTGGTCGACGAGGAGATGAATGTAGCGGTGGTTCTTGATTTAGATGGAGGTAGATCTTGCCCCACTCGTAACACGGCTTACTTCATTAACGAAAACGGATGCTTCAAAAAAGTTGATCTCGGAGGATCTGCAAACAAAGATTGTTGGCCACTTGTGTGCTCTTATGTTCCAAGCTCCGTGCAAATCAAGCAAGCTTCACCACCACGCAAGCGGAAGAACTATTAGTTTGTTAATATTTTCGTGCTTATTTTACTATTAGTTTATTTTCTCACCACTTGTTCGTTTCTAAACATTTTCTCTGCTTTCTTTTACTTTTGATCTCAATTCAAAAGAGACACAACAGTTTATTTAGTTTTTTTGTTGGAGTGTGAATTCGAGAGATTTTGCTTTTGCAGAGAGACACATCACACAAATGATCTTTCGCATGGTGACACGACTAATTGCTCCTGGATCGGATTGTCTTGTTACCATCATTCCACATGTCATAACTCATCTACTAGCTGGTGATAAACTACACGAACAGGAATAGCCTAAACTCTTCAGAAACTCACCAAAACATAAGTTGATGCTTGAAATTGGCAAACATAAATAATTTTGGGTGTGTTCATTTTTTTCGTATCCTCTCAACAGATAGCATTATTGTGAATGAAATTTTTGTCGGAGTTTGGTTTATTGACTGTGTTTTATACTCAGGTTTTATCATAAAGAGCTGTTGATTTGAAGAGATGCTTGACATCGAGGGTACGTGAACTAATCTACCAAATTTTTGTTTTAGGTCATGTTCGTTTTTGTAAAAAAAAACAAAAAAATCATTTGAATGCAAAATCAAAAATATTCCAAATATGAATGCAATATCAAAAATATTCCAAATGCTGAAAATAGAGTTTGAATGCAACATTTGCATTTCAAAACAAAAAAATAAATCACATCAAAACCATAAATAATATCTCCCACACAACATTATCTACATTATATGTAACACTCCACCGGCTGTAAACTATGTGGATTTCATCATGCAGTCTATAAATTTAAGTAAGTAAAACACAGGGAAACAAACCAACATGAATACTCTTGACTATCGTCTTGAAGATTGTGAAGTTCATTGTTCGTCAAACTCTGCAAAAACCATTGATTTGTCAGCTACAAATATCCAAAACTAAGAACAAATAACGAAATTAGACTTCACCAGGAGCAAGAGGCCTATCTACCAGGTTATGTGTTTTCATTTAACATTCAAACATTTAAACATTTAAGAAACTTATGTGTTTTCATTTAACACTATGCTTTTTTCCAACATATATTTTAGTACAAATATTGGACAATATGATGTGTATGTAATTTTTGACTTCTCGTTCTTAAGCAAACAAAAGTTGATTTGTTGAAAAAAAACAATAAGAATAAGAACGAGAAGTAACAAATCAACTTTTGTTTGCTTATACATTAGAAGTAAGATGTGAAATGAGAAGGCTAACAAATAAATTAGAGATGGAACTAAAACACACATAAACAAAACATAATATTATGCTCAGTCTTTCTCTTCCTACGAAGCTAATCTCATTTCTGACAACAAACATATTATCCACAATCCAATATGTACAAAACCAGCCTTCATAAGAGAATAATTTGCTTTGTTGTTGCATGCCACATGAATGATGTAAGCTACTAGTTATCTCTAAGAGTAACCGATAGATAAAGAACCAATATACCTAAACACACAGATTCTCAATTCACCTGCAGAGATTCCACGAAACAAAAGGGATTCTCAAGCAGTAAAGAACCTAATGTCGAACTTATAGAGAGCTAGGAAGAGCTTAAGAGAATAAAACCAACTTTATTAATTCCCTATGTACTAAAAAACGATTACAAACATAGCTATATACATAGCTTTTGCAACCTAGTTTAACCTATGGCGGTGGAAATAACATACTCAAATAAGGCTGGGAATGAAATCTCTCTTTGAAGTAATCAGAAGAATCGTGTAAATCTTAGTAGACAGATTATTCTCCTGATTGTTTTACTTAACACATCCAACATAAGGAGCAAATCCTGGCAAATCTTTTTTTTCCCTAGGGTTCCGATCTTGTTGAGCTTCACCATGGGCCAGATGTTCTAAATCTAGCTACCATTATCTATACTTCCAAGACGGGATTTCTTTAACTCTTCAACTTTAATCCTTGTCGTCGAGCGACGATGATATCCGATCTTCCAAGGGATTTGGCGGAGGAGGTGCTCTCAAGGCTTCCGGTGACATCTCTAAGAGGAGTGCGATTTACCTGCAAAAAGTGGAACAGTTTAACGAAAAATCAGAGCTTGCAGATCGGTAATAAGCAGAGGACGGAGTTTCAAGTGGTCATGTTGCTCGAAGATAGAGCGTATAGGCAAACTCCTCTGTGATCCATCTATAGAGCGTATAGGCAAACTCGCTACCCTTGGCGATGATGCAGATATATCTAAAATTCACTGCGACGGTTTATTGCTATGCGTCACCAAAGACAGATCTAGGCTTGTTGTTTGGAACCCTTACACTGGGCAAACGAAGTGGATCACTGGATCCAACCCATAAATTCTTACAACAGATTCGACAGGTACGCTCTAGGATACGAGAAGAAGAACAAGAACAAGTACTCGCTCCGTGGTGGCTACAAAGTGTTGAGATTTATGGATGATTACGACTCGAGCGTGAAGAAACGAATCACTGAGTTTGAAATCTACAGTTTAGAGTCTGATTCGTGGAAGGTTGTTCATGTGAATCCGGACTGGGATATTGAGTGGTTTCAGCGTGGCGTGTCTCTCAAGGGAAACACCTACTGGTATGCTCAAGAGAAGGTTCCAGTGGTAGCACAAGGAAGAGCGAGAGATATATCAGATCAGCGTGATTTCTTACTCTGCTTTCAGTGCTTTGATTTCACAACGGAGAGATTTGGACCGCGCCTGCCTCTGCCTTTCCACTCCTTTGGAGAAATAGTGACTCTATCTAGTGTTAGAGAAGGTCAGCTTGCGGTGTTATTTCAGAAAATTGGTGGACTAGCATTATACACCCTCAAGATATGGATCAGTAGCAAGATTGATATAAACCCATTCACCGGTTTTCAGTTTCTTAAAATTGGTGGGAGTTTCTTCGTTGACGAGAAGAAGAAGGTCGCGGTGGTTCTCGATGTAGACAGAGGTAGATCTTGCCTCACACGTAACACGGCCTACATGATTGGCGAAAATGATTACTTCAAAAAAGTGGATCTCGGACATTGTTGGCCACTTGTGTGCTCTTATGTTCCAATCTCAGTGCAAATCAAGCAAGCTTCACCACCAAGCAACAAGAAGAACACACCCTAAACTATTAATTTGTTAGTGTCATGTCATCTTCCATTCATTAATTTGTATCTGCTTTCTTTTACTTTTCATCCTGTTTTATCCAACGGAAAGCGGATCAAAATACTGCATGTGAGATCTCGGTTGGCTCTTCCAACACAGTCAAATGCATCTTAGATTGCCATTGCCTCTAAGAGTTATAATTTATTCCTTAGCATTTGCTAATTAGCTGAAAAGAAAGGACTACTCTTCTTTAACTTTAATTTCGAGTGTTTTGGTTGTGCCCTTAACTTTATTTTCAGCCACAAACTTCCAAGTATTTGATAGATATTTAGTCTGTTGTGACTTGTGAATCATTTTTAGTGTGCATTGAAGACCTTAATTACTTACCTGTTTGGATGGATGAGCACGTATTATTTACAATGTTAGTGAAGCTATGTGGCTCTCTCTCTCTTGGTAGCATCCATGTAAGACTTGTTATGTGATATTGCATACACACCTGGTGGCAAACATAAATCGTTTTGGATGTGATTATTTTATTAATATCCTCTCAACAAATAGGATTATTCTGAGGGATGGAAATTTTTGTTGGATTTTAGTTTATTGAGTGATTTTATACTCTGGTTATTTCATTTCATGATGTTCGACATCGAGGGTGAACTCTTACATGATGTTAGAATATACCAAATATGGCAAGTTGTGACACGGACGAGATGACATGCTATGACATGATAGAATATACCAAATATCTCACACGGACGAGATGACATGATGATCAGATTTTCTTGGATCTATGGACCCAAATCTTCGAATGGTCAGATTTTCTTGAATCATCAGAGAGAAAGAGTGTATTGAATACTTTACACTTGCAGAGTCAAGCTCAAGTTCAGTGACATGCCTCGTTAGTGTTTGGTACGACAGATTATTTTGTTCCGCTAATTATTTTGTTTTTACAAAAAGTTGAAGTTTCAACGACAGATTTTATGAAATTACAATTTGCACCCACATTTTTGTTTTTTTTTTCTAGGACCCACATTTTTGTTCTGCAACACATTTGGCCTTTAAATGGATTTGGTTGGAGTATTTTTCTATTGAGTTTTTCATTGTGGCTCAACACAAATGTTCACAAAATTAGTGGACATGTAGTTTAACGATATAATACACTTTAGTGTGTATTTATAGTCAGCATATGTAGTTATGTTATGGGTATTACACTTTTACTTCATGTAACTCTCAATTGTTTTTAGGATTCATGTTTTTTTTTTAACATCTGATATTTCATTATAATGTAAAGGGAAAATACAAATACAGAAATGGTTATTACTTATTAATATAAGTGAATAACTGCTTTTGTTTCTCTCAGAGAATACCAAATTGTATATAGTATACTACTCCATATAATTTAATTAAAGGTACTGATTTGAAACTAATGAAAATTCCGAGGCTTAATAGTGTATAAAGACGCGGGACAAAAGTAAGTAACTCCAAAATGTGAACAAATACTAAAAAGTGGGAATTAAAGAGCGTCCAGACCAGAAAGAGCTTTAAAAGTGATCATTCACTATCTGCGGCTGGGTGTACGAACAGAAACGGACAGTAGTAGATACGTGGCGGTTCAGCATTTAATTGTGGGTCCTCATTTTTAGTTCACACCCATTTATTTATGCGATACTTGACAATTACGCGATACTCTCAGCCGAAGTCAACTATGGAAATGACCGGTCTACTTAACCGGTCGGAGCGACCAAATCTTTTTGCTTTACTTTATCTTGTCGTGACCACAAATATAATAATTCTACGCGGCACAGCCACCAATCGTAAAATTCTACCTTATCATAAGTTCGACACGTATGGATAGATGAACGTTATATCGTCTTTTGTTAAAGTTTCTCGTTAATCGTTTTCTTCAGGAGTAATGTTTTTTTTTTTTTTTTCAGGAGTAATGTGTTAATATCTTTAAAACTTGATTAATACGTTTCTTTTCTTCATTGTCCTCTCACTGTTCAAAATCATGATTTAACAGCTGCGGCTGTACTACGTAGTACGTACTACCTATTTCAGTAGTAAAGAGTAAAGACATTCATACTGTTGATAAAATACAAGTTGGGAAAGAAGAACTACTTGCGATTGATTAGATGGCGGTTTTGCTCCATACGATCTAACAATCCTAATCCCGCGGCTGCAATATAAGATGCAGTAGTCATGATGGCTTGATTTTCCTCAGTAGTTGAGCCATATTATTCATTGACCCAAAATATTTCCTTGGCTGCCTCGCCAATGGCTTTGACTGGTTTTTGATCCTCCGATTCCGCCTAAGTTGTTGAATTTGCTGTGAGTGAGTACCCATCACTTCTTCTTCAGGTCAAAACGGAAATGAATCTGATCGTCTGTGGCTTTACCTATAAGAGAGCCAAAAAACCAGAGGAGTGCGAAAAATTCAAAACCGGATAAAAGAAAGAATACAGACAGGAACGAAAAAAGAGAGCGACTTTCATATCAATGTGTAACCTGTATATAGCTTTTACATAGAAGAAGCAATCAGCAACATGCCAACATATATAACCAAAGTTTGATCGGGACAGTATAAACTGGATCTTGGTTTCAGAAATAAGGAAGCCTTGTAATTTCCCCATATTTTGACTAGTAAATCTACTAAATGAATGAACATGAGACTTGTAAGTATTCTTATGAAGCCTCAAGTGACGGGAATGGAATGAAATCTCAAATCCACTAAGAGGGACACACGAACAGAGTAAATGAGGAAATTAGCATACATGAAGTAGTAGTCGTCACTCGTCAGCTAGGCGTTCATGGGAGCCCAATCAAAATTGTCCTTCGCCTCCATAACCACAACCCCAATATCTGGATTTTCAGAGAAAATTAGGATGTATCGACTACTTATATATAGCACACCAGATGCTCTTCAGCTTAATGCAGACATTGTCACTGATTTGTGCGATAAGCTAAAGAATTGACCTGATAGTGCTAGTGTATGACATCCACGAGCAGCAACACTGACAATCCAAAACCTTTGGAGTCAACAGAATATATATATATATATGGTGCTTATCCAACACTGGCTCTAACATCGATTTTTCATAAATATCAAAATCCACACAAAGCAGAATAATAATATTTATTCGAGCTTACCCCATGTAATTAGCTTCCCCGGATTCTGATTACATGAAACCAAACAAGTCAATTTATCAAATAGAACACCATTTCATTATGATTGCGATAGAAACATTCTACAATCAGATACCTTGTGAAATTTTCACTATATTTAACCTTGGCATAGATACAAGGCTTGACGGAGGTTTCGCCATCGGATTTTACTTAAGCGTAGAGCCTCAATTGTGCTCTTGTCAGAGCGGAAAGGGTTGTCAATGTCTAGACTAATTCATGGCAAATTGGTGATGAGACTTAAATGTATGGTCAATGGAAAAGTCGGAGAGAAAGGATGAGAGGATTGGAATTGAAATTTCTTCTTTAACCATGAACAACATTGAACACAACTTGATGAAAGATATGAGGCATTCAACTAGATTTTCAGATTGAAATGGCGATTTCAACCGAACAGTTGTTAAGTGTTGTTATAGGCGACTAGGCCTTGGGCCATTTATTAAAGCCCAAGTTTATAAAATTCACACTAAATTTTTGGTCGGAAAGGGAACTGCTCGAGAGCTGACATGTGTTCAGATGTCAGCCGTACTTTAGATCTCTGAGAAAAAGGAAATCGATAGATATGAAATATGATAGATCGAGTAGAAGTTGGAGGAAAAGGAAAGAGATTTCGAAGGTAAACCATACTTATTTGTAACCATTACAGATTCGATCCTTGTCGTCGAAACTCGAAACAGTAGCGACGACGATGATATCCGATCTTCCAAGGGATTTGGCGGAGGAGGTGCTCTCAAGGCTTCCGGTGACATCTCTGAGAGGAGCGCGATCTACCTGCAAAAAGTTGAACACTTTAACGAAAACTCGGAGCTTTAAAAAGAAGCACATGGGTGGATCACAGAAGAAGCAGAGGAAGGAGTTTGAGGTGGTCATGATGCTCGAATATAAGGTTTACTTGATGAGCGTCCATCTCCTCTGTGATCCATCATCTATAGAGCGTATTGGTAAACTCGTTAGCCTTGGCGATGATGCAGATATATCTAAAATCTTTCACTGCGACGGTTTATTGCTATGCGTCTCCAAAGACAGATCTACGCTTGTTGTTTGGAACCCTTACACTGGGCAAACAAGGTGGATCCAACCCAGAAATTGTTACCACAGATTCGACAGGTACGCTTTGGGATACGAGAGGAAGAACAGTTCCTCGCTCCGTAGCTACAAAGTCTTGAGATTTGTAGATGATTACGACTCGAGAGTGAAGCACCGAATCACTGAGTTTGAAATCTACAGTTTAGACTCTGATTCGTGGAAGGTTGTTCATGTGAATCCGGAGTGGGATATTGAGTCTTCTCAGCGTGGCGTGTCTCTCAAGGGCAATACTTACTGGTATGCTCAAGAGAAGATCCCACTGGATGGTCCATCAGAGATATCAGACCAACGTGATTTCTTACTCTGTTTTGATTTTACAACGGAGAGATTTGGACCGCGCCTGCCTCTGCCTTTCCACTGCTTTGAAGATACAGTGGCTCTATCTAGTGTTGGAGAAGATCAGCTCGCGGTCCTGTATCAGAAATGTGAACCTGCATACACCCTCAAGATATGGATTAGTAGCAAGATTGAGCCCAATGCAGTGACGTGGAACAAGTTGTTCTTAGCTGTTGATATGAGCCCGTTCACCGGGTTTCCGTTTCTTGATATCGGTGGGAGTTTCTTTGTCGACGAGGAGAAGAATGTAGCGGTGGTTCTTGATATAGACAGAGGTAAACCTTGCCCCACTCGTAACACGGCTTACTTCATTGGCGAAAAGGGATACTTCGAAAAAGTGCATCTCGGAGGTTCTGCAAACGCAGATTGTTGGCCACTTGTATGCTCCTATGTTCCAAGCTCGGTGCAAATCAAGCAAGCTTCACCACACGCCACCAGAAGAACACACCCTAATTGCCTAATTTGTTAAATATTGTCGTGCTTATTTTACTATTAGTTTACTTTCTCACCACAATTGTTCGTTTCTCAACATTGTCTCTGCTTTCTTTTACTTTTGATCTCAATTCCAAAGAGACGCATTAGTTTATTAAGTTTTTTTTTTTGTTGGTGTGTGAATTCGAGAGATTTTGCTTTTGCCTCTTTTTACTAAATCTTTCTCACCGTGACACGACTAATCCTGAATCGGATTGTCTTGTTACCATATCATTCCACATGTCATACTTACTAGCTGGTGATAAATTACACGAACAAGAATATCCTAAACTCTTCAGAAACACACCTAAACATAGCTTGATGACTGAAATTGTCCAGCAACAATAGAACTCTACAATGTCTTATTCTTTTCGTTTGTGAAACTAAACATGAGAGTTCCTCTTCAACTGAACAGGCTTGACAATCAACCAAAATACCCAACATACTGTTTAGCAATAGAAAAACTGTACAATCCCCAACATCTTGGTATTGTGCTAAGATATAGTCAAAGACTAAGACCAATAACCGACAGCAAAATTAAACTTCAGGGGCAATAGGATCTTCTTCCGTGTAACCTGAGTTTTGACTATCATCTCCAGAGTCCTCGGGTTCAGCATCAGCTGAGAAATGCCTCAGTTGGTAATGTGCCAAGATATAATCTGGAAACCTATAGAAACACAGAGAAACACATAGAAATACAGTGTTAGTAGAGAACAATTGATCATTTAGTAAAAAACCGAGTCTCATACCACTTACTCAGGATGTTTATACACTCTTCTGTGATATGTGCTTTTGATACCATGCTGTATAGGCTCCAAATCCACACTAGAGCTTGTGTACCGTAAGGGAGTGTTGTCCTTGGTCTTTTTAATATCTCCTTCCCACAAAACAGTATCGGTAACACTCCATCTGTTGTACAGAAACAGACCTTCTGTGAACTTTTCCACAGGGACATGGGATACAGATACCGTAAGATCCTCCACTGATCTTAAAACTTCTCCCACATCCTCATAGTTTAGCCACTGGTGTTTCGAACGTTCCAACACATCGGAATCTACACACAATTCATCAAACAGAAAGTTTAAACGCTAGTAAGATTTTCAAGCAACAATAGAACATGAGATTCAAGCAACAATATTGAGATTCAAGCAACGATAGAACATGAGACAACGATAGAACATGAGATTCAAGCAACAATAATGATAAACATGTAATCTCAATATTGATAAGCAACAATATTGATAAATTCAAGAAATTCAAGCAACCTGAATATTCTTGATAATTGTCTTGAATATTGTGAGGCGGCATCGTGAAGAAAGTTGTCTGCAACAATACAAACATCACAGTTAATCTTCATTTTCGTTCGCATATCGAACAGGCTACAGAACAACAGCCAAAATCCCCAAAATATTGTCCAGCAACAATAGAACTCTAGCTACAATATCTTATTCTTTTCGTTTGTGAAACTAAACATGAGAGTTACTCTTCAATTTCGTTCGCAAATCGAACAGGATTTTATACAATCAACCAAAATCCCAAAAGATTGTTTAGCAATAGAAGAAATCTACAATTTCTTCTTCTTTTCGTTCGCAAAACTAAATATCGGAGTTACTCTTCATTCTCGTTCGCAAAACGAACAGGATTCATACAATCAACTAAAATCCCCAAAATATTGCATACCAATCGAAAGAAATCTACAATTTCTTCTTCTTTTCGTTCGCGAAACTAAATATCGGAGTTACTCTTCATTCTCGTTCGCAAATCGAACAGGATTCATACAATCAACTAAAATCCCCAAAATATTGCATAGCAATCGAAAGAAATCTACAATTTCTTTTCGTTCGCGAAACTAAATATCGGAGTTACTCTTCATTCTCGTTCGCAAACAGGCTACATACAAATCAACCTAAATGAAATTCAGGATATTACTTACCGGAGAATTCGTGACAGAAGAGTTGGTGACGATTCGTCGAAGTCGAAGTCGAAGTTGCAGAAGATGGGAGCGATGGAAGTTGCAGAAGATGAGAGCGATGGATATTTCTTTCAGTGGGGAGATCGTACTAGTTCTTTCAGTGGCATTAATGTAAATTTCGACAACTTACTGTCCACGAAGCTTCCAAATCCCAGCTGGCATTAATGTAATTTTCGAATTCGTTTGAACGGAGTGCAAAATTACAAAGATAGACATTTCACATTAGTGTGCATTACGGAATTTAATTATATATTTTAAATATGCAGTAGAGAGAAATATGAATTTAGAGAAAATAGATTTATCTTTCAAATGCCTAAGAAATCGTGTCAAATAAATTTAACTTTCAAATGCCTCATCATTTCTAACTGATCCTAATTTTTATCTAAATCAAATTGAAGTTTAACAAAACATAAAAAGCCAACAATTTAGCACAAAAATCCTTTAAAAATAAATAAAAATTCTCGAAGATATGATCAATATAGTACCTTTGTTTTCTCAGAGGAATAATCCCAAGCAGGTGAAACCTCCGTTATGTTGAATACTTGCTCAGCCATGTTGGAGTTAGGATGATATGCAGCTTGAGGAGCTGGTGGATCTTGCTCAAGTGTAACTATGGTTTCAAAGGAAGGATCCAGCGAACCATTAGAGTCGCCGATGAACGAATTCATCCACCTTCCAAAATTCTATCGGCTTTGTGGACTATTGTTAAGCAAAGCACCAAGAGATTCATCAGCCACTGACACAAAGACGAATAAGGCATCCAGTCAAGTGGTGTCTCAAAGGAGGTAATAGTAGAGGAGTCAGTGATCATTGCTTACTACGTACTTATCTAGTAACCAAATAACACCTTCGAACAAAGGTAGTGTTGTCTTCACCGTGCGCATAGTATACATGAATCCTTTCCTCGTTACCAACCACCTAGCATCAATCAAAGGAGTTGTTAGTCATCTGTTGTAAAACAGAGAGAAGAAATTCATGATATGAGCTAGCTACTAAGATTAAGAAATGAAAAACTCACTTTCAGGTGTTCGCGAGCTTCTAATTGTCCTTCCATCTTTTTTCCTTTTCCAGTTATGACCATCTTTTCTCAAGTTACTCAGCATCTTAAGATGGAACAATATAACTCTGCCACCTATAACATAATATCAATGTAAAAATGTAACTTAAGTCATGGAAAACTGAAGAAACGTCTTAAAAATAATGAATGGTTGTAGAAGAGAGTGATTACTATTTGGTAAGTTCATTGGTTTGACATTGATGGTGAAGTATTTAGAGCATGTACAACGGTGAGCTCCATATGGAACTCTTTAACTTTTTTTATTATTAAATATAATACTAATTTAAGTTAAGAACATTATTACTTTTCTGAAAAAATTGACACCTACAACGGAGAGACTCAATGGGGTTCTTTAAAGTTTTTTTTTCTTTACAAATTGTTCTGAATTTATAGAAATGAGATAGAAATGATTCTTAACGAACACATACAGTTCATAGAATTCAAATTCATTACCAAACATTTACGAAAGATAAAAATAGACAATTCAAGTTCATCACCAAACAACTAACACACACAGTTCTTGATTCTTAACTAAGATCAAACGTTTCACATAACAAGCATTTGGCTCCCGTTACAATCACTTACTGTTTTGGTTAAGATGTCTCTTGCTGAGCCCCAAATCACAGTGTACAAAAAGCTTATACAAGTCCATATCCACAATTCTTATTTTCGGAATCCTGCAATCAATGGACATCATATATGTTTCAGCAATGGACATTTGGTGATTGCTGACGGCAAAAAATGTAGCAAGTGATTATCAATTCATTGGTTTACAAAAACATGAGCATGAAAAGCTTCTTACCAAAACTTTGTGCCCAGTTCAGAGTTTAACTTCTTCAATGTAGACATGAAGAGATCCTTATCAGCCACCAGATCTTCAAACTGTCTTTTACTTTCTGCACACAGAATTGACAAACAAAAACTTTTATTTGCAAATGTTCTATGTTTCGGAAAACCTTAAACCTTCTTCTGCATTATGAGGCAAATGATCAAACATCTAATGTTCATAAAAACAAGCATTACAACACAAGAGTTGTGAGTTTTTACTTTTCAATAAATACGATATCAAAGGAAGACAAGAGTTGCGTACACAAACACATCAAAGGAAACATTTTAAATGTTCAGAGACAATTAGACATCAAAGGAAACATGAAACATTAACCATTTTAATCAACACAACACAAGACAACATCAATTGCACAATTCACCATGACAAGCTACATTATCGTAAAATCTATGAACAATTTCGAAATGACTCACACTCACCTGAAGAGCTTGAGCTCCGCAATAAGCAAACAGGTACTCAAACCATATAGGAAGCTTGAAGATTTTGTGTAGAGATTTCTATGGAAAGACAGAATAATACCCAAAAGACTTGTGACGATGTAAAGCCCAAAAGCAACCGAAACAGCTCTCCAATTGAATTGAAACAGAGCCAATAGGCTAAGCAAATGCATTGACAAAACCACATCAACAGCTCCGAAACCCATCGATTTCCATTGCCTCTCCCACAAAGGAACCTTATCCTTCTTCTTCACCATCACATCGGAGAGCATTATCCTCCTGTAATCTCCTGACTCCGCAGGCGCCACCTCCGCCGCTGCAGCTGTGTGACATCTATCTTCAGAGTCGGCGGCGAAAATGACGGCGGTGGTACCAACTGAATTTTTCCGAGTAATAAAAAGATCTAAGAAGCAAATGGAACGGATAGATTGAGGAAGAATAATGAGATTGAATCACAAGGAGAAGAAACAGAGAAAAAAATGTTCGAAGAAAAGGAAAAAAAATTAATACAAAAACAAGATCAATATAGTCTTAAAATTAATATATAATACAAATCAATATCACCTTGAACAACAACATCAAAACAACACACTGAAAGCAACCTTGGAACCAACAATGGTCATGCGATTGACGAATCAAAAGCAACAAGAAACAACTCAAGAAGTTTCCAAAAATCAAGAGCTGGGTCGTTTTCGGTACCTTGCAAGGTATGGAATCCATGAATCTCGGAGCCGTCGCCGTCCATCTTGGTTCACACTCGTTCCAAGTTCTTTAGCAGAACAGGAAACAAAAGCCGACGAAGAACCCAAAGAAAGTGGAGTATATGATAAGTCAAACGTGAAAAACTTTATCAGGTCACTGATTCGTCGGGAGAAAACGAATAAATTGAGAGAGCTTCGCTGGTCTCTCGGAATTATGAGAGAGAAAGTAAAAAAAAAAAAACAGAATGTTACGCTAATTATTTTCTTTTTACAAAAAGTTGAAGTTTCAACGACATATTTATGAATTTACAGTTTGCACCCACAATTTTGTTCTGCAACACATTCGGCCCTTAAATGGACTTGGATGGAGTATTTTTCGAATTAGTTTGGATCTGGTTTCATTTCCATCACTGTTCAACACAAATGTTCACATAATTAATGGGGATGTAGTTTAAACGATATATTACATAATTTACATTTTTAGTGTGTATTTATAGTTAGTATATGTAATTATGTGTTTTCAATTAACACTATGCTTTTTTCCAACATATATATTAGTACAAATATTGGACAATATATTGTATGGGGTAAACTGATCAACTATTGCAATGTCTATGTATTTTTCTCGTTCTTATTCTTGTTGGGTTTTTTTTTCCAACAAATCAACTTTTGTTTGCTGATACATTAATAGAAGTAAGATGTGAGATGAGAAGGCTAACAAAAAAATTAGAGATGGAACTAAAACACACACACAAACAAAACATAATATTATACTCAGTCTTTCTCTTCTTCAGTGTCGTATGAAGCTAATTTCATTTCTCTTAGCAAACATATTATCCACAATCCAACAAAACTAGCCTTCATAAGAGAATAACTTGCTTTGTTATTGCATGCCACATGAATGATATAACCTTCTTGAGGTAAACTAATTATCTGTAAGAGTAACCGATAGATAAAAGAACCAATGTTACTAGGGTAAATTTAGGCAATATACATAGATAATCTGACAATTAAATATATCACTATAATAGTTGTTAATTAGATCAATACAAATACATATAGTAAAATCATACATATTTACCCTATAAGATAAAACATTAGAAGTGATATCATATAATAGATTGTAAGATTTCGTGATAACAAATACAAACAAATGATATAACATTTAAACAATTATGTGCTAACATCTAATCATTTTTTGCTAACATTATCTATTAACCAAATTAGTGAAATCATGTTAACATTCAAATTATTATACGCTAACATTCAAACCATTATACGTTAACATTTAAATCATTACTTGCTAACAAATTCGTTAACAACAAAATGTAAACAATCTATCATGATTTTTGTTAACAAGGTAACATAATCTATGTTAACAAGATAATGTGATGTTTGTTAGCAAATAATATGGTATTTGTTAGCGAGATGACGTATTTTTTGTTAGCAAAGTAACTAACAACTTATTAGCAGAGGGATATAATATTTGTTAGAGAGATTTAAGACTAATTGTTAGCAAGATTGTTGTGATTTTAATAGGGGTTTTATTGTCTTCAGCCATATGAACAGTGGACTAAAAAGTTGTCAGAAACAGCCATTTAATTTCAGAACTATATGTAGTGCAATTTCCCATGTTACTAACACACAAATTTTCAATTCACATGTAGAGACTCCACAAAAGGGAAGGGATTCTCAAACAATAATGAACCTAATGTCAAATCCTCAAAACTATTTTTCTCTTTCTATTTGGTCCCTATAATTATGATTTTTGACAAATAAATATACTAAACTTTAATTTTGAAAAATAAAGCACATTAAAATAAAAAAGAGGAAATGATATGTTTAAAAAAAAGTTCACTTAAAAGAAAATATATCAAACAAAGTTTACACAAAAAAGTTTTTGTTTATGTTGTTTGATTATTATATATATGTAATTTATATTATCATGTAACTATTACTGTATAATATGGTGTATTGTATAATAACATAATAAATAATTTTTTATGTTATATAATATATTAAATGTATGTTTTAAATTTATTTATGAACTTTTATCATGTTTTAGTAATTTTTGTTATTTTTGAGGACTATATTGTAAATTAATTAACTTTTAAAGATTTTTTTGAAAATTCATTGTTGGAACAAATTATCTTCAAATCCTTAAAATGAGTTTTTGCTTCCCTCAACATACTCAAATGTTTTAATTTCCGAGTGTTCCGAACCTGGACGGGGTCTCTGATAAATGGGTTTTAGTGAGAAGACTTCAAATGGGTACTTGTTGGGCTTCAACATGGGCCAGATTTAGGTTATAAATCTAGCTACGGGATTTCTTAACTCTTCAACTTTGATCCTTGTTGTCGAAACAAGAGCGACGTTGATATCCGATCTTCCAAGGGATTTGGCGGAGGAGGTGCTCTCAAGGCTTCCGGTGACATCTCTGAGAGGAGCGCGATCCACCTGCAAAAAGTTGAACACTTTAACGAAAACTCAGAGCTTTACAAAGAAGCACATCGGTGAAGCAAAGAAGAAGCAGAGGACGGAGTTTCAGGTGGTCATGGTTCTCGAATATAAGCTTTATTTGTATAGTGTCAATCTCCTCTGTGATCCATCTCTAGAGCGTATAGGTAAACTCGTTAGCCTTGGCGATGATGCAGATGGAGTCACATATCTAAAATCTTTCACTAAAGACAGAGCTAGGCTTGTTGTTTGGAACCCTTACACTGGGCAAACGAAGTGGATCCAACCCAGAAATTCTTACAACAGATAGACAGGTACGCTCTGGGGTACGAGAGGAAGAGCAGCCACTCGCTCCGTAGCTACAAAGTGTTGAGATTTATGGATGATTACGACTCGAGCGTGAAGCACCGAATCACTGAGTTTGAAATCTACAGTTTAGACTCTGATTCGTGGAAGGTTGTTCATGTGAATCCGGACTGGGATATAGAGTATTTTCATCGTGGCGTGTCTCTCAAGGGAAACACTTACTGGTATGCTCAAGAGAAGATTCCAATAGATCCACACGAAGAGGGAGATATATCAGATCAACGTGATTTCTTGCTCTGCTTTGATTTTACAACGGAGAGATTTGGACCGCGCCTGCCTCTGCCTTTCCACTGCTTTGGAGAAACAGTGACTCTATCTAGTGTTGAGAGAAGATCAGCTCGCGGTCTTGTATCAGATAGGTGAACCTGCATCATTCACCCTCAAGATATGGATTAGTAGCAAGATTGAGCCCAATGCAGTGTCGTGGAACAAGTTGTTCTTAGCTGTTGATATCGGTTTTAGTTTCTTAATATGGTGGGAGTTTCTTCGTTGACGAGGAGAAGAAGGTCGCGGTGGTTCTTGATATAGACAGAGGTAAATCTTGCCCCACTCGTAACACGGCTTACATGATTGGCGAAAAGGGATACTTCAAAAAAGTGGATCTCGGAGGATCTGCATTGTTGGCCACTTGTGTGCTCTTATGTTCCAAGCTCAGTGCAAATCAAGCAAGCTTCACCACCAAGCAACCAGAAGAACACACCCTAATTTACCAAACTTACAAGATTTTTCTTTTGCCTCTTTTTACTAAATCTTCAATTTATATGATTTTTTCTTTTGCAATTTTACCAGAAACCCATTTGTTCCCCCAACAAAATAAAAAGAAATCACTCACGTAGGATAAAAGTAGAATCCTTTGTTTATCCAACATCATTTCATTGATTATTCAAAATAACAAAGAAAGGGGAAAAACAAAGGAAATGAAACAAATTACATTATCCTTGTTTTGATTAACTAGCTAGTTTCAGTTTTTTTTTATTTTGTTCTTTTGCCTCTAACAAAGTATTAGATTTTAACCAAGCTTGGAACATAACTCATCAGCAGAAATGGGCAATCAAATGTTGAAGTTTCTCCGAAATTTTCTCCTCTTAGTAGTCCATCCTTTCCAGCAATGTATATCATGTTGGACATGATTGCATTTAAATGGCCGCCCTCCTTTGGTTTTGCAGCATAATACACAACGACTTTCTTCTCCTCATCGAAAAAAAAGTTCATATGATTCGGATACTCATGTGCAGTTCGTAGTGCCATCACATCTACTCTGAAGGACTTACCCCACGATACAAAGTTTGGATTGATCTCATTTGTAACCCATATCTCTATCTGATATTTATGCTCAAGAAGAAATAACACCGAAAGTTGTTCGTCTTTAACAGAAGAAAGATCATTCTTCCAATATTCACCTCGGACGACTGGTAGAGACAAACATCCAAACCTCTCTGTCGTAAAGTCAAAACTTATTAACATGCATGGGTCCTTGACTTGTGGTAAGTTATTTCCACAAAACCAGTACGTATTTCCTTTCAAAGGCACGCCATAAGAACTTATACACCGATCGGGAGTCAATTCAAGAACCCTCCAAGTTTTAGAGTTAAGCTCATAAATTTCCACTATGTGGGCACAAAACATAACCCTCACGATTTTGTAATTTGGGGAAGATGAATTGTTTTCATATCCGAAAACATATTCATCATGAAAAATATTGTAGTTGCCATATAATTTTTCACACTCGTGGTAGTATTCATTTCTTCGTTCAATCCAATTGGTTTGCCCCGTACAAGGGTTCCAAACGACGAGTCTAGTGTTGTCCTTTGTTGTGCATAACAATAACCCGTCGCAGTGAAATATATTAGAAATATCAGCTTCTGAATCGTAACGGGGATCTATTATACTAAGTTTGCCTGAAACCGTTACAGATGGATCAAAAATATTGTTACGAGTTCCATGGAGATCTACGGCCATTAAATAAACCCTAAAATGCTTCAGCATGACAACCATATTCTGCTTTGATGCTTTACTAAGATGTGTCTGAGTGAATATACGATCATTGATTAAAGCATTCCATTTTTTGCAAGTAGGTCTTAGCCGTATCAAAGTCGTAGTCGGAATTCTAGAAAGGATTTCTTCTACCAAATCGTTTGGAAGATCAGACATCATCATTGTAAATTTCTATTGCAATCTCTGCTTCGATCTTCCAATCAAACAGAGCTGCTGTTTGAAATTAAGGCTTTGATTTTCACGTTTGCTCTGGATATAAAAAAAGGCTTTCAGATTTGCTGAATCTTATATAGACAAGGAGTTAAGTTGCATTGCACCAAAGTACCAAACCAAGCCATAAAGAAAAGTATCTCATATTATTTAAAAGTTAGATATGCATGTGCTAAATAATAATGAAAATCTAATCCATGATTTTATTTATATAGGATTTGCATACATTTCTAGTTTAAATTTATGGTATAACTTTCCTTTGAGAAACAGATATCTGTCTTCACTAAATTTAAAAATCATTTTCTTCAAAGTCATATTTCCCAGTTAATTTATTAATACGATTTATAAATGGAAATATTTATTACTACAAATATTTCTTCTTTTTTAGTTTTTTTTTTTAAATACTACAAATATTTCTTCTTTTTTAGTTTTTTTTTTTAAATCATTTTCAGAACTTTTTCCACTTTTTTTTTCCTTTTCCACCTTTTCCCTTTTTCCGTTAGTATATGAAACTTTTTTTTTTCTTAAAATATGAGGCATGCGATTAAAAAAAAAAAAAAAAAAAAAAAAACTAAACTGTTAGAATATGGATCATTTTTCTGTTACAATATGGAAAATATATTTTCTTCTTTTTTAACATCTTTTTATCATTTTTTCCTTTTCTTTTCTAAGACACATAATAATTGTAGCATAAAAAATGACACATGTCGGGATCTTTCGAATTATAAAATTTTATGAGTTGCAACCACGTTAGGCGCATCAAATTTATGTAATAAAATTTGACAATTACGCGATATGCTCTTCACAAGTCAACTAATGAATTTGATAGTCGGAGCACAAAAGATTTACTTTTATTTTTTCTTGTATCACAAATCTTAAAGTTCTAATTTATTATGGAAGTTCTTATGGAGTGCCGATTGGTGTATACGTTTCTAATTTATTATGAAAAATGAATTTAATTTATTTAGTTCGACACTAATGGATGATGGTTTTGAACTTGTTTGAGTAAATCGTCTTTTGTTCAAACCCTTTTTCTTAGTAATCGTTTTCTACAAGGAGTGATGTTAATATCGTTAGTACTTAGTACCCCCAACAAGCAAAATAAAAATAAAAGAAATAATCACTCACGTAGGATAAAAGTGGAATCATCTGAACCAAATTATATGCAAAATATTCATACGGCAGCCAATATATACAAAATGACTGGGCAGAGATTAATTAGAAAGAAGAGAAAACATCAACTCACTGATTATTCAAAGAAACAAAAGAAAGGGAAAAACAAAGGAAATGAGCCAGATTACATTACTAGTTTCAGTTTTTCTTCTTTTGTCTTTACCAAAGTATCAAATTTGAATCAAACTTGGAACATAACTTATCAACATAATTGGGCAACGTGATTCTCGGAGATCTTCTTGTCTTATAACTCCATCCTCTCCATTAATGAATACCATGTTGGTTGAATACCCCTCCGTTTCCTTTTCAGCACAAAACAAAACGACCTTCTTCTCCTCGTCGATTAAAAAATTCATATGAGATTGATACCTAATTGTACATGTACCTCGTAGTCCCATCGTAGTACCTACTCTAAAGGTATTACTCCACGATACAAAGTTTGGTCTAATCTCATTTGTCACCCATATCTCTATCTGGTCCCAGCATGTTGGATCGAAAAACGTAAGATATAAAACTGTAAGTTGCTCTTCTCTAACAGAAGACAGGTCCATCTGTACCATACTATCTCGAACTGGTAGACACAAACACTCAAACCTCTCTGTTGTAAAATCAAAACTTATTAACACAGGCTTGAATTGTGGTATTTTCTTTTCACCACACCAGTAAGTATTTCCTTTCAAAGGCACGCCATAAGAACATATAAACCAATCGGGAGTGGATTCAAGAACCCTCCAAGAATCAGTGTTAAACTCATAAATTTCCACGTTAAATACGTGGAGACAAAACAAAACCCTCACGATTTTGTAGTTAGGGGAAGATGCACTGTTTTCGTATCCGAGAAAATATCCATCGTATGGATATGATTCAAAATGAATACCATATAAATTTTTACATTTGTGATTATATTCAGGTCTTTGTAATTGTTCGATCCACTTGGTTTGCCCCGTACACGGGTTACAAACGACGAGTCTGTTGTTGTCAGTTATGGTGCATAACAATAACCCGTTGCAATGATATATTTTGGAAATATCAACTTCTGAATCACAAGGGGAATCTGTTAGACATAGTTTACCTGAAACCATTATAGCTGGATCAACCATATTTTTACGAATTTCATGGAGATTGACGTCCATTGAATAAACCCTAAAATCCTTCAACATGACAACCGTATTCTGCTTTGATGCTTTGCTAAGATGTTTCTGAGAGAATTTACGATCATTGAGTAAAGCATTCCATTGTTTGCAAGTATATTGTAGTTGCATCAAAGTCGTAGCCGGAACTCGTGAAAGTATTTCTTCTACCAAATCATTTGAAAGATCAGACATCATCTTTGCAAGTTTCTTTTTTTGCAGTCTCTGATTCGATCTTCCTATCAATCAAAGTTGTCAGGACTCAGTGATGCGGTTTGAATAGAAGAAACATTCACGTTCGCTAAATCTTATATAGACAAGAAAGTAAAGTTGCATTGCACCAAACCAAGCCATAAAGAAAAGTAGAGTATCTCCTATTATTAAAAAGTTAGATATGAGTCATATGATGATGACTCAAGTCATACATAATAGTGTGAAAACATTGATGGATTTTTATATAAAATTGTGGCATGTGTTAAAATAATAATGAATCTCTTATCTATATATGATAGATTTTGCATACATTTTCTAATGTAAATTATGTTATAACTTTCCTTTAAAAGAAAAAAGAACAAAAAAAACATAAAACTTTTAAATGACTTTTCAAAAATATTTTATTCAAAGTCATATCAGTTGATCAATTAATACTTTTTATAAATCTAAATATTTATTCTAACGAAATTTACTTGATAGTTTTTAATTTAGATGAGATGTTTAATTTTTTTTTTCATTTATATTTTGAAAGAGATAGTGGTGGAAGTTATCTATTATTTCCATTTGCTTAGAAAGTTCAAAACAATTATAGATTTTTTTGTCCATATATAAAATAACATTTCTCATTTTAGATCTGGTATTGCAAATGTAAATCATAATGTATACTTTTTCTGTACATATTTTAGATTTTGGTTTCGAAATTCGAAGTCCTATAAACCTCTCTACTCTCAGTGGCTTTATTTCCCACCACGTTCCGTTTTTCACTCTTTGAAATCGATGACACGTTTTATTTAAAGTCTAGCATATACGCTTACCTACAACATAAGTCCCAAAAAGATATATATTTGATAGGGATTTAAGCAACATATATATATATATATATGTATATATATAGTTCCATACGTGTTCATGCTCCGAGCAAGCTTCTCAACAATGTAACGTCCACTCTAAGAAACTTCAAAACCAAGCAAAAAACGCCCCATCAAATTCAAAAGCAACTCTTCTCCTACCACCAAATTCCGAAAACCCAATACCTCCTAAAACGAACACAACTCTACTCTATAAAATTTTGTACAAACGCCAAACCTGCTGATATTAAGAAAACGAAAAATTGATCAACCATGGTTTCAAAACCGATATTCTTTTTGCTGCTTCTCGCGGTGGCATTGGCCGTGTTTCAGACCAGATCTCTAGCCAACGCTGAAGACACCGAGTCTTCGAGCTCAGCGAGAAAGCCACTGGTGAAGATAGTGAAGGGAAAAAAGCTATGCGACAAAGGATGGGAATGTAAAGGATGGTCCGAGTATTGTTGTAACCATACAATCTCCGATTTTTTCGACACTTATCAATTCGAGAATCTATTCTCTAAACGTAACAGTCCAGTGGCTCACGCCGTCGGCTTTTGGGATTACCGGTCATTCATCAACGCCGCCGCCGAGTATCAGCCTCTAGGGTTCGGTACTGCCGGAGACAAACTTCAAGGAATGAAGGAAGTCGCTGCGTTTCTTGGCCACGTTGGAAGCAAAACTTCATGTAAGTTAGCTTAACCGGTCAATTAAAAGCTAACCGGGATATTCAATCATTGGTACAGTAATTAACCGGAATTGTTATTTCCGGTTTTAAAAGGCGGTTATGGGGTTGCGACGGGCGGACCATTAGCTTGGGGGTTGTGTTACAACAAAGAGATGAGTCCTGATAAGCTTTATTGCGATGAATACTATAAATTGACATTTCCTTGTACTCCTGGTGTCTCGTACCACGGTCGAGGAGCGTTACCGGTTTACTGGTACGACGTTTTAAATTAAACAAATTCCGGTCTAGTCTAATTATGCAATTTTGAGTTTTTTGTTTGGCTGGTTTAGGAATTACAATTACGGTCAAACCGGGGAGGCATTGAAAGTTGACTTATTGAGTCATCCAGAGTATCTCGAGAACAATGCGACGTTGGCGTTTCAAGCGGCGATATGGCGATGGATGACGCCACCGAAGAAGCACGTACCGTCGGCGCACGATGTTTTCGTCGGAAAATGGAAACCGACGAAGAACGACACGGCGGCGAAACGAACTCCCGGGTTTGGAGCCACCATAAACGTCCTTCACGGCGATCAGATGTGCAACAGCGGATTTGATAACGATGAGATGAATAACATCGTGTCTCACTACTTGTATTATTTAGATCTGATGGGAGTTGGAAGAGAGGAGGCTGGTCCTCATGAGACTCTGTCGTGTGCCGATCAAGAGCCTTTCTCTTCTTCCTCTTCCTCAGCTCCTCCGAGCTCTGGTTCCTCTTCTTGAATGAGATTTTTTACTAAAATTAAGATGGTTACCTGGCTTCTAAGAAAAATCTGTGAATGGTGTATATGATGTATGTGTTTTGTTTTGCATCGTAAATTTTCATACAATTCCAATATTCTCTATATCTAGTACTATCCACCCGTACCTAACAAAAATATAACAAAAGTGTAAATAAAGGAAGACAAGCGAAATATATAAAGGATCTAAGTTCATAATGACAACGCAAATGTAAAAGCTATTTATTTAGCCTAAAAAATCCAATATTCTCTTAGTTGTACCGTACACTGAAAAAATAACTCTAGTCGATGTTAAAATAGCTTTTTATGTGGGAAACCTATATATGTAGAGATTATAAGTTTATAACCTATATATGTAGCGCAGGCCCGGACCATACCAAATATGGGCCCTGTGTTGAGAAAGATTATACACTAAACTTGAAAATTATTAGACTTTATCTGTAATTTTTGGAGAAAATATGCCTTAAAAATATAATTTTAGAAGAAATCAGGCCCTAAAACTAAAGAAAAAATTCAAAAATTGAGAATAGACCCTGTGATGGATCCCACCTCACACAGGCTTGTAACCGGGCCTGATGTAGCGATTATTCCCTCCGTTTCAAATTAGTTGTCGTTTTGGGAAAATGTATCTGTAATTATTTGGATGTATCTGCAATGCAAAACATGTCTAGATACGTCCAAATATTTGCAGATACATTTTGCCAAAACGACAACTAATTTGAAACGAATGGAGTATAAGTTTATAACGTAAATGGTTCCACTCTCACTTAAATATGATAAGGATAAGAAACTCTTGCTTATTAGTCATTACGTAAGTAGATGTGGATCAGTGGATATAATATGCTTTATTCATTGAAAAGTTATTAACAAAACAAAGTTAAAAACGTAACTAAGTCATTAACAACTACAGATTCAGAGAATCACACAACCAAAAGAAAAAAGTAATACAAATTGTACATCACACAACAAATATAAACAAGATTACCATTCGAAGCAAGACTTAGGTAGGTGGATAAGATAGAACGTCATAAAAAAGGAATAGGATAAGAAATAAGATTTGTTTGGTCTACCCGTCTACGTACGTACGTCACAAACTGATAAACTCTTGTTTATTTAGGTAAGTATATAGGTCCGGGTCAAATCTAGTAGAGATCTTCTTCTTTTAATGTGATGGATAAGGTTAAAGAAAAATCTGAGTTTGTAACGAAGGAATTTTTGGGTTGGTGACGAAGTATGTATCCCACAAATAATTTTGTAGGTGATATGTCCTTTGTTTTAGGCATTTTAGCATACAACTGTACAAGATGGAAAAAAAATCAAGATCTACTTTGTATTGTTTTCGTCAGTCAAGCTGTATTTCCTAGCATAAACAGAAATAAATTCGTAGAAAATACATTCCATATTTGCAATTAACATTTTCCAGATACAGTACAGTGACAGAGTCGGACTCTGATCCTCAATTTTGCATCGACGACCTTACAATTTCGTTCGGTTCAGATTAATTTTGGATAATTTTTCCGGTCAGCTAATTAAATTAAACGGAAACACACGTGGCAATTGTACCTTACCCAAAACGGCCAAACTACACACACACACCATATAAACCTTTCGACTTCACCAACGTGTTTTTGACTATGTGAATTGATTCTCTCCACTCCCGAGGGAAGAAAGAGAGAGAGAGAGAGAGAGAGAGAGAGAGAGAGAGAGAGAGAGAGATGGCGGAAACTCCGGCGACGAAGTGGCGTGATATCGATGACCTTCCCAAGATTCCCGCGAATTACACGGCGTTGACGCCGCTCTGGTTCTTAGATAGGGCTGCGGCTGTTCATCCCAATAGGAAATCGGTGATCCACGGATCCCGGGAGTACACCTGGCGTCAGACTTATGATCGATGTCGCCGACTCGCCTCCGCTCTCGCCGACCGATCGATCGGCCCCGGTTCGACGGTAATCGCTTCTTCTCTTCCTAATCTCTGAATCCGGATTGACTCTATCTGAAACGTTCGTTTCCGAAAATATTGAATCATTTCCCTCTTCCGATTTATTGCGAACATGAACTCATATATTTCGACCCAAAATGATTGATTTTCCATGATTGTAAGATTGTAATCGATTTTGTATAGAATCTGTTTTATGAAATCATCATATACGATCATGGAAGAAAATCACCTGATTAACCATAAAGTTCTGAATCTTATCTCTTTGTTTGTTCTATGGTTGCTCTCGCATGAATCTTGCTGCTTTGTCTTCTTGTAATCTGAGTAATTGCATTTTTTGCAGGTGGCTATAATCGCGCCCAACGTTCCAGCAATGTACGAAGCTCATTTCGGAGTACCAATGTCAGGAGCCGTCTTGAATTGCGTCAACATCCGTCTCAACGCTCCAACAATCGCTTTCCTTCTCTTCCACTCGGAGAGCTCTGTTTTAATGGTGGACCAAGAGTTCTTCACTCTTGCAGAGGAATCTTTGAGACTCTGGGAGGAGAAAGCCGGAAACAGCTTCAAACGCCCGCTCCTTATCGTCATAGGTGATCACACCTGTCCTCCGGAGTCACTCAACAAAGCTTTATCGAAAGGAGCCGTAGAGTACGAAGATTTTCTTGAAACCGGAGATCCAAATTATCAATGGCAGCCACCAGCTGACGAGTGGCAGAGCATTGCTCTTGGTTACACCTCGGGAACAACCGCTAGCCCGAAAGGAGTGGTGCTTCATCACCGAGGCGCTTATCTAATGGCTATGAGCAATCCGCTCATCTGGGGGATCCAAGAAGGTTCTGTTTACTTGTGGACTCTCCCCATGTTCCATTGCAACGGTTGGTGTTTCCCTTGGACCCTCGCTGTGCTCTCCGGTACAAGCATCTGTCTCCGTCAGGTACTGTGCTTGAGAGTTTATAGCTTCTACTTAAAGAGTAGTAGTGATCTGATCAAATTTCTTGGTTTTTCAGGTCACGGCGAAGGAAGTGTATTCAAGCATAGCCAAGTACAAGGTTACACATTTCTGTGCAGCGCCTGTGGTCCTCACCACTATCGTCAACGCTCCTAAAGAAGAAACTGTCCTTCCTCTTCCCCATAAGGTCCACGTGATGACTGCAGGAGCTGCTCCTCCACCTTCTGTCCTCTCCTCCATGAGCGAGAAGGGCTTCCGTGTCACTCACACTTATGGACTCTCCGAGACTTACGGTCCTTCCACGGTATGCGCTTGGAAGCCAGAGTGGGATTCCCTTCCTCCTCAGAAGCAGGCTCAGCTCAATGCTCGCCAAGGTGTCCGCTATACCGGCATGGAGCAGCTTGATGTCATCGACACTCAGACTGGAAAGCCTGTCCCTGCAGACGGGAAAACCGCCGGAGAGATTGTTTTCCGAGGGAACATGGTGATGAAAGGGTATCTAAAGAATCCGGAAGCGAACAAAGAGACGTTCGCTGGAGGTTGGTTCCACTCGGGAGATATCGCAGTGAAACATCCAGACAACTACATCGAGATCAAGGACCGGTCGAAGGATGTTATCATCTCTGGAGGTGAGAATATAAGCAGCGTGGAGGTGGAAAACGTTGTGTACCATCACCCGGCGGTTCTTGAAGCATCTGTTGTGGCAAGGCCAGACGAGCGGTGGCAGGAATCTCCGTGTGCGTTTGTGACGGTTAAGAGCGATTACGAGAAGCAAGACCAGGATAAGTTGGCTCAGGATATTATGAAATTCTGCCGGGAGAAGCTGCCGGCGTATTGTGTCCCGAAGTCGGTGGTGTTTGGGCCGTTACCGAAGACGGCTACTGGAAAAATTCAGAAGCATGTTTTGAGGACTAAGGCCAAAGAGATGGGACCAGTACCAAGAAGCAGGTTATAGAAAACCTAAAAGCCAAAATGGGAAATCATCATTTTGAATATACACTGTGTTGTATGTTTGTGGAACTTTGTCTTATATGGTCTTTTGACTCTTTCCTAATAATAACACAGAATCTCAACTTTGTAATTTTTTTATCAGTTTTCAGTTAGTTTTTATGAACAAAAAAGTGTAGCCTCAGGACAATTTCTAGTATAGTTCCTAAATATTATAGGATTCATAGTAGATTAATCAAACATTTATAGTCTTGCAATGGTGTGTTTTCTCGTTACAAATAGTCAAATACCATACACAAATTACAAGTATGACAATATTACGTACGTTGGCCACTAAAGGTGTCACACACACACACACACAGGTACATATAGACAATGCTCTCAAACTAATAATCAGATCCCAGTCCCAGCCATATTAATGAGGTCGAATATAAAGATCAGTGTAACAATAAAAGCGCTGTCGACATTAGGGTAAATTGTAGCCACTAATCTATCATCTCCTTCATGTACCTATAAATACACGCATATACGTGACAATATGTGTCAAGTAAAATAACTTAATGATCTAATTAAAGAAACGTTTTCATCGTATTTTTTTTATACCTGAGCGATGATTTTCGTGGAATCGCCAACATAGATTCTACATGCACGTTTCATAAACCGGCCTTTAATTGTGAAATCACAAGACACTTCTCTGGTTTGGTTCTGTTTCAAGAATACTTCAACTCTTGTCTTCAGTTGAACCGTTGAAGGTCTTTTAACCGTGAAGATTTTATCATCTAAATCACTTCCTCTGTACACTTGCCATCGATCGTGCTTACTAGTCACCTTTTATATGTTCAAATCCAACGCATAACCAAGATTCAACTAAGTAAAAATCGACCGGGTAGCAAAATAAAAAAAAAAAAAATTGATAGCTAGTAATAACGAGGGAAGAAACAAATTAAAAACCTTCATTTTCATGGTGACAATGGGAGAGTCATTAGAATCAACCAAAATCCTTTTGTTGTGTAGACCGAAGAGAGGTGTTTTGACTTTGAACACTTTGTTTCCGTCCGTGTCCTTCACTGTATCTCCGATGATAGTTAGATCCGATGGTTGAGGACGAGCAAACTCAGGTCCTACGATTGGTACCGTGTTGCTGCTATTGGGAACTTCTTCTGCCATTATTGTCTTATACCAAAGGAGATGATAATAAAAGAGGACTTTTATCACGTTTGAATGATTTTTTGTTATGACTTAATCATATCCTTAATGATATAGTTTTCTCTTAATTTATTCTGAAAGTAAAATACTTAAAAAATTCAAATTCTTTGGCGTACAGAGAGATGTATATCATAAAAATATAATGATATACATACTGTAGTGGCCAAATTTTTCTGTTTGTGTGACCAAGTCCATATAGACAGCTAAAAAAATAGTGTACACTTTTTTGGAATAAACTGAATAAAATTTGATACTACACATTTTGTCCATCCATCATGTCCCACTTCACACCGTCTCCCTTCGCGCCTAAAACATTATTGTCGAGCAAATTTGTCTACTGATAGAGAAAACCTTTTACATTCATGATAAAAATATAGTTTAAAAAAAAGAACATTCCTTGAATTTGCTTTAAAAGTGTTTAGAAATAAATTCACACCGGGAGATAAAGACGTTGGAAACGGACTCAAGAAGATAGAAAAAACCATATGCATAATCGATGACGCATGTGAGAATCAAAACAGATCTCTATATGTTATTACTTATTAAGCAGCCTGAGCAGTGATTATCAGCGAACGAGGACAACACAGCTGACATTCTAATTGATCAGTCGTTATCTGTTATGAAAATGTATGATACTGGTCCGGATAAAGTGTTAGGATATATTTTCGTCACTAATCTCTCATTCGACATTAGGATATATTTTCGTCACTAATCTCTCATCTCTTTCATGTACATGTATATAAAGTGTTAAAGACACACTGAAAAAAGATGGGATCGTGCTTATGTTGGAATTGTCATACCAATATTTGTTTATTCGTGTTCGTGATCACCAGCCATGAAATTTACATGAGAAAATTAAATTTGATAGAGCAGTTATTTGTTTTGTTTGTTTCAGGTTAAAAAAATCTTACTTGAGTCAGCTAAAACGGTAGCGTTTTGGGAACATTGTCTCTGAGGTTAGATGTTTCGCTTTCACTCAGCTCCGTTCTGGTCACTCGAATCCCGGACAGTCGTGACATGAGAGGCTTTGCTTCTTCAGCATCTAGAATAGCGGCGGCAGCAACGAAACCGGCCGAATCCCTAAATCCAAAACCCTTTAAACCCATACCTTCCTCAGGTAAACCCGCCAATCCTACTGACCAGCGTTACATTTCGCAAATCATCGGGAGGAAAGATTGGTTTTTGGTCCTCAAGCAGGAATTCATTGCTCATCGAATTGGTTTAAACTCTCGATTCGTCATCAGCGTTTTGCAGAACCAAGACAACCCATTACACTCCCTGAGATTCTACCTCTGGGTCTCCAACACCGACCCGGTTTACGCCAGGGACCAGTCTCTGAAAACCGTTCTAGGGAACGCCCTCTTCCGCAGAGGCCCTCTATTGCTCTCTATGGAGCTTCTCAAGGAAATTAGGGATTCAGGGTATCGGATTACTGACGAATTGATGTGTGTATTGATCGGCAGCTGGGGAAAATTAGGTTTAGCTAAATACTGTAACGATGTCTTTGCGCAGATATCTTTCCTCGGGATGAAACCCAGCACGCGGCTGTACAACGCTGTGATCGACGCGCTGGTGAAGTCCAATTCGCTTGATTTGGCTTACCTCAAGTTCCAGCAGATGCGTAGTGACGACTGTAAACCGGACCGGTTCACCTACAATATACTCGTCCATGGTGTTTGCAAGAAAGGTGTGGTTGATGAAGCGATTCGGCTGGTGAAACAGATGGAACGAGAAGGGAACAGGCCAAATGTGTTCACTTTCACGATTTTGATTGATGGGTTTTTGATCGCAGGGAGAGTTGAGGAAGCATTGAAGCAGTTGGAGATGATGCGAGAGAGGAAGCTGAATCCTAACGAAGCTACAGTGAGAACTTTGGTTCATGGGGTTTTCCGTTGCTTGCCGCCGTGTGAAGCGTTTGAGGTTTTGCTTGGGTTTATGGAGAAAGACTCGAACTTGCAGAGAGTGGGATATGATACTGTGCTGTGTTGTCTTTCAAGCAACTCAATGGGGAAAGAGACTGCTCTCTTCTTGAAGAAAACAGGTGAGAGAGGTTATGTGCCGGATTCTTCAACGTTCAATGTTGCAATGAATTGTCTCTTGAAAAGGTATGATCTTGTGGAGACTTGTGGGATATTCGACGGTTTTGTTAACCGAGGAGTGAAGCCAGGATTCAATGGTTATCTTGTGGTGGTTCAAGCTCTGTTGAAAGCTCATAGGTTCTCTGAAGGTGAACGGTATCTGACACTAATGAGTGTTGATGGACTTATATCGAGTGCGTATGATTACAATGCGGTGATTGACTGTCTCTGCAAGGCGAAACAGACGGAGCGTGCAGCTATGTTCTTGACAGAGATGCAGGAGAGAGGTGTTTCTCCGAATCTTGTAACTTTCAATACCTTTATGAGCGGTTATAGCGTGAACGGCGATGTAGAGAAGGTTCACGGAATGCTAGAGAAGCTTCTTGATCGTGGTTGCAAACCAGACGTGATCACTTTCAGTACCATCATAAGCTGTCTTTGCCGTGCAAAGGAGATCAAAGATGCGTTTGACTGTTTCAAGGAGATGTTGGAGTGGGGGATTGAGCCGAACGAGATCACTTATAATATCCTGATTCGTTCGTCTTGCTCTACAGGAGATATTGGTAGGTCAGTGAGGCTTTTTAGGAGGATGAAGGAAAGTGGGTTGAGTCCAGACGTTTATGCGTACAATGCGGTTATTAAGAGCTTTTGCAGGATGAGAAAGGTTGAGAAAGCTGAGGAAATGGTGAAGACGATGGTGAGGATTGGTTTGAAACCAGATAACTATACATACGGCGCTCTCATCAAAGCGTTGAGTGAAACTGGGAGAGAGAGTGAAGCGAGAGAGATGTTTAGTTCAATGGAAAGACATGGATGTGTTCCGGATTCATATACTAGGCGTCTTCTTGAAGAACTCTCGAGAGAAACAGTGTCAGCTTCATAGAAGTCAGTCCTCGGGATTTGGAATGCCTCAATGAAGGCTTTGGGACCAGAATGTTTAACCGAATTGGTATGGAAGGAACCAGACTGTTTAATTAGAGTGGCTTCTTTTTCTGGTTGAAAGGTCTGCGAAAGAAGGAATTTTGGTGCCACAAACAGAGCGTGAGTGCAAATGCAGAACAGAGTATTGAGTTTTGTGGTGTGATTGATCAAAATTTTTACATGTTTCTGAGTCTGAGAAAGTGGCGCCAATTGTAGTGGCGGTTGTTGGTACATGACAGTTAGCTCAAGGCGAAAGATCATTTGTAATGTACTTTTTGACACTGGATGGCTTCATCCCCAATTGTACCATTACCGTGTAAAATTTTAGGATTCTGTTTGACATGAGTATCGAATTGTTAATCTCAAACTAGTATTATAAACACAAAATACTTACCATACTGTTACAGAATAAATCGTTTTATTGAAATGAACCTTTTGTCCACTTTTAACTCGACTTCATCCACAATTCCTGTATGTTGTGTTCACTTCTTATGTTCCAAGTTTAGTGCAACTAATATAAATTCATTTGCAGAGTAGTTTGTTTTTCTTTCTTGAATCATCTCCTTCTGAACAAGATTGAAGCTCTCTTAGGTTCTTCTTATGAATTATAAAACCAATTCACTGATTCTGAAAATCATTTTGTTTACAGATAAAAGCATAAGTACAGTATATGATTAAAGATAAATGTTTCTTTCATTAACAGACATGATTGTGGACTTGAGACTAGAAATTCAACAAAACAGAACCAGCAAAAAACAGAACTCAAGATTTTATCACTAAGACACAAATGGAAGCAGAAACCGGTTTGAGCTCAATCAGTCTCTCTTAAATGAGCAAGCTGATAAAGGTCAAACCAGATCCTTCGTTACATAATCAATAAGATACATAACGTCTCTAACCAAATTTAACAGAACCAAGTACCTAAACAAAGTCGTCAAACTCATCTGGTAACAACCCTTCAAAAAGTGCTTTCATCTCTTCATCATCCAAGTATTCTGCAGGCAAATCATCATTGAAATTGTCAGAAACCAGCAGATTCTGTTCCTTGTCTTCAGTGTTTTTGTTGTTGACAAAATCCATCTCTTGATGATCATTCAAGTTTCCTGCAGGTAAATCATTGTTGGAACTGTTAGATAGTGGTAGAATCTGATCCAGATCTTGAGTGTTTTTGAGAAACTCGTCCAGATTTGCAGGTAAATCATCATCCAACACAAACATCTCTGTATCTGTATTGAGACAACCATCAGGAACAGTGAGATTCGACTGAAGATTTAGGGTTTGATTCACCTCTGTATCCGTGTTTTGTAAGTAATCAGGAATGCAACATATTGTCGAAGTTGACTGAAGGCTTAGGGTTTGATTAACCTCTTGATCAGTTCCATGCTGTAAAACAACATCGCTCGCTTGATCCGAACGCAATCTCTTGGCATCGCTTAACAGACTCAAAATTGACCCAATCGCCTCCTTGATTTCTACAGGATTCTGGGATCTATCAAGCCTCTTGTTATCCCACCAAAACCCTAATCCGAGATCCTTGCGAGCCAAACAAACTCCAATGTCCTCTCTCGTCTGTTTGCTCTCCTCTGGAACAGGAACAGGACGTTGTCCCGAGAGAAACGCGGAGACGATGCCATCGACGGAAGAATGGCCGTAAGAGTATAAAGAGACGTTTGAGTTGGCAGAAGGAGGAGTCGCCAAAATAGCTATCTGCGCACCAGAGAGAAGACAGAGCTGCGAAGCCTTGCTGTAGAGACCGTAACTCCGTTTCGAGTAACAAGTCGCGAGTGAGTTCTTGATCGTGATCTTCTCGATTTCAATCTTCCGCTTAGTGCCTCCTCTCGCCATTGTTTTGATGAAAGGAACGAAACCCTAATTCTCAAAATTACAGAACGAATTAGACAAGTCGAAAAGAAAGAAAGGTTTTTGTGTCTGTAAATTTTGTAGCAACGAGAAGAAGATAACCACTCTCTGTCTCGTTTTGCTCTGAGATATATATAGGGTTGGGTCGGTGGTTGCCTTGTGCCTGTGGTGGTGACCAAATATTTCCTTTTTTGAGTTTATACCGAACCACCTGAAAAAAGGAAACAACATCAACCGAGACCGGTTCAATTAAACCAAAACAATTTTTTCATTTTAGTGAACGAGTTAAACGTCATTTTAATTTAAACCACACCGAACAAAGCTAAACCAGATTAGTAATTTACACACCCAAAAAAGGAAATATAGCAAGTATCAAAATCTAGAAGAGCGGCTAAATTCAGAAGTTGGGGATTCTCAATTGAAAGAATCGCAGACGACAATGGATTCAAGTTGATTTTCAGCTGCTCTGTTATGATAAGACTCATGGAATGTTTACTGTTTTGTTCTTATTGTTGTTCCTGTAATCTTGTTGCAGGCTGTGATGGTTGATATACCATTTGCAACGGTTTAGATCAGCAAATTGAAGGCTTATCTGACACTTATCACACGTAGTGTAGTCCTAGTCCATCTTTTGATGAAGGCTTGTCTAGTTTTATGGCTGCTAATGCTTGTTGTATCAATATGTTAGTAGTGGATGAAAAATTTAAAACAAGAAGGACGAGTCTTTTTTTGGAGTTGAATGCATTATGTAGTACTGTCTCATTCTCATTGAGAGACTAATATGATATTGCTTCAATTTTACTCACTCTCTCTAACCAGGAGATTAATATGATATTGATCTTCTGGAGACGTGTGAGATATTTGACGGTTTCGTCGGTCGAGGAGTGAAGCCAGGATTCAACGGTTATCTTGTGGTGATCGGTATCTGAAACAAATGGGTGTTGATGGGCTTATATCGAGTGCGTATCGTTATATAAATGCAATAGTAATAAACACTACTGATTGACCTGATTCATTAGTTTATATAAATGCTTAATCTTGTTCAAAGAAGTTGAGAAAATAACAGAAATTAAGCAAGACAAGAAACAAGATTTCGGGGGTATTGTGAGAATGCACGTACTAGCTAGTTGCTTTTGCCTTTAGAATGTAAATAGATTTACGCTAAACTTGGAACATAAGAGACCCCAAATCGAAATATTTTTCTGTAGATTCCCAGCGATCAACTTCTCTCAAGTATTCATCCTCTCCAATGATGCAAGCTTTGTTGCGACTTGTATCTCTATAAAAAAACACTGCAGCTTTCTCTTCCTCGTCGACCAAGAAACCCCCATCTCTAAGTTCAGACTGAACACGATTGAGTGGTGCCGTGTTCACTGAAACGAACAACATCCTCCAAGAAACATCATTGGGCTCAGTCTTATCAGTAATCCATATCTCCATCCTTGATATATCCGTGCGCTGAAATAACACGGCGAGTTTCTCTTCTCCAACACTAGAGAGGCGCACAATATAACGCCCATGATCATTAGAGTGGCAAGGCAGAGGCAGATTAGGTATAAATATCTCTCTTGTAAAATCAAAACAGATCAAAGATTCACCCATCTCTCCTTTTGGATGAGCATACCAATAAGTATTTCCTTTAACAGAGACACCACCTCTACAAAAGTCTGGTTCCCATTCGGAACTGACATCAAGAGCCCTCCATGGACGCCATGAATCTAAATCATAGATTTCGTGCTTAACAAGTTTACCATAAAGACCATAATTACTTACAAAACTCAGAATTTTGTAGCTGCGGTACGAATTTCTCGTCTCGTATCCAATAGCGTACGAGGTACGAAAATTTATCGTAAAAATCCATCGAGTTTTCCCCAAATACGGATTCAAAACCACAGGCGGATTCGAGCCTCTTGGGATGCATAGCAATAAACCTCCGCAATGATACGTATGAGACACGTCGATTCGTTTCATAAGTTTGCCTTTACACTTTATAGATGATTCAACGTCTTCTTCCTTATGGAGATTGATGCTCATTAAACAAACCTTAGAATCTAACACCATGACCGCCATAAACTCCCTTGCTGCTTTTGCTTGAGCAAGGAGCTTCTTTGGAAAGTACCGACCTTTGGTTAAAGTGTTCCACGTTTTGCAAGTCAATCGTACTTCTTTCATAGATTCCAACGGAACCCTAGAGAAAATCTCCTCCAACAAATCCCCTGGAAGATTGGATATCTCCATCATTATTTCAGCAAGCGCCGATGGACGTGATAGAATTTAATTAGGGTTTTTTTTTTACTACTTACGCTTTCCCAATCTCGTAAATCAAGAAATAAATTTAGGTTAAATAATTTTTTTAACCTAAACTTTCCGTGTCGTTAGGAAGTACCTAATATTAGGGATAAATATCCCACATCGAAAGTTGGAAGGGATCTCAAGTAGTATATAAGGAATATGGGCCTCTCCATTCATTGCCAATTGGTTTTGAGTTGGAAACCCATGTAACTTAACATGGTATCAGAGCCTCGATTCATACATTCCAACCCGATCCGACCCATAATTGGTCCAATCATCAACCATGCCTAAAATTGGTGTTGGCGATCCAAATCCGAACATACCGAGATCGATGGCCAAAAAGCCATCGTCTCGAGGGGGCATATTAGTGGATAAATATCCACATCGGAACTTGGAAGGGATATGGACTTCTCCATTCATTGCCAATTGGTTTTGAGTTGGAAACCCATGTAACTTAACACCTAACCCTCTTTATATTGGAAAAGGGGAAATTGTTGCTACTATTAATTTTCTTAGTTTCAACTTATGTGGAACGTGGAATATCTAAGTTGATAAACGAATAAGAGTGGACGATTTGAATAAATTATATACCAATGAAGTTTCTGAGAAGCCTATGAATTCCGATTATTACAAAACATTTGCTGCGAAAACCTCCGATTCCCACTTACAATGCAGAGGTTTTGATGCTCGTCTCAAGTGTTTCAGGTGGCCTGTCCTGCACGTGAGGAAGCCAAATGAATATTTCTAGTTACATGCGACTGTTCATGTTCTGCAAGCTTTGGACAGTGAAGCACAAAGGACAGGTGTCGAGAAATCATTTTTGTAAACCAAACAACGAAAGCATTCTGTTGAAACTTGTCGTAGATGTCACAATGAGCCCGATTAAACTTAATCATCTTTTACTCCTCGGATAATTACATACAAGAGATAAGAAACAAAAATAAACAGTTGACCATGTTTTGTTCGAAGAATATCACAAAGAAAGACAACATGTTTATGTACTGTAAACCTGCAAGCTTTGGACAGTGAAGCACAAAGGACAGGTGTCGAGAAATCATTTTTGTAAACCAAACAACGAAAGCATTCTGTTGAAACTTGTCGTAGATGTCACAATGAGCCCGATTAAACTTAATCATCTTTTACTCCTCGGATAATTACATACAAGAGATAAGAAACAAAAATAAACAGTTGACCATGTTTTGTTCGAAGAATATCACAAAGAAAGACAACATGTTTATGTACTGTAAACTGGTCAGGTCTCCTATGGTCAGAAGCAAGAAACTGTAGCCTCATGGAGCCAATAATCTTGTACTCTCGGCCGGCCCAAAAATATCGGGACCAGAATAATTTAGTAGAGTTTTGATAAATTTTGGGGCCAAAAATAGACTTTTTTTTTTTAATTTGGGAGCCAAAATCAATGCAAATGTTTATAAAAAAATGTGGGGTCATAGCCAAAAGCCTCACTTGGCTCTCCCAGGGCCGGCTCTGTACTCTCGTTCTAGAACAAAGCATACCGAGAGAGTAATAGCGAAATGTCATACAAATATGCGGCCAAAACATGTGCACATACAAGCAAGAACAGGAATCAAAAAGTCGCCGTCACATTATCGACAAAGATCAAAGCCATACACAACTCGATCTTTTTACCTCAATGAGATCTCTCATCCATTTGGTATAGTTGATATAGAGACCTTTTCAATGTTATAATTTAAATAACTGGTTTTCTTTGTTCTACTTAATTAGGAGATGAGAAACAAGTGAAGAATGACTAAAATCTTGTTCAAAGAAGTTGAGAAAATAACACAAATTAAGCAAAGACAAGAAACAAGATTTCGGGTATTGTGAATGCACTAGTTGCTTATGCCTTTCGAATGTTAATCGATTTACGCTAAACTTGGAACATAAGAGCACCCAAATGGAGAACAATAATCTTCAGTAGATTTCCCGAGATCGACTTCTCTCAAGTATCCATCCTCTCCAATGATGCAAGCTTTGTTGCGACTTGTATCTTTATAAAAAAACACTGCAGCTTTCTTCTCCTCGTCGACGAAGAAACCCCCATCTCTAGGTTTAAACTGAGCACGACTGAGTGGTCCCGTGTTCACTGAAACGAGCAACATCCTCCAAGAAACATCATTGGGCTCAATCTTATCAGTAATCCATATCTCCATCCTTGATATATCCTCGCGCTGAAATAACACGGCGAGTTTCTCTTCTCCAACACTAGAGAGACGCACGGTATAATGTCCATGATCATTGGAGTGGCTAGGCAGAGGCAGATTAGGTCTAAATATCTCTCTTGTAAAATCAAAACAGATCAAAGATTCACCCATCTCTCCTTTTGGATAAGCATACCAATAGGTATTTCCTTTCACAGAGACACTTCCACCAATGCGGTTTTGGCATTCGGAATTGATATCAAGAACCCTCCATGAACCTTCACAGTCCAACTCAAAGATTTCGTACCTAACACGCTTACCATATAATGTTTGTAAAAAAGTCAGAATTTTGTAGTACGAATTTCTCGTCTCGTATCCAATAGCGTACGCGGGACGAAGATTTCTGGCAAAAATCCTCCGAGTTTGCCCCGAATACGGATTCAAAACCATAGGCTGCCTAATCCTACCTTCTGTGAGGCATAGCAATAAACCGCCGCAATGATAGACATGAGACACGACGATTGGTTTAATAAGTTTACCTTTACACTTTATAGAGGATTCAACGTCTTCTTCCTTGTGAACTCCATGGAGATTGATGCTCATTAAACAAATATTAAAATCAATCACCATGACCGCCAGGATCTCCCTTGCTGCTGCTGCTTTTGCTTTTGCTTGAACAAGGTGCTTCTTTTTAAAGCTCCCATCTTTGGATAAAGTGTTCCACGTTTTGCAAGTAAATCGTACTTGTTTCATAGACTGCACTGGAACCCTAGAGAGAATCTCCTCCAACAAATCCCCTGGAAGATTCGATATCTTCGTCATTGTTTCAGCAAGCGAGGATCGACGTGATAGAATTTAATTAGGGTTTTTTTTTTAATACTCACGCTTTCACAATCTCTTCAATCAAGAAATAAATTTAGGCTTTCCCAATCTGTAACTTCTCCGTGTCCTAGGAGGTAACTTAAGTTCTTTATATCTGAAAAGGGAAAACTGTTGCTGTACTATTAATTTCCTTAATTAGTTTAAACTTATGTGGAACGTGGATCGAAGTTGCAATGAGAATGAGGTTTTATCTCAGCTTGAAGGGTTTTGATGCTGGTCTCACGTGTTTCAGGTGGCTTGTCCCGCACGTGAGGAAGCAAAAAGAATATTTCTAGTTTCATGTTCTGCAAGCTTTGGACAGTGAAGCACAAAGGACAGGTGTCAAGAAAACATTGAGTTGCTTGGAAAATTATAGACTGTGAAAGTAGTACTATAAAAGAGAGAGTGTGAGAAAATCAATTATATGATTCAGTTTAATGAAATCCATATTTCATTTAGCTCTGCGCTGTTAATTGAAGCTCTCTCAAACAGAAAACCAAAAGCTCCAAAACAAAAGCATGACGTAACAAAGTAAAGCGTTTTAACTACAGCGCTTAGTAACTTGAGATTCCAATTTAATACAAAACAAAGAGTGAGGAAAGATGATTTGATTTGAAAGATGAAATATCGAACATTAATGTTATCTTTTGAGTGGTGTCATTTTCTGTTTCAGATTTAAAGCAAACAACGAAAGCATTCTCTTGAAACTTCTCGTAGATGTCACAATGAGCTGAGAAACAAAATAAAACAGTTGACCAAATTTTGTTCAGAGAATATCACAAAGCAAGACATAACAACATGTAAGGTACGTACTGTAGATGGACGAATTAAAATTGTAACTCCTTTTTCCTTTTGCCTCCTTGCTTGATTTGCATTGAGCTTGGAACATAAGAGCACCCATGTGGATAATGATGATGTTTTCTTGAAAATTCTCCGACTCCGAGATCCACTTCTTCGACATATCCATACTCTCCGATGATGTAAGCTATGTTGTGTTCGGAGATTATTTCATTTTGATCAAACACCACAGCTACTTTATTCCCTTGCTCAATAAAGAAAGGGGTTCCACTATGTGTAAAGTCATATCGAAGACTATTCAGTGGATTCGTATCCTCCGATACGAACAACTTCTTCCACGACACCACTTCAGGCTCAATCTTAGTCGTAACCCAAAACTCCATTAATACTGTTCGAGTTCGCAACACAGCGAGTTGCTCTTCTCCAACACTTGAAAGAGTCAAATAGTCATCAACATTAGTTTGAAACGGCAATGAAAGACGCGGTCCAAACCTTTCTCTTGTGAAATCAAAACAGATCAAGAAAGCATCAATCTCCTCTACAAATTCTTGTTCTTCTTCTTCTTCTCCTATTGGAAGAATTTCTTGAGCAAGCCAGTAAGTATTGCCCTTGAGAGACACAGCACAGTGATCAAGCTTTATCTCCCAGCCGGGAGAGAGATCAACAACCTTCCACGTATTAGAGTCTAAATTGAAGATTTCAAACTCCAAATAAAGACAGTTAAAACTACGATCGTTGAATTTATCCACAAATCTCAAGATTTTGTGGATACGGACCGACTTGTTCTTCATTTCGTATCCGAAACCGTACATGTCACATTTCCTGTAAGAATTTCTTGGTTGGATCGACCTCGTTCGCCCACTATAAGGGTTCCAAACCACAAGCCTAGAGTTGTTGATGTCTTGTGTGATGCACAAGACTAAACCGTCGCAGTGAAAGATTCTAGATATGTCTACTCGATCTGCATCGTCTAGGCTAATGAGTTTACCTTGTCGCTTGACAACGTTTCCGTCGTCCTTGTGGTCTCCACGGAGATTGATGTTCATTAGATAAACCCTAAAGTCCATGACCATGATGGCAAGAAACTCCTTCTCCTCCATTGCTGCTTTTAATTGAGCGAGGTGCTTCTTTATAAAGCTCCGGTCTTGGGATAACGTGTTCCATTTTTTGCAAGTAAATCTCACTGCTCTCAGAGAAGTCAACGGAACACTAGAGAGAATCTCCGTTACCAAATCCAGTGGAAGATTGGAAATTTTCGTCATTGTTTGTTTCAAGGATAGATGTTAAGTGATTAGGTTATATGCGAGACGACCTTTGAAATTCCAGGTCGGCCTCATCTTGATGGGCTTGAACTACTAGATTAAGCCCAACGGAATTTGTTTCTGGATTATTGGAGAACCGCATTAATCATCATCGTTGTTTTGAATCGTTTGATTTTTTTTTGTTCAAATTGAATCGTTTGATAATAAATTAATAATCCAATTAGAAAAAAAAAATTAAAACTGTATCTAAATTTTTATATCATAATTTATTTTTCAAATTTAGAGAATTTTGACTTTAAGTCCAGATATCAAACTATAGTTTGTTAAGAAAATATTTAAAAAATATTAAATACACTTTTTATTAATTTTTCTAAACCAAAAAAACAAAGATTTACATTTACCCTTAATTTGTTAGGGCAGCAGTAACCAAAATATCTTGTTCGAACCCGCTTTTTATTTTTTTAACAGAAAATTCAATCTTCCCTCGTTTTTTTTTCTTGTAAAATTTTGGCGGGTGGTCCGAGAGTAATAAAAGCTCCCGCTCGAGGGTAAATAAGTAAATGCATAACCCCCGAAATCCTAGGGTTTCCGCCCCCGCCTTCGTCCCTAATTATAAAGTCCCTCTCCGTTTGTTTTATCCGTTTGCTAACCATTCGTGTCTCTCTCTCTTCCTTATCATCAAATTTGCTCCGCCGATCAGGTTTTTTCGCAAAATGTCTGAGGGATCAGAAGAAACGAAAACTAAGGTCGACTCTGCCGGGGAGTTATCGGATGTTGATAATGAGAACTGCAGTAGCAGCGGAAGTGGCGGCGGCGGCGGCGGCGCTAGTTCCGGTGACACTAAGAGGACTTGCGTCGATTGCGGAACTTTCCGAACTCCTCTCTGGCGCGGTGGACCTGCCGGACCCAAGGTATAATCATAATGACTTCAATCTTCTCAGTTTTTCGTTTGTTCTGCATTTCTGCTTTAGTAGATCTGTTCATCGGATCGCGAAATCGAGTGATCGTTTTGATTGGTGTGATGGTCCTTTATAGATTAGTTGAGATTTAGCCTAATATATGCTCTGAAGATCAATAAATTTCAGTGGTCTAATCGAAATGCGAAATGGATTTGTTTTTGTTATGTAGTCATTGTGCAATGCTTGTGGGATCAAGAGCAGGAAAAAGAGGCAAGCAGCTCTTGTTACGAGACCAGAGGAGAAGAAGAAGAACAGAAAAAGCAGTAGCAGTAGTGATCTAAGCATCGATCATCATCGAAATGCGAAGAAGAAGGTGGACAAAGATGATGATCCTAAAACCTGTAACAGCAACAGCAAGAGTAGTAGTTGTAGCAGCAGTAGGAAAGGAGTGAGCAAATTTTTGGATTTAGGGTTTAAAGTTCCGGTGATGAAGAGATCGTCGGTTGAGAAGAAGAGGTTGTGGAGGAAACTGGGCGAGGAAGAAAGAGCCGCCGTGCTTCTCATGGCATTATCTTGTGGCTCTGTTCACGGCTAAGCGAAGATGCTTTTTTTTTTCTTTTGTTTTTGGTTAGGGAATAATTAAGTGAGATTGATTTATTAAATTAACTAGATAGATAATATATGTATGATTATGGATGTGTAGTTTCTAGTCATGTCGTTTTTGAAGTACTACTAATGTGTTCATTCGCTAATGAATATCAGTTTTGAGAGCAATACAATTTATTGAAGGTGTTTTCATTAATTTTGGCTATTACTCTCATTCAATAGCTCAATGTATAATTGACGCGTGATGTTAATGCGCGTAGGTTTATTTCTGTGTAGCTATTAGGCCCATATAGCCCAGAAAATTGGGCTTTTCACGGCAATCAAGATGCGCGTGGTCCTAGTTTGTCTTATCTCCATCAACCCAAATTATTTTTGTTTTGGTCCATTGATGTTTTTCTCATTTGATTTGAATTTAATTTATTAATACTTTTTGAATTCACAACTGCTAACCAATTTCAAATCTTAACAAATAAAAAATTGGTTAAGGGAGTATTATAAGGGAAAAATATATCAAGTAGCCTCGTACGCATTGATTTGATCATATGTAATTCTTACTCTGCGCTTGGAAGAGTTTTGGGTGAAATTTTATGAAATACATTTCTTAATGTGTAAATTTTCAAAACTATATGTGGAAATTTTCAAAAATACACCTTTTTCCAATTTTAATATATATGTTTGGGTTCACTAATCCTATATTAGGGTTTAGATTTTGGGGTTTAAGGTTTAGATTTAAGGGTTCAATGTTAGATTTTAGTGTTTTGGATTTATATTTTAGGGTTTAGAGTTTTTTTACTAAATGAAAAAAGTGTAGTTTTGAAAATTGGCACCATAGAGATGTATTTTTGAAAATTTCCCCGAGTTTTGGTGGTTATATTATTTTGGTTAGCTTTGTACTAACTTGTAAGTAAGCCTACCAAAGTTAAATCTTACAAAGCAGCTGGTTTTTTATTTACATCAATATGATTCAACCTTAAATAAGTCATCATCATATAGTATCGGTGATGAACGAAAAAAATTATAAATGACGTTTTATATGGCAAAGTCAATAACTTTTATGCTTATAAACCCAAAGTGGTGATGACGAAAAATAAATAATTCATTTAAATGGATACCGTAGGGGACAAAAATGCTGACGTGGCTAGCAAAGCCGTGAACCACGAGAAGAATTCAAATATTGGGGGCAACTGAGTGGACCCCAGACTTTGCTCAACGGGGGGTTCCTTTGACTACGTAAGCCACCTCTTTTCTGTTTTAAGTTTTAACCCTGATATTATGCAGTCAATTCGAATTTACGACCATTACTTCTTGATTTTACACACGCACCATTAACCCAAACTACTGCACCCTTCAATAAGGGAAATCAGTTCAGTAATTTAATTTCACATTAATATCGAACAACTATTTCGTACTAACATTTCCATTGAAAAACACGTTTTCCTTTTTTGCTCTTCACGAAATCAAAGCAAAGCGAGAGTGAAATCTTCACAGAATATCATAATATACTACATTACTCTTATTACATCCAAACATTCCATAAAACACTCTTAAAAATCATTGTAATTGATTAAAGAAATAGTAGGAAATATCTTCAGTTATAGCATTGTCAAAAATACAATCCGCAATTAACATATCCAATTACACATACGGGTTCAAAAGAAGTCATTTTCGTGGTTCATGTTGTAAAAAAATGTAGTTATATACTCCCTCAGTTCTTTAAAAATGAATTTTCTACCTAATTTTTGTTGTTTTGTAAAGATAAGTAACTTTTTATACACTTTTTTATTTAAAAAAAAAACATTTATTATCCTTTATGAATTTGTATTGGTTTAAATTTACAAAAAAAAAACTATTTAACTTAAAAATCTATATATCTATGATTAAAAAGTAATTTTTTCTTAATATATGTCAAAATCTCAGAAAATTCATTGAAAAAAAGTAGTCTCTTTCGAAATTGTGCAACCTTTGTTTACTTCAACAAGAAAAACACTAAAAGCAAATAATAATTCTTAAATGCGACCAAAAATATACTAAATCGACGCAATTTGAACACGCACATAAATTTTCATTACACAGCTCTTATTTTAACGCGGTCGCTTCCTCTCTTCAAAAAAGAAAAAAGCTCTCCTTTTTAGTTTCCCAAATCCAAAAACAGAGGTTTTTGCGAGTAACGAGAATTAGCATCATCGTCATCATGGGTTTAGCTCTGAAATCCATTCCATGGATTTTTCTATTGCTGTCTCTCTTCACGGCGATTCCACTAACGTCGTCTCAGCCCCAAGCTCAACCACCAATCTCCAAAGACGCCAACCTCTGCAACGGCGTCTACGTCTCCTACACTTACTCTACCGGATCCAAGATCAAACCGAACGACACCAAGAACCAGCCGTACCGGTTCGAGTCGGAGATCACTGTGCTCAACAACGGCCGCAGCGAGCTCAAGTCGTGGCGTGTCTTCGTCGGATTCGCCCACCGCGAGATTCTCGTTTCAGCCACCAACGCCGTTCTCGGCGACGGTTCTAGCCTTCCGGCGAGCGTAGAAAACGGTACGACCTTCGCCGGATACCCCGCCGCGGATTTGAAATCGGCGATTATGACTGCCGGTGACTTAACTCAGATGCAAGCACGCATCGAGCTCGTTGGTACTCAGTTTGGCGTTGCTCCGCCGAATATTCCTCTTCCGAACAATATCACTCTTGTTCATGATGGATGGAAATGTCCCTTACCTTCTCAACAAGGTAACAAAAGAATCATCAAAATTTTAATTGCCTCTGTATAAATTTAATTTGATTTGTTTTGCAATTTAATTTACTCGTTTGATTTTTCAATATTTTCTTAAGAATTGTTTTTTTTTTGTGTGGCTGTTGTATTATCTTTAGATTACTAACTTCATTACGAAAGCATTAGAAAGAGTTGTTAAAAAATGGTGTAACGATCACATTGATTAGTTCTGTTTTGATATAATCACTCGTTGAAAAAGTCTATTTCTTGACATTTTTGAATCAGTCTTCAGTAGCAGTTAGATTATATTACTTGCTTGGCTTTTCTGATTGTTTGTGTAGAGAAACAGTTCAGTTTACATTTTTGTTTCTCTTGTTTGTGTTGTGTCTTGAAATGAAATGTATTTCTTTGTTCTGTTCAGGTAGAAATGTTCTGCAAGTATGTTGCACGCCGGTTCCGACAAACAAAACAGTCACCATCCCCGAAAAGTACCTACCAAGACAAGACGGAGATCTAACCATAATGTACGACGTGACAAAAGCATACACATCGAACTACTGGTCACAAGTCACGATCGAGAACCACAACCCGCTCGGTCGTCTCGACTACTGGAAACTAAGCTTCGCATGGATGAAAGACGAGTTCATCTACACAACCAAAGGAGCTTACCCTAGCATTGTAGACTCATCTGAATGCATCGATGGCCCTCAAGTCAAACACTACCAATCACTCGACTTCTCCAACGTCTTGTGCTGCGCGAGAAGACCAACCATCATAGACCTCCCTCTCACCAAGTACAACGACTCCGATCTCGGACTCAAACCGTACTGCTGCAAAAACGGAACCATCTTGCCACCGTCTATGGATCCAAGCAAGTCGAAGTCTGTTTTCCAAATGCAGGTCTTCAAAATGCCTCCTGATCTCAACAACATCTCATCGATCACTCCTCCTCAGAGCTGGCGTATTAGTGGTAACATGAATCCGGATTACAAATGCGGCCCTCCTGTCCGAGTCAGCTCCAGCCAGTTCCCTGACGCCAGCGGTTTGCGTGTGAACCGGACTGCTTTCGCCAGCTGGCAAGTGGTTTGCAACATGACTCAACCACCTACTCCTCAGTGTTGCGTCTCTTTCTCCTCTTACTTCAACGACTCCATCATCCCTTGTAATACCTGCGCTTGCGGAGGCTGCTCTAGCGACAGAGTGGCTCGCACGTGCAGCACAACTGCTCCAGCTCTTCTCTTACCGCCTCAGGCTCTTCTCGTTCCGTTTGAGAACCGAACTAAACTTACCAACGCTTGGACGGTGCTAAAACGCCGGAAAGTCCCTGACTTGCTGCCGTGTGGAGATCACTGTGGAGTCAGCATCAACTGGCATCTAGCGACAGACTACAGAGGAGGCTGGTCTGCTCGTATCACACTCTTCAACTGGGGAGAAACTGATTTTCCGGATTGGTTTACGGCGGTTGAAATGAGAAATGCGGGGCCGGGTTTCGAGAAAGCTTACTCCTTTAACGGAACTACAGTCGCCGTCAACGGAAAGAACAGCACTGTTTTGATGGAAGGTCTTCCTGGACTTAACTATCTCATGGCAGAGCAAGACGGTAAAAACCCGAGTAAGGACGTCCGGGTACCGGGGAAGCAGCAGTCGGTTATCACCTTCAACAAGAAACTGACTCCTGGAATCAAAGTTCGTGGTGGAGATGGGTTTCCGACCAAAGTGTTCTTTAACGGTCAGGAATGTTCACTTCCTTCTGTGCTACCTACAGGGAACGGTCACAAGAGAGAAGTTTCCACTTTTCTTCTCATGGCGTTACCTTTTTTGGCTTTCTTGGTTCTTGGGGTTTAAAGAGTTTCCGGTGATTTGAGTGGCCGGGAACATATACAGAGTTTTATTGATTCTTTTCTAACCAGATATGTTGCAGAACTATAGTAGTTGTGCTTTTGTGCAGCGTGTGATTCTTGGATTTCTTATGGTTAGATTTTTGGGATACATATTATATTGAACATGCAAATTCTTTGTGTTTTGACAGTTTTAGTCCGATTTGGTTTCTCTTGATCCTTGTACCACAAAGCCACCTTTAGTTTGTTTGGTAATTCAGTTAACTGGTCCGGTCGGTGAGAATTATCTAAAGAAAACAGATAGAAATTTACATATCAAACTACTTCTTGTCTTGTCCTAAAACATAAATGAGGACCAAAAGAATGTCCAAGGAAATACACATTAGCTTCCTAACATAAATAATGATAATTATACAAAAATTACGAACGATTTTATGATATAATCTGCCTTTAAATTTTCATGCAGATTATACATATGTATATCAAACAAATTTCAGGAACGAGGTTATACTGATATGTTACAATACAAATTCTGATAGTCCCTTGGATTGATCCAATCAAACCGGAATATCATCGATCGAGTATGCGTCAAAGTCGAATTCAGTATCAACCGGTGCAATCCCCTCCTGTATCATTAACCTCTCGTTAACAGTTTGCAAGTTCATATTATTTTCTCGTATAATGTTCTTGGATTTTCCTTGTTAATTTAGTTTGCTTAATCCAAGGCGACCAATGGTGAAAAAGAGTCTTGAAACTGTTATTATATATATATAATTTCGAAACGCAAACTCTAAAGCTAAAAGTGTTTTATGCTTCTTCTATAATAAGAGAGACAAAAAATAATTAAAATCAAAATCAAACCTGCTTAAGAAGTGCGCTCATAAGATCTTCTTGATTACTAAACTGCTCGTGAAACGCCATTCCCGCTATATTATCCGCCGACACTCTCTCCGACTTCACCCTCACCGAGCCACGCCCTCCCTCTCCATATCCCTGATGATGAGACACCCCCATGCCCGTCGGCGTCTGCTGCTGCTGCTGGTGCTGGTTCCGGCCATGCTCGACGGCTGCAACCGCATTGTTGTTTCTCGACATGGACGAAGAAGAGTACGCTTCCGAATTCGAAAACGCAACGGACTCCGCGTCCTGATGCTGCGCCGCCTCAAAGGTGATCCCAATACTCCGGAGATCCCAATCATTACCCTGTCTGTTGCTGAACATGTCGTAGCTCGGCGTGGTAGCGAACCCCGCTTCCGAGCTGTTGACCTCTTCCTGGTAAGACGGAGCTTTCCTAAGCGACAACCCCGGCGCACTCGCTAGCGGGAAGCTGTTCACGGGAAGCTCCGACTGGAAGTTGTTGTAAGCCATCGAGCTCGACGAGTGCTGCGTCGCGAGATTGGTGTAACCTGTCGGTAACACTCTGCTGCTCTCCGGGATAACACTGTTCCTTCGGTTCGACAACATCGGCTGCCTGCTGATGGATGATGACTGCAACGGCGGTGGTCCACGTGGCAACGGCTGAGGCAACAGCATTCCACCGTTTTGAACGCTGTGTCCGGCTCGAACAGCAGCGATCTGTTGCTGAATGCTCATTCGGTTGCTCATGGGAAGCTGCTGTTGCAAACCGGCGAGCTGTCTTGCTTCCATACCGGTCGGTACACCGTGAAGCAAGTGCGTTTGCGTTTGCGGTTGTTGTTGTTGTTGTTGGCCGTGGTGATGATGATGATGACTAACAACAAGCCCATCTCCTCCTCCACCGAATCTTGTTTTCGGATTGTCGAAGCTGAAGATGCTTCTCTCGTCAACAATGGAGGAAACAGGTAAACCGGACTTAGACACCATCGTATTAGCAGGCCGGCCTAAACCGGCGGCTTGAAGCTGCGCAAGGCTCTGAGCAGGAAGCTGACCGGTGACAGCTAGCGCTTGGAGATCAAACCCGTTCAACGTCGAGAGAGGACCGAAGCTCGCGTCTTGACCCGTCATGAACGAGTTGTTTAGATTCCCTTGGTGCTGCGACACTCCTCCAAGCCGTCTTAGGTAGATCCTGTACTTCTGGAGGTGGCTTGCTACGTTTTCTCGGGTTAGTCCGGGAACATTCATCAGCTCCAAGATCTTCTTCGGGACAGCTTCTGCGCCATTGAAAAAGATCAAATTTTTTAGAACATAATGAAATAATGTAAAGAAGGCTCTGAGAGATCTTTCTTACTTTCAACGCCGAGCTGATTCACAGCAGCGACGAACTGCTGATGCAACTCAACAGACCAGACAACGCGAGGCTTCTTGAGATTGGACGCGTCTTCTTCTTTATCGTCTCCTTGTTCTTCACATTCTTCTTCTTTCCGTTTCCGTGAGTTTCCGCTCTTCCAGTTGTTCTCTTCGTTAACCGAGGACGAGTTATCATCCGCACCGTCTTCGTTAACTGAATTGGCTTTTCTCTGTTGCTGCCTCTCACCGGTGTCCTCAATGCTCTCGGAATGTTCCGGTACACTCCACTCGCTCCTCCTCTTCCGAACCACGTGCTGCCATATGTTCTTGAGCGCCTCCATGCGTACCGGTTTTATCAGGTAGTCGACCGCACCGTGCGTCACTCCCTTTAGCACAACACTCTTTGAATCATCCGCAGACATCACTGAGTGAATCAATTTTTCACAAGAAAGACAAAAGAATCAGTAACTGAAAATTCAAGAATTTATATAAAGATTCAAGCTTTGTTTTGGTTTCAGGGAATAAAAGAAACGTACTGATAACGGGTAAGTCCATTTCTAGACCAACGTGTTCAAGGAGTTTGAAGCCGTCCATGTCAGGCATATGAACATCGCTAATTACTATGTCGAATCCATGTTTGTTCTTACGAAGCAGAGACAATGCCATCTCTGCTCTGTTGCATTTCGTTACTGCATGCCACAAAGATAGTTTCATTACAAGACATCTAAAGAGTAGTAAAAATAAAGATTTGTAACTAAACTGTTGAGTCCTAACAGGGATCTATTGAATTGACATTTAACCAAACTCCAGTCAAAGAGCAACAACATGAGAGACTCAGATTTGAATTTTAATCCCTAAATTATTGGATACATACAATGGATCTCTCTCTCTCTCTCAACTTTTTAGGTTGCTGAAAAGTTTGACTCAAAAAAATGAGGAAACATGTGGATCTTTCACCAGATCATTGGGTGTGATCTAAATCAAGAAATTGAGATTAATATGTGAATCTCTCAAAAAGTAACAAAATTGCTCCATTTTCTTTCTATTTTAGGCAGAGCAAAGTTAGTCAACCACCGATATCAAAACCATAATTATTCCTCAAAATAACATAATTTTCGAGAATGGACCACAAATAAACCAAAAACCAAAACCCATCATTGGGGAAGAGAGACCATGAACTCGGAAGATTAAAATTAAAACTAAACCAAAAATTAAAAAAAGACAAGATCTTAGTTTTGATTCGAACCTTCGTACAGACAAGTCCTGAGCATCCTCTCTAAGATCATGAGACAAGTCGGGTCGTCGTCAACGACCAGAACTCGTAGACCCGACGGGAACATCTCGACTACGGAGGTCTCACCGCCTTGATTTCTGCCGGAACTCGACCCACCAGCCGATCCGAGTCCTCTTCCGTGGCTCGGATTCATCATTTCTCGGAAAAGAGAAAAAAAAAGCAAAAGGCTTTGAGCAAGGGAATATATACCCAGAAAGAGGGGAAATTGACGCGATTTTTATTCGAGTTTTGGTTGAAACAAATAAGTATAAATCAAATTGAGTATAAGAATTGGAGATAATAGTGAATATGAATTTGGGGGTAAAATAAAAAGTGAAGAGAGAGAGAGAGAAAGAGATGGTGAGATGAGACTTAGGGAGTTGAAGAAGACATGGCTTGTCTCACCTTAGAGCTCTATTTCTCTGTTATTTTAATGAATAAAGCTAAAAATTATTAAAATGGAAAAGATGATGATGAACAAAAAAAAATCGTGGTCTTATATGATTATACACCTACATACATGTCTTTTGTATTTGCAGAGCGGACATACCCTTTATTTTTCACCTTTCTCTACATTTAAGCCATTAAAATCTAAATTTTCATTTTAGATCCCTTTCCTTTTTATACACAAATTTATGTTTGGAAACAAATTAAATATTATCTTACTGATGATAGGTATAATTCAAAGTTTTCAGCCATTTGTGATGATTAGTATTGGATGTTGATTCAGAACTGAGTTCAAATTCGTGGTGATTTTGTTAAGTAGTGAAATATAGGGGTTTAAACCTTCAGCTCATTGAAAATATAAGGTGAGGAAATTGAAATAATTGGAAGAAAGTGGGTCCAAAGACCCTTGATGCGTGGATCCAGCTCATGCATGAAAAAAGAAATTAATTAACTCATTATCTAAAGTTGTAAACACAACCTTAACAATTTTTCATTGTCATTGTTATTTCCTAATCTTCTTTTTTTTTCCATTTTCTACCAATTTGGAAAAAGGCAATTGCCTAAACAGATTGCTGCAAACTGTAAATTTACTTATTTTCGTTTAGAGAGAGTATAAGACTTTACTAAATTTGCCCTTTATATTACGGTAATTGAGAAACCATGTTTCTGTCTTATGGGGCCTACATGTATTAAATTAAATGGTAAAGCAAATGTAAGCAACTAAGCATCCCTTAAATAAAACAAAATAATACGTCGACGCACATTCAGGCATATGATTAAGGTACCAAAATACACCTAAGCAAATTTCTACCATCACGTACATGTTTAGCAAATCTATATATACTTCGCCATCTTCATGTTTAAGTCATCAAACTTGTATGTTGTATCCCAAGAAGATAAACTGTTTCGATAGAAAAGAAAGATTTGTTATTATATATTGTTGTTAAATATTTTAGTCTTGATTGAACGAATCTGTTCTTGCAAATAAAAACATTCAATCTCAAAATTATTACGGTATGCATATCTATTAAAACGCTGGATACTAAATAATAAATAATTGAAATGGTTTTTTTTTTTTAAATGGTTCACTTGAATGATTAATAACATCATATGCTATCCACCAATGACCTAGTACCCCGAAAGCTATTCTTTATTAGAGAATAACAAATCGCATTTGACTATGCGACATTGCGACGTATTATAAAACAGCATAAACCAGTAACAATTCTATCAACTAATTTACTTATTCTGCCTTGTATTTTTGTTTTGGCTAATTATAAATGTCTAAATTTGTCAACCTCGATGTAAATACTTAAAAGTATCCGATGCATACTTTTGCTTAAACATGTGTTTAGTAATGCCGACATGTCTCATCTTTTTTAATTAGGGATAGTTTTTTTAAGTGTGTCACAAGACTCATTTCATGTGCATCAATATACCGTGCATTTAGACTTTCATATGTGATATCAAGTGAATTAGCTGTAAAGAGTGCGTATCTCTCTGATTAAAAACTCATTAATTCCAGAAAATCCAATATTCAACCAATAAACATTTGTAAATATGTGGAAATATATGTTTTATAAACTATTAACTATATGCGGAAATGTGTGTGTTTTTCTTTACCTTTTTAATTTATAAATTTTTATGGACTGTTAACTATATGTGAAAATATATGTGTCTTTTTCAGAGAAAAACAAACTAATTTTTAACAAACTAATCTTTTTTATAAACAAACTAGTTTTTAACAAAAATATGAAAACTTCAGAGAAATAATTCAAATTGAAAAGCATTCAATGATAAGAAGAACAAGTATATCACGTTGCTGAGAACTGAGAAGCTTTCCCCACTATGACACGTGTCCACGTGAAATGGATAAGATCACTCTCGCAAGTCGCACCTTTTACATCGACCTCTCCTATCTATCGGTGTCTTCATTTGTTTTCCCTGTTGCAACACTTGCAAGTTGGAGATAAATCAAAAACACTAAAAGACTAAAAAAAAAAGTATTAACTTTTTATCGTCAAAAACAACTTATTACCACGACTAAGAGAGCTTGGATATTTATTTATTTTTTACCAAAGGCTGAAAGGCATATGAGAGCTTGCTTGATATTAGTTTAAGAAGTGATCTGCTGGATTGTTTAGATCTAACTTGCCCTTCAAGCAGTAAAATTTCGTTTAATAAATTTTTAGACATAATATGATTTTTCCTTCGTTTTCTTTTTACTTTTTGTTTATGCATGACATATGATCAAATGTAAAAACAAAATTACATAATTCAAACGAAAATAAAAACAAATATTTTAACTGACCCAAAAGCTAAAACAGAGAAGGTCCCAAGAAAAGGAACGCTGAAACCGTATATTCTCTGTAAAAAGTTTTTACTCTTACGATGAGCTTTTTCCATTTTTTAATGTATATTTTGTACTTTATTGTTGTTTATACAGACATGTTATATAGATATTCCTATTTATTTGTAGAACACAAATGTTTCAGCTTTTAATGCAAAAACTTTAAAATTTCTAAAATGTTGCACACCAGTCACCAGTAGAGCTTTATACTAATTGTATATATAAATACATATAACCACTGACATCTTGCTGGTGTTCTTGATGGAAAATGCACCCAGCAAATTGGATAATCAAATGCGTCAAAAGTGCAAGTTGATGAAGCTGATATACGAACGAGTTTTCAACCATAATCTTCGTGTGTGAATATTTCAAATTTTGCATTTGAAGTATTTAATCATCTAATGGGCTTATGGTACTGTAAACATATACTATTGTCCTTTTGTATATTTTTTTTTTGGTGTGAGAATGCTTTTGAGGAAAATTAAAGGATTTGATTTTTGACGATAATATTTCACGCGCGAATAGAATATTGTACCTTTTTCGTCCTCATTACTAATCCAAGTGGGTATTTTGGATTTGACCAAAAAAATCCAAGAGGGTTTTAAAACTAAATTCGTATGCCTAAATATAACGCGCGCCAATAGAATGTAGAGTTATGTTTTAAACTAAAAAGAAAGAATGGAGTTTTGTTACATAACTTATGTATTCATCTTCTTGCTGTATGTCCTATAATCATGTGCCCATAGCTTAAATATGGAACTATACCTCATCCACAGTAAACTTAAATAATTGCAATCTACAATTGTGTTTTTTACTAATCCTGTAATCCAAGATGCGCCCCATTATACAAAATCTCTAACTTACACAAAGCAAATTATAAACTCAGTAGCTAGTTTTTTTCCCTTAAAGCTCAGTAGCTAGTTACTCTAAAAAAAGAGACACATGACAATGTATAATTTTATAACCATAAGTGGTAACTAAGCTTAGGAGTTGGCTAGAATTATAACTTTGAATGTGCAAAAAAGATCAATGTACACTAAGAGGGAGAAATAAGGAGTAAAGGAGAGAAATGCCAGAAGCAAAACATAGCTATGGTAGTATAGTGGTTATGGATGCTGGTTTTCAGCTTGCCTTTCACGGGTTTATAAAATAAGAATTAAAAAAGGAAGAGAAACAAAGTGGCATTGGACATTGTTGTGTTTGAAAAAGAAGGATTTGCTAGAGAATGTGCAAAGGAACATAAAGCCAGCTTGAAGATAGATCACACCCGTTCGGTATATTCTCATTGATAGCCACTCTCGTACTTAGGTTCTCGAAACTCTATAGGAGATTCGCAGTCTCATCTTCATTTGCTTTTAGACACTTGAACCCTCTACGTGGCTTATCAATTTATCATATACTCGACTCTCACTTCCTATCTTCCAACAAAGACTCCTTGTTCTGCGGATCCAGTCCCAGCTTTGTTATGTTTTGGTCATCTCAACGAATAATATCTTACGAAACATAGTAGAGAACATATTTGATGCCTGTCTGATCAAGAACCAGAAACTACGAGTGTGCACAACAACACCCTCATATTCATAAGAGAGAAAACTTGTGGACTTTCAACTTAAGAAAAAGGTTTTGAAACTATGCTGTTGGTATCAGATCATGGAGTTTCAATGTTAAACTATTGGACCAAATGTAAGCATACTCATGAAATGTGTGGCGATATCCTACAAAATCTGCAAAACATGTTGAAATGTAAGCAACCTTCTTCTTCATTGCTGTGCTTGTATTAGTCAATACTTCTCACTTTTCACAAATAATGTTTTTCCTTGACACTTGACAGAACAACAAAGAACATGAATTTTCTTACAACAAGAATGAAGAAATGGAAGCTGTACACAATACGAACAGAACCTCTCTGTCTCTTGAAACTCACCACTTAAAACGTAAATCTTTTTGCTTTTCTCTCTTCCTTTGACCACATTTTTATGACTTATTGACAAAAAAAATTGAAAATTCAATCGTATCGTAACCCCAAACTCCACCTCACTCTCTTCTTCTTTACTATAATTACCAACTGTAGTACCACTGACCCGCCGTATCTCCGCCGTATATCACACCACCAGCGACGCACGACGACGAGGAACTCGTAAGCTCTGCACAAGGCTCCGGCGATACGTCGTCTGAGGAACCAGACACGTTCGAGCACACCCAAGCTTCCGAGCTCGTTTGCAAATGAATATCCGCGAGGCAGATCGACGTGAACGGAGATTCTCCAATCCCGGTGAAATTACCGGCCAATCCTACATCCTCTCCGGTGAAATTCCGCATGACGATATTCGCCACGACCGGGAGCGCGTCCGGGTCGTACTTATCATCCGCATGCGATCCGGCGTGTCCGTCGGCGACGATGGCCGTGCCTACGCCGGAGAGATCGACGTCGGAGATCGTGATATTACGTATATACCCTCCCCTGCCTCTGCTGGTTCTGAAGGCGACGCCTACGAGCGAGCTTCGTATGGTGAGAAGCTCGACTGTCACGTCGGAGATCCCCCCTGACATCTCGCTCCCGAAAGAGATCCCGGCGCCGGTGGGAGATTTCAAGCTGAGATTCCGAATGTGAACAGCGGTCGTTGGACGGCCGTAGCTTATCCCGTATTGGTCCCAACCACTCTTGAGAGAGACCGCGTCGTGCCCTACGTTGATCGTTGAGTCCTCAATACAAACATTATCCGAAGAATCTGAGAAACATTGACCAAAAAGACTTAAAACAAGAATAACATTTTTTTTTTTTACTATATGATCAGAGACTAATGCAATGGAAATTTAACCTGGCACAACTCCGAGAACGTACGGAGTTTCAACGGACGTTTCGATCAAAACTTTACGGACATGAACATGGCTGCAATAAACAGGGTGGATGTTGACCGCCGGTGCGTTTAAGAAGGTTAGGTTCGATATAAGTATGTGTTTGGAAGAGACGAATTCGATGATGTGAGGTCGGCTATAGTTTAATGATCCTGACTCTAGCGACTCCCACCAGGCCGCTCCTTGACCGTCAAATGTACCGTTATCGCCTGCCAAATGATAAAACTCAGTTTGCATTGTCAAGAAAAGTCAGGTAAATGAGGTTATTGTTGTTACCGGTGATGACTACGTCTTGTAGATTGTCTCCGTTGATCAAACTTCTGTACCGCTTTCCTGGAAGTTCAACTCCGCGGCCGTATGACGGTAGAGGACTAACAACGTCCCAATGCGATGGATCCTAGCACCAAACAGAAACAGCTTAACCACAAGAATCTTGCAAGAAGGGTACAAGTGATGGTCATAGATAGGTACCGGTGAAGCAAGAATGGTGGCGCCTTTCTCCAAGAAGAGAGTGAGATGGCTGGTGAGGTTGATGCTACCGGTGAGCCATTTCCCTGGAGGGACGTAAAGCTGAGCACCGCCTTTATCGGCAAAGGACTTGAGGTAGAAGATGGCGTTTTGGAAAGCGAGCGTGTTGAGCGACTTGCCATCTCCAACGGCTCCGAATTCGAGGATGGAAACGCTGTGAGGTCTCGGGTCTAGCTTGAAAGTCTCTTTGCATACGGCGTTGTTGGTTTCTCCTCTGATCAGTGATAATAGGTTGGTGAATGCCAGTAGCCATACCAATGCCACCTGCATTGAGATTATCAGTTTAATAATTCGAAACAAAATGTGATCAAAAATTTGTCAATGACGTTAGCAAATCTTGGATATTGTGTGATTGACTAACGAGAATTATAAATGTGAAGGGAAACATAAAAAAAAACACGTTTTGGGAGCTAACAAAATTACTGGAAAATTAAGTTTGTTATGAATTATTTCTGATGAAAAACATTGAACTTCTTCTTTCTCGGTGTCAACATAGGAAATTCCGACAAAAATGAAAAACTTCATCTGGACGATGTTCGGTTAAATTTAAGGGAAATCTGAATTTTATTCTCTTTCTCGGAAAATCTCTGAAATAGCCATAGGATCATAAAAACAGAAGCACCGGCGTAATCAAGCATCAATCAGAAATCACTAACATAAAGATCGGAGAAGATATCAATAGAACTCAGAAGTATATAAAACAGAGGAAATTAAAATATGAAATTATCTAGACAGATTTCCAGATTTGGCAGCTGGGAGGTCTCAATTACAAACAAATAACACAGAACTGAAGGAAGATATTTCGATTTCATATGATTCTAATTGCCAAAGCTGGAAAAAAAAATCAAGAGAGATTCACCGAAACTAATGAGAGCATCATGTAATTGAGTTAGAGATTCATCATACTTTGGAATTGCAGACGGCAATCAAGAAAAAAACCATTAGAACAAAAAAAAGTTTCTATAAATAAACAAGGAAAAGAAAGGGAGAAACGTACTTACTGGCATCTTCATGAACTCAGAAACTTAAGTTCCTGAGGAAGGAGAAAAGTCGCGGGGACAGAAAGAAAAAAGAAAAATTAGCAGAGAGGGGGAGATGAAGAGAGGAAGCAAGAGAGTCCGAAGCAAACAAGTACATGTTATTATTTGTTTAACTTACTGTTTGTTGGAATTGCTATTAATATTAATGATTATCATCATTATTATTTTGCTTTGTTTGATCCGAATTGTAACATTAATTTTTACATAAAAAGGACCAGACAGTGTAAATTCACTTAAGATCCTCTGCCGATATTTCTAGATCAAATTTAACTAACGAGAGACATCAGTAAGGTCACTGCTATAGTTGTCAGATAAGGCTTTTTTAAAAGCATTTCGTTAAAATTGAAGTTGATCTACACAAACACCTCTAATGGCTAATTCGATCCGTGCCAACAAATTTAAGCTAATGTAATGGTTTTTTTTTTTTTTTTTTTGTGTCTATGTGGCTCAACTAATTTAAACGTTCAAAGGAGTATTAGTATCACTAGTCAGTAAATAATCCATTTCTGTTATAATAATCCCTGTTTTTTTAATGACTTTATCTTTGTTAGTATTAAGTTTATCTCTGATTTTGTCTCGTGACTTTTTTAATTCATCAACTGTTTGCATATTTCTTGTAATTTAACTAATTACGTAAACAAATTCATCAATTTTTTTTTTTTTTTGTCTTTAACGACCGAAGCAACATATATTGCCGACACGACGACTATTCTACATATTATCAATAACTAAAAGTCTAAAAGATTAGTTGAGAAATTATGAACTGTTAGTGTGTTTGTATATGTACCACTACTGATTTTGCCTTGGTAATTAAGCTCGGTATTGCACTGGCTATACAACTATAAAATTTTAAGAACCTAAATTAATGTATACGGACGATTGTATATATACGTGTGTGTGAAGATTTAAAATTAACTAATAAATTGACTGATGAAAGACAACGAAAACTAAATATCATATATTGATATGTTAACAAAAACAAGATATCATATTTTGATTTAACCAGTAAGATAGAGAGAGACAAGAGGAGAGAGGAAGAATTATATGATGTGTTAAAAAAGACACATGGAGATCATGTGGTCTGTTCTGATTTGAGCAAGCTGCCGTTTGGATTTACTGTTATAAACAAAAGTGATTAGACTATATTTTTTTGCCAAATTAGTGACTAATACAGTATATCTATTAGTTGCATCTGGGAATTTTTCAACCGGGGGATATGAGATAGGCAATTAGGCATAGCTGGCTAATTACCAAAATACCAAAACGTATTGCTCTTTTTCTCCTGACATTACACGAAACTTTTTTTTTTTCGAAAATGTGAGATGTGGGCTTATTGGCTTAAGAGTAATCAAAATTTGTTTATATAAAAAGAAGAAGAACAGGTAGGTTTAGTTTTTTTTTAAATGACAATAATACGATCAACTGTAAATGCGACGAGGACACGTAAGCAGAAGCGCATGTGCTTAAGACAGTGAAGACAACGGGACCCACAAGCAATCATCGGAGGGAAGTGTCAGGCTGGCTTTGACAGAACATTTTCCATAACCACATATGCTGCTAATGCTGCTTCCACACATTTGAATTTTAGCACCTTCTATTTTCTAATTCATTTGAATACATTTGTCCAGAATCAAACACTTTTTCCTTTTGTTAGAACAAATAAAAAAAAATTGAAGTTTTGAATGTGTGGAATTCATTTAATTGCATATGATTGTGGAAACTACTAAGATATGATTTGATTTTCTATTGACTGTTGTAAGATACGCTAATGATTATGATCAATACCATGACATGAAGGGGGGAATCTGTGGTATATTTTTAGTAATTTTGTATAACATTTCAGCAGTTATAAATTATATGCCTTGTTAATGAAATTATTACTTGTTTTTGTTATTTCTGTTTTTCCTTTGTCAACAGCCAACAGGTAATTGTGATTTGTTTTTATTTTATTTATTACACCTTCCGTTGGAAACTTTTAGATAAAACGTATAAAGAATCTTCATATGTGGGTAATCATGGTCTTGGCGTTTACGTTATTTAGTGATTACAAATTAAACCTCGTAGGTCTAAAAGCTTAAGTTCAGTAGCTTCTTAATATTAGTATACGTTATCAACTTGTAATTAGTTACATGGTCTCTTTCATATTTGTTGGAATCTTATGAACGAGGCGGGTCATATGCTTATGTCGTGTTATACTTATGTCAATATCTAAAAAACAAAATGATTATTCTTTTAATTAAATCGTGTGTCCACTATAATTATGCCAGGTGGTTTCCCGTGATCAATAAGTTCCAAATAGTATCTAAGTACTCATTGCTAATTTTTAATCTCCTCCCCATTGTATCAAGTTATCATCCTTTTTGCCTTGTTAGACGTAAAATTAGCTGTCTAAATTCCAAAACAATAATAATGTTAATGTATCCCTGTAATGTTTCCCACGACTTGTCCCCGACTTCACTCTATTATGCTAAACCCATGCACACAACACTGTCAACACACTACACCAACATAAATACCTTTGTGTTTTAATAACCATACGATAATTCTTTTTCTTTTTTTAATATAATCAGTTCGTGAATCTAAAGAGGTTTGACAGATCGAACTATAAAGAACATAACTTAAATTTGGTCAACCAAACTAATAAAAAACCTAGTTAGTTCAACTGTTTTTAAGATGACTACGATATTCGACCACACGATCGATAAAAAGCCATACTAACTCCTAGCCAAAATAGAAAATAGTTCCTTATATAAATCGAAGCATTCGAAGAAGGAGAGCGAGAGAGAGAGAGAGAGAGCCTTAATAGATTAGCTAGATATGTTGGCTTCTGTTGGGAATTTCTTCGGATCCCTTTTGTGGTTGCGGTGGAGACCCCACCCCTTTAGTTTTCACATTTACGTTCTTTCTCAAGTTTTTTAGTATTATTTTTGTGTACATAGTCATGTTTTTCATTTTTGAGAAAAAAAACATGTGATCTTTCATCTTTGACAATCTTCGACACATGTCGAAAGCTGAAACAGATTGTTTCAAGTTACGCGAGAAGAATTTACGATCTTTGTACCAGCCATAAATTACTGTCAGTCCCATGATCATTGCTCGTTCTTGACAAAACTTGAAAAATTCAAACGAGAACTCAAAACAGTTTTAGCTACTTTCTAATTACCACTAATTAGTAATCAGTGCTCCCAATTGCATGCTAAATTGCTAATACTAGTCAGTCACCACTTTAAGAATAATGACAGCTAAAAGCGTGCAATAATATCGGTGGTTACACAAAATCTTTTTTAACTTCAGTTTCAATATATATTTTTTGCAACAAAATAGAAAATGTTCTTGAACTAAACGAACAACAACAAAAAGTATGAAACTAGAAGCCACTAAAAATTAAATACATTGGGTTTCTGCATATAGCAAAAGGCCCAAGCAAGAGTATTTGACATGTCATGTGTTGATCGATATTATTCTAGGCAAAAATATAACGCGCCACCATACTATTCGGTTTAAATTAATTCGAGTTAACCGAGCTACGGTTTAATAATACCACATCATCGTTCTGAATCCTGATTTAGGGTTTATCAAAGTTTTAACTTTTCTTCAGAGCTCTGCCAACGAGACGCCGAAGATTGTCAAAGCTCTGTTAAACCCTTTGAGAACTCCCGAGTGTAGATCAGCGGCTATCATGGCTCCACGCAACGGAGAATCTCCCTCGATGGCGAAGAAGAAAATAAAGAGAACACACAAGAGAAAGCGGGAAGAGGAGGTCGAACGCATGGATTCACTTCCGTGGAGCACTTCTATACCAATCGGAGAAGACGACGACGGCGAAACCTTCTCCACTCTCTTCGCAGGTTCAGCTGAGCTTGACGGAGGTATAATTTTGTGCTTTTTCTCTCCTCTGCAAATGATTTTGGGTGTCTTCTTCTGCTTGGAACTTCTACGTAGCTTTGCTTTATCTCAAATTCGTGTCTAGAGTCATTGCTTCCTAATTGTTACTTCATTGAAAGTCGTGAATTTTGTATTTTGCCTTGGGCAGGTTTTCTTTCACTTGAAGAAATTGATGAAGCTGATTACAATCTGACGGATCTTCCTACGATTGAAAGTGGAGAAACAGAGAAAGTGTCGAAGTCGAAGAAACGAGCTCGAGAAAACAATGATGGTGACAAAGAGGATGTAGATGAGATATTTGAAGGCGGACAAGAGAACGAAGACGCAGAAGAAGATGCTGAAATAGAAGAAGCAGGAGAAGAAGAGAAACGCAAGGATGATTTGGAGAGCCAGAGGAAAAGAGAGAAGAAAGCTAAAAAGAACAAGAAGTTGAAGGAGTATAAGAAGAAGAAGAAGAAGATGAAGAAGAAGATGGCTATGGAGACCGAAAAGGATCAGGACTCTTGTGCTGGTTAGTGTTTCATACATATACACTTCTGTTTTACTTTTTTGGTGCTAAAGAGATAATCAGTCAGATTTGGAAAAGTATACCTTAGTATGTTGATGGTCTTTCACTGGTATATAGCTTAACTATATTCTCTGGTTATATATTCTGCATCTCTTGTTACTGTTTCTTATTTTGTCACCAAGTTCTTATAGTGATATATCATTATTATTTGCAGCAGTTAGTTCTGATAAGGATGACACAGTAGAGGATCTAGATGGTGAAGAAGAGACTGCCCCAGAGTTTAGTGCATGGAGTTTGATGAGACTTCATCCATTGCTCATGAAATCAATATACCAACTCGGATTCAAGGAGCCGACAGAAATCCAGAAGGCTTGCTTTTCCGTTGCAGCATTTCAGGGAAAGGTTAGATGACCTGCTTTATTTTCTGTTGATAACCTACATTTTACTGATATATGGTTCATATTTGGACCACAGGATGTTATTGGTGCTGCGGAGACAGGGTCTGGAAAGACGCTTGCTTTTGGGTTGCCCATACTGCAACGCCTGTTAGATGAGCGTGAAAAGGTTGGTAAAATGCATGCAGTGGAGGGAGAGGAAGCACAGAAGTACTATGCAGATGGCTTTTTGCGAGCTCTTATCATCACTCCGACTAGGGAACTTGCTCTACAGGTATCCTTTTTACTATCCTCACATTGATTCTTTGTTCACTTGTGTGCATCAGCACTGAAATACAAATCCAACTTTTCTCCTTTTTTTTTCAGGTGACTGATCATCTTAAGAAAGCTGCTGATAATCTCGGAGTCCAGGTCGTTCCTATTGTTGGTGGGATGGCATCAGCGAAGCAGGAAAGACTTCTGAAAGGAAAACCAGAAATAGTTGTTGGAACTCCAGGAAGGTTATGGAAACTTATGTCGGCTGGAGAAACGCATCTTATAGAGGTATGTGATGTAAAGAATCATATGCTTCTTTAATCCTGTATCTTGCTCCTACATTAACCGACTCTGGTGTAGTTACTGGGTTTATCCTTAGATGCAGTAATCAGTTTGTAATCTTTACTGTTTTGATTTTTTTTTTTTTTTTTTTAACTATGTCTTGTAGACTGTTATTAGTATTTAGCTATCTGGAGAGTCCGTCTAAATGGTTGTTTTTTTTTAAAATTCTCTTTGGCAGCTGCATTGCTTGTCTTTCTTTGTGTTGGATGAGGCTGATCGCATGATTGAAAAAGGGCATTTCCGAGAGCTGCAGTCTATAATCGACTTGCTTCCAGTGACAGATAGACCAAATGAAGGAGAAATGCAAACTGACACAGTTTCCGACGCCCCAAAGAAGAAAAGACAGACATTTGTTTTCTCAGCTACCATAGCATTGTCTTCGGACTTCCGTAAAAAGCTAAAGCGTGGCTCCTCGAAGTCAAAGTCTGGTGAATTAAAATCTATTGAGGATTTGTCTGAACGAGCTGGAATGAGAGATAATGTTGCCATCGTTGATCTGACAACTGCATCTATTTTGGCACCAAAGATTGAAGAATCTTTTGTTACGTAAGTACTATATTTTGCCTATGTCCCCTCTTGAAGTTTTTAATTTGAGTGTCCCTTCTCATAATTGCTAACAAAACATCCACATCCAGCAATCTTTGATGGTACTAAGTTTCTTGGACTATTTCGGTATTCTTAGTATTGATATCTTATAACAAACTACAGGTGCGAAGAGGACGATAAAGATGCTTACTTGTATTATATTCTGAGCGTCCATGGACGAGGGCGGACAATTGTATTCTGTACATCAGTGGCAGCTTTGCGGCATCTATGCGCGCTTTTAAAGATTCTTGGACTAGATGTTTGCCAAGTCAACGGAGATATGAAGCAGCCATCTCGTTTGAAGGTCCAACTTTCTTTTGCTCTTTTGCCAAAACACTCAAATATCACTTTGTTATATTCTGATTTCAAAGGTGCTTCGGAAACAAACATATTTGGTTGATATCTTTACTTAACATCTCTGCCTTTCCACTCTTTATTTCTCACAGGCAATCGACCGCTTCCGTGCAAGCGAAAATGGAATACTCATAGCAACAGATGTTGCAGCTAGGGGAATTGATATTAAGAATGTCCGAACTATTATTCACTACCAACTTCCACATTCAGCAGAAGTAAGCTAAAATCTGACTAGTTTTTTAGTTTCTGTTTGATAACATTTCTACAAGCTCTTACCCTTTGGATCCATATAGGTATACGTACATAGAAGTGGGAGGACTGCTAGAGCATTTGCAGATGGATGCACCATAGCTTTGATTGCGCCAAAGGAGGCAAAAAAGTTTGACACTTTGTGCAAGTCATTCGGTAAGGTATGTATATTCACTCCCAAACCAAAGTTAGATATCCTCAAAAAGTTAGTTTTTTCATAAAGAAAACACTTGAGGTGTATAATTGCTAACGTAGGATTCGTACTTCAGTTTAGCCACTTTCGTGCTGAAGGTTCCTTTGTTTGTGCTTACAGGAAAGCGTAAAGGTATTCCCTTTGGAGAGCTCTTACATGCCAGCTGTCAAGAAGCGATTATCTCTAGCACGTCAAATAGACGAGATTGAAAGGAAAGGCTCGCGGGTATTTCTTCCATCCATATGCTGAATGTACATATATATCTTTATGGTTTTGTTGTGATACTTCAGACTCATTGCCTTTCAACTGAATGCTTTTCTGTAACTCTTTCCCTTGCGTACTTAACTTTTAACTGTCATTTGGTGTCTACTATCAGGAAAAAGTGGAGAGGACCTGGCTTGAAAAACATGCTGAATTGATGGAACTCGAATTGGACGACGATGAAAGTGAAGAGGAAAGAGTGGACAATGTTAGGCAGAGAAAAGCGACCTCAGCACGAGTTGAAAAGCTAAAGAAGGTTGGTAACTAAACTACTCTGAAGAAAAAATTCCTGTATCATGAAATACTAGTTTCCCTTTTTCACGAATTTAATCTTGAAATCTGGTTCACACCGCAGGAACTTAGCTCGCTTTTATCACGTCCGATGCAGCCCAAGAAATTCTCACGCCGTTACTTTGCTGGGGTAAAATTTATCATCTCTCTTTAGCTCTCTTCAAAACAGTGATGTTGCTGCACAGGAGATTTACGATATATTGTTTTTCTTTTTGTCTCAGAGTGGTGTGACGCCACAGTTGCAGAAGCAGTTAACAGAGTTAGCCAGTCGAACTGGTGGAGATAAAAAGAGAAGAAAGCTTGCTGTCGTTTCCCAGAATTGCATCGAACCTCTTCAAGCCCTTCGTGATGGTGGCAACGAGGTACTTCGTTTTCCCATTCCATCAATCCATTTCAAATCACATTTTCTGCTTTGACCTTTTTGGATAATGTTTCTTCAAGGATCGATCTTTCTTAGTTCTCCTGAGTACAGTGTGAATTAGATTCCCAGTTTTGCAAGACCATATATCTCATTGATGATGTTGTTGCTTTGTTCAGGTGATGAGCATGAAAGGTCAGAGTGCAGAGAAGCGGCGCGATATAGCGACCTTGAGGAAGAAGAAAAAGGAAGAGAAAATAGGTAATATATACACATAAGTGTGATCTAAGAACTTGTTTTTGTTAATTGTGCTCAGGAATGTATCAAGTTGAAACTTAATTACGATCTTGCTCTCTGCATTTTCCAGGTCGGCGTGATCAGCGAAGGGAACAGAAGAAAAAGAGAAAACTAATGGCTTCTTCTTAAGTATTTTGTCTTTTACCAAATTTTTGTTTATTCAATCAGATTTTGACCTTATTATAAATTATTACAAGTTCTAAACCTTAAACTGTAAACTCTGTACGTCACTCCTTTTTCTTATCTATAAAGAATGGTCCAAATATTTAAATCCCTCATCTTTTTTCAACCTTATCTGGCTTAGAACAGTAATCAAGATAGTTACTCGTCCAAAAATCAGATAAAATGTTGTTCATTCATTTACTGGTAGTTCAAAATATTAATAAAAATCCATATATTTTTTTTTGGTCGTGTATAAAAAAAAAATTAAAAAAAATAAAAAAAATCCATATATTATGAATTGAACAATCGCCGCAATAAACGTTTTGACTCAAGATTTTTGACAAATCCATTACATTAAAAGCTACATTCAAATGTAAATCCATTTTCTTAACTGTTATAACGCCCGACAAATAAAAAGAAACAATTACTGTCATTACGCCTACTGATTTTCAAATCCCATTTACAAAAACAGCACAAAGCTATCACAACCTTTACAATCCAAAATAACTGTCAACTAACTTAAACTGACAGCAACTAGTTTTACCTTTGAATCTGATCTGAGCTTGAGTTATTCGCCGCCGACGAACTAGACGGCCGTCCATTCTCGGTCCCTGCTTTATCTGCAGCAACCGCAACGCCAACACCCCATCTTCTAGAAGTTTCTGATGGCTCTATCACTTTAACTGAACCATCAGAGAGTCCAACGGCAAACTGATTCGGTTCTTGCGGATGAGCTGTGATCACTTGTGGAATGACCGGTGCACTATCACAGAAAGAAGGAAAGAAAAACGCAATTAGTAAATGGTCAGAATAATATGGATTTTTTTTTTGTAAAATGTGTGTACCTGTTGGGAGTTGGTTGAGGCATATAAGCTGATGGAGCAATGCGACATCGGAGTCTCAAGGATTCAGCATCAAACACTCCAATGTTTCCATCAGCGAATGACGCGTAAACCAAATGGCTGTTGCATGAGTAAGATGCTGAGGTTATGGGCGAAGACAAAGCTTCTTGCGGCACCCACTGCACAAAAGTATAACATAACAAAAGGAATGAGAAATGTTATAAGAAAAAAATAGGCCTTTGTAGTATTTAGAAGGATTCAAGTTACCTTATGAATACATTCCATCTTTGAAGCATCGTAAATGGCGAGCTGTGTCTCATGTGAAACCAACATATGGATTTGGTCGTTGTGGAACTGGACTCGCGTGTCGCCTACTGGTGCTTTTCCAGGTGGTAGCTGAATCGCTGAAGATTTCTTCTTCTCCCATGAGTCAGCGGTCCAGAAGAAGAGCTGTAACAAAGAGAAGTAAAGAGTGTGTGAGGTTAAAAAGCCAAGATGTCCGCAAAAGCTTCAATAGCATCGGAAGAAAAGACAAGAATATTTGCATTACCTGAGCATCAGCACCAGAAGAGACAAGGACATTGAGTGCAGTAGAGAATGCTAGACCAGTTATGTGCTTTTGGTGACCTTTCAACTTTGTTTTCACCTGTACATTTAGTAAAGAAAAAGGTAAACATTAAGAGTTTCTTCACCTGAAGATAAGTAAGAAAAAATGGATTATTACCTCATCTACTCTGACGTTGTAAATATGTATACTCGAGTCCTCCATCCCGATTGCAATAATGTTATTATCTTGGGGATGAAATGCCAAGAACGTCGAAGCTGGTGGTGGTGGCATGAAAGTTGTCATCACCTGTTAACAAAGTGTGTAAATGCCATTTAGCTTTTACATTCTAACGGATTATGTTCCTATTTTTCTACAGAAAGGAATTGGATGCATGCTTACTTTGAAAGTCATCATATTGAATAACGAAACCTTTCCACCGCAAGCTGACATAACGTACGAGTCATTCTTAGAAAGCGCTATACACGGCACAGCTGCTTCAGGATTCTCGGGAACATCGTTCGCCATCAGAAGACCGCTGTTAGGCTGCCAATGCTGTGGAGTTACGCTAGCTGTTGCCTTCCCAGTTGGATTTTGCTCATTGCGGCTCCACTTCCATAGTCTTTGGACACCATTTGCTCCGAGAGCCAAAACGCCGACACCAGAATTTGTATAAAGAAGCCGAGCAACCTTCAAATTGACAAAGCAGCAAAAAGGTTATTCCAAGATAATTTATCAATGAATAGAACAAACTGATGGGAAGTTTCAAAACCTTGCTAACAGAATCCTTGCTATCTGGCATGGTCACTTGTCGGCACTGAGTTGGATCAACAATCTCTGTGAGCTCCAAAGGTTTAGACTTATCAACAGAGTCCATGTTTCTCGGCTTTTCCATAGTTCTTGACATTGCCTCAATTCCATTCTGCATACGTCATAACACCAAAGTTAGATGACAAGAAAAATGTATTTACAGCAAATTATGAACTACTCAAAACCAAAACCAAGATCCGTTTTCATTTAAGCCAAGATTAAGGATTCTTGATTGAATTACAACAATATGTAGCTAACAAAAAACATACAGGAATTGGGGTTGGCCTTGCAGGAGAGCCTGTGTCCATGTGTTCAATTTTACCAATAGCTGGGCTGATGCCTGAAGCCATAGCGGAGCTGGATACCTGAATCACCGATATTGACACTCGAGTTAATACGGGACAAAAGGCTCGTTTCAGTTGAAGTTTTTAAGTATAGCGTAATAGGGCATTATTCCAAACCTTCATCTCAATGGATGCTTTAGATGCTTCAAAAGACCGAGCTTCATACGCTCTTAAGGTTCTAAGACCATCAGTATTTGCAAGGATCTTGAATCCGTTATCCGCTGTAGTCACTGCAAGAAGATTCCCTTCCTTGTTGAACCTCAATCGGGGTAGATTCTGAGATAAGTGGTACAAACCATCAGTAAAGCAAGAGGCTCGAGAATACGAAAGGATATACGGAGCCAAGAGAAAGCGCTTGAGCAAGAAAAGTTCATACCGGAAGTCCTCCTCCAGCCTCAACAGTTGTTAAAAGATTTGTATTGTCCATGTCCCAGAATTTAACTTGATTGTCTTCACCAACAGCCAAGAAACGGTTACGAGTTGTATCAAACTGAACAACTCCAACGGATTTCTTCCTAAAGCCTAGATATGTCCTCTTCAGTGCACCTTCGCTCTCATTCCACTCGACCAAGAAAGACTCTCCATCTTTACTCGTCCCACAAGAAAATAATCTGAAATCACAGCAAATGGTTACTTCAGTTTGAGCTAATGTCAATCATTTAGAAGCTTTAGTTTATATTCGAATAAGAAGTGTGTACCTGCTTCCATCGGCACTGTATAGCATCGTTGTACACCACTGTCCTGGTGCGTCGTAATCAACCCGAGAACCAACATTATCATAGAGCCAAGCCTTGATCTTGCCATCAAGAGCAGTTGAGAATATAAACTGCAAAGTAACAAAAAAGAGAAGCATAAATGACACGAAAACGAAAGGGAAAGCTTCATGTCTTGATAAACAAAAGAGGCTTCATGCTTGTACCTGAATGTTTTCCTTCTGGTGAGGGCAAATGGAATAAACAGGTGCCTCGTGGCCTTCAAAGGTGTAAAGCTTCTTCCCGCTCAATTCCCACACCTAAAAGATTTTGCATAATTAGACACTGAAAAAAATAAATAAAAAAGCAGGAATTCAGAATCACAACACTTGCATATACCTTAATCAATTTGTCATCCCCACAAGTCACAACACAGATTTGCTTGTTTGGGTGAGCGAACGCCAAGTCATTCACACAGCCTACATGAGCATCAATCTAATACACAGAAACAAATGTTTTATTAAGTTTGGTTAACATGCTAACACAAGCCACAAAGACAAGAAATTACAAAAAAAAAGAGGATTGAAGATACATACCTCAAGGTGTTGGCGTAGGTCCGAGCCTTGGTAGGCATATACATGGATCAGATGTTTAGTAAAAGAAACCCCTGTACACAGAAAATGATAAACAAGCTCAAACTCAGTCTCTAATCCAAACGACAACTATATCTTTGTAATGAGAACAATCTTCATATAACCATACCAATCAAATTTCCATCTGGGCTCCATGCTACACGAGTGACGGATATTGATGGCTCTTTCACAATGGTACCCTGGAGAGAAAATGTAAAGGGTGAATGGTGAATATTAAAACAGAATTTGTTTTTGGAAATTTATCGTAATTAATGAATGAAAACGATGAACTTTCAGGAAGAAAGACCAACCTGGAACATCACAGAGCAAGCAGCCATATTCCAAATCTTGAAAGGCTCTGTGACAATCTTCTCCCTGGATCCAACTTCCCACAAGGTGACTTCGCCGTTTGAACAACCAACTACAAGTAAAAGACATGTTAAAGTAAGAGCCAAATCAAAACACAACTCTAACTAAGCACTTGATGGTAGCGATAGACTAACCAGCGAGTAAAGTGTGATGCAAAGGGTGAAAATCCATGCTTATCACCACCGACCCTTGGCGTATTGTACTCACAACATTCCTAGGGAGGTCATCAAGTGACACAGCGGGATGTTGAGTATGTGCAGGATACGTTACCTGCGATTTGAAAAGCAGAGCCAGTATACTCAACATCAAAACACAAAGCAACAAGAGTCTTCTTTTGCTTATTTTTCTGAGGAGGAAAAACAAGGCACTTACCTCGTTGGCAGTTTCTGCAGACCGTAAACGTTTCATGAGTTGCTCGTGATCAGCATTTTGATAATCCATCAGTCCTAGAGAGTTTGACGGTGCCCGAGGATGTTTCAACACATTAACTCCTGTGAAGAAATACAGTAACAGGATGATACAAGACTATGGTTAAAGTGTTTATAGCGTCGTTAGAAGGTCTTTAGTTAATGTTTTGGTCTTTTAATTTATTAATTAGGTTTAAATGTTTTCCTTTTTTACATTAGGGTTATGCTTAAAGTTGTATCAAGACCTATATAAGGGTCTCCATTGATGAATAATAAAGCAAGCTTCAAGAATTAACCTTAGGGTTAAGAGGGAAGCTAAGCTAAATCACAAAAGGTTCATATCACAGGATTCAGGTCTTTAGATTAATATGACAATCAAATAAAGAAAACCAAAAACACTTGTTGGTACATGAAACCTACCTTGATTTGGTTGCATAGGAAAAGGGGAAGCAGCGACGACACCAGATGGAACTGATGAAGAAGGATTCGGGTTTGCCATCCATCCAGCTAAAGCATTGGCGTTAGGAGGAGGAGCAGCACTTGGTTGAAAAGGCTGCACAGATATACATATATAACGGTTTCATCAGCTCTCAGAAATCTAAACATTCAAGTCATAACAACAGAATACGTGGAAGAAGTAAGTAAGTGATCCTACTCCACCATGTACTCCGAGAGGAACAAAGTTGGAAGGTCTTGCAACAGCGGCAACCGGAAGATTCACAGGAGTGAGTTCACGAGCACCGTTTGCCGCTGAGCAAGAGTGGTCCAAGAACAACGTTTTGATGTCAGGATTAGGCCTCGGATTCTTGCACAGCTGGTGCTGCCAGTTCAAGCTGATATAAAAAAAAAAAAAGCATCAAACATTTTGACTCATCTTTTTTCAAGTCCAACAAGAGAGAATAAAAAACGAACCTTTGATTGATCAAAGTCCTCAGGCGTGAAGCCTTGAAACTGGGGAAGGCAAGCTTCTCTCGAAACAGAGGATTTGCCTCTATCAGTTTCTTCAGCTCGGTATACATTATTGTCCTGGCTGATTTTGTATCACCATATTTCGACAATTGCTCATTTTCCCTAATTCCAATTAATAAACACAATCTTCAGCTCTAATAAAGTGTCTGCCTTTCGCAAAATTTCAATCATATAAAAAAAAAATACCTGAAATTCTCCAGAGTCAGAAGCTGAGTGATCTCCTTGTAAAGTTCCTCGTTAAACGTCGCAAAAACTTTCAAGTCTTTGGCTAATATTTCCACAGCTTTTGCTCTGTCATTTCTGAATAAAATTACACAAATGTATCATCATCACCCAAAAACTAACCAGATTAAATACATTTGAGCAAAAAACGTAAAAATTTAAGTAAAATTAATTACCGATCTAGAGCTTCGAGATACTTTTGCTTCCTGATCTCAAAGAAAATTTTCATAGAGTATCGATTATCATCGACTTTAGTGAAGCCTGAAAGATACTTCTCAACTTCATCCCACTCTCCAGCAAGAGCTTTCTCTTCGAAATACTTTATATTGAAGAAGAACCCAGATTCCTGCTCTAGCCTAACACGCATCGGCCAAATTCAAATTATCCAAACCATATAAATTACAAATCTAACCCCCAAACAAGAACAACAAAAAGCAAAGCTTACTTGTGAACAGATTCCTTGAACTTCTCCTCATCTAAGAACTGAAGGATTAAGAAAACCAACTCTCTGCTCAGAGACGACATTTCCCACCAACTGTAAATTCGAGGAGAAAAATTGGAAATTTGGGGATCTGGGTTTTTGGGTGGAAGAAGGGGTAGGTCAAAGTTTCTGGAATCGATTAGTCGTAGTTGGAAATGGGTTTCCTAGGGTTTCTGGTTCTCCATTTCCTCGCGTCGCAACAACGAAAAAGAAGAGAAAAGCTGACCCCAGAGAAAGAGATAGAAAATTCAATTTATATTTATTGTTTTTTTTCTGTTTTAAAAGAAAAAGAAAAAAGTACGACTTGTTCTCCACTTTCTTCGATGCGTTTTGTCACACAGACTGTAGGTTGATAAGTTGTTCCGCTTATCTTTGATAAGCGTACTCCTTTGTATATAAGCTGATAACCTCGTCGAACTTCACTGTTTGGTCTGATCCCTTTCCTTGGTTTTATCAGATGCTCGTTAGCCCACCGGAAGGCAGCTGTGGGATCCAAGCACTCTTTATTCTCGTGGTTTGTTCTTACACGTGTCGGATTTTGAAGTGGTTTCTTGAAATAGAAAAGGTGGGCTGCAACGTAGTGGATTATTACCCGTAAGTTGGCATAGGTCACGCGGACTCGAGAAATGGAATTGCACTGGATTGAGCAGAGTTCACTGGCGTCCGCCACATGTTGTTACCTTGTCAGGGGGAATGACGTGGTCTCGATATCTACGTTTTCATCTCGTGGCTTTTTCGTGGGACCGTGAGTTATCGTGATAAATACGAGATCCCTTCGCTCTCCTAGTTGAAAGCTACAGCTATTGCGCTGCTACCAAATCGAGCCAATATTTGTCGTTTTATTCCATAAATGATATTAATAATTTAATATCAGTGTAATTAAAAATGTACGCAATGGTGAAAACAAAAATAAATGCTGGTTGTGAATACTGAATATTGTATTTTCAGATGCAAATTTGTTCTTTAAAATAAATAAATTGTAGTTAAAGCTGATATTTTGAAATCTGATATATGAAGATAAATCAAAATATTTTCCAGATTCTTATATTACTCCTTCTGTTTCATATTTATTACCATATTGTTTAAATTTTTTCAAAATTTCATCCAAGAAAATATTAAATAATTATTTGATTTTATCATAATTGGAGTATTAGTCTAAGAGAATAAATATAAATGTAGAAATTGGATTAATACTTTACATTAAAAATGTAAAACGACACATGAAAATAAAACTAAATTTTAAAATGATACTTTATAGGAAGTAAAGGGAATATCAAAGTCGATTTGCGTCTATTGTAATAATTTTTAAAAAATTATTCTACTAAAAACAAGTGGATCTAGGAGAATCTGCATTCAAATATTGTTGACTGCTTGTATGTTCTTATGTTCCATGCTTAGCAATGGTTCTTATAAAAGCAAGCTGCAATGAGGTAACTATATTATTGCTTTTTTTTTTTAATATTGGATTGACTAATCTATTACAACGGACGATTCTACCATCTTCAAAGGCTCCCCGGCCGACGGCTCCACGTGCAACATTCTGTAGACCTCCTGTAAGCTTGTCTCCAATAATCTTGCATAAATCATTAGCAAATCGCATCTGCCGGGATTCGAAACCCAGACCTCCTGATGTATAAGCATTAAATCCCTTCAACCACTAGGCTAAGGGGCTTCCACCTATATTATTGCTTTAGTCCATTAACAAAGCCTAAATCTATGTGTATCAACTGTTTTCCTTTTTGTCATCTTCAGTCATTATTTTGCATCTTGAGAATGATAGCTACTGTTGTTATCATTTATCTGGTTTATCAACATGGCATCTGCTTTCTTTACTTGTCGTTTCAAGAGATTTTGTTAATGATAATTTATGACAATTGTTTCATTTTCCTGGTTTTACCTCTTTCCTCGAATAGCCGTGAAGATAAGATTGGTACGTGACTGTCATTAAAATGCTTTAATTACCACTAAATTTTTAGATATCTGCAAAATTGCAGATAGAGACAGAGATGTTCCTGAATGGTTGAAGCGTAATCAATATGCAAGATTTAGAGAATCAGTCTCCAATCAACGACTTTCCTTATACGCATCAGTGCTATCTATCTAAGAAAAATAAGAGAAGAAGGTTGTCACAAGAATCCACACACAAAAAGGTGTGTTTAATTTGTAAGTAATGAAAGAAAATCATTACATGCTCACTTGAGAACTGCAGCCGGAAATCCAATTTTATTTACTCACTTGAGAACTGCAGCCGGAAATCCAAGTTGATTTGCACTCAAGGATGTTACCAAGACGAAGCAATGAACATTTTCAGATGTTGCTGCTCATAAGTCATAACACTCTGCAAAGTATGAGTTGCGATTAAACATCGCCAATATGCTGGAGATGATTGAAAATGTTGACAATTTTATTTTTTTATTAAACGAACTCTGTAAAATTCACATGGTATCAGTCTTTTTCGCTGTTGATAAACTCCATCAGATTCGGTAAATATATTTATTTTCTCTCCACTAAGATATCTAAGTCCCACATACGATAAATCCCTGGATTATCTCAGCAGGTTTCTGTGTCTTGATACATAGATATATATAACACGAAGAAAATCACATCATTATTGAAACAATGTCGAAGTGGTCAGATCTTCCTAGGGATCTGGCCGAGGAGGTTTTCTTGAAGCTTCCTGTAACATCTCTGAGAGGAGCACGATGCACCTGCAAAAAGTGGAACACTTTAACCAAAGATGAGAGCTTTACAAAGCTTCACCTCCGTGAAGCAGAAGCAAACAAGAAACAGAGGAAAGAGTTTGAGGTGGTCATGGTTCTCGAATATAAAGCTTACTTGATGAGCGTCGTCGATCTCCTCTGTGATCCATCTATAGAGCGTATAGGCAAACTCGTCAGCCTTGGCGATGACGCATATATCAATATATAATAGCAAACTCACTTTTGTGTTCGCTGACGTCAGCATTTTTTTGTAGGAAAAAAAAAAAGTGAAATCGAATGGTTGAGATTGTTTGGCTTTTGTGATCTAACGGACAGGAGTTACATGGGATGACATCATCAAACTATTTCGTGGAAGGGATGCCTTCAAAACAGTCACGTCTTCTTTTCCTCTGCAAGACTGCGAACAAAAGCTTTAGCAATCCCACTGAGATGCAATCAAAAAGAAAAGTCATGTCCTTTGCTACGTTCTTTGAACTAAAAAATTACACACCAAGGGTTGCTGCTTTTCAAAAATTATAAATAGTTTCCTTCGTGAGATTTTATCACCGATAGAGAGCGATGATGATGGAGAGATTTTGACGATACGAGTTAGGGATTGAGAGATCTTGTAGAGCAAGGCAACGCTTTCTTCGCTGATTCTCAGATCGGTTTGGACGGATTCATCGTCTTTGCAAGATGAACCGGAATCGAAGTCTTCGCGAGCGATTTGAACGGGAACCAGGTTGTTTTCAGGCGTCGGAGAGAATTGGACGATGTTTTTAGCGATATCGGAGCTACTTCCGAAATCGCTGCCGATATCTGCGGTGGAAGTGTATACATGACTGATTCCTCGGACATCGTTTAATTAATCTCTGTTTTCCGACGCCGGGAACTAGAGAAAACAGAGAGACGCAAATGAAATAAAAACGGCACTGAGTAAAAATGGTTTCTCAGATTAAAGAAGACAAAGGCAGACATTAATCAAGTGACGTCATCATTTTTTTTCCGTGAATCAACGCTTCTCAGCAAATAGTCGCGTCTTTTCATCAACAGTCGCCTCTTTTCATCACCGTCATTGTTGCTTCAATATATTAGATCACAACAACTTAAAACAACGAGCTTTTCAAAAAAAAAAAAATTTAGAAGAGATACATCATTTTTTATTTAAAACAAAAGGTTAGGGCATTGGCTATTGACTCAAGCAGAGGAGACGGCATGGACGAAAGCATGAGAAAAGTTAAGAACAGGTAAGTCCATTCTCTTATGATTTTTTTTTTTTTTTTTGTGAAATCAGTATTGTAAACACACATGATTTGATTACGGTTTTTCACTTCCTATTCCTTTTTGATTCCAACGACTTTCGTTCTGGTTTTCTCTAGCCAATCCTATCACACATCTTATAACTAAATTGTCTCTTACGTTTGAGTGTATCCAACCAACGTCATTGCCACCGTCTTCCAAAATCTGTAGAAGAATGTCTCGATATTTCATAATCAGTCGAAAAACCTAAGGTTTGGTTCAGTCCGAAGTATCAATGATTTGCCTGATGATTTGTTCGTAAAGATATTGTCAATCGTTCCAACATAAAATGCTGTGGCCGAAAGTCTTTTGTCAAAACGATGGGAATATCTTTGGAAATATGTGCCAAAGTTTGAGTTTAATGATTGTTTCTCTTAAAAGAGCTTCATGGATCATTGACACTTTTTTGCTGCAAAGCAACGCTCCGGTTCTTGAAACGTTTCTTAACAACCTTTCAAGGAACTACGAACCTGAGTGTATGAAAATTGGGTTAAAGCAGCAGACGCTCGCAACGTGCGTGATCTTGATCTTCTGTATTTAAATCCCCAGCCGTTATCTAGAATACTTTACACATGTCAAACCCTTGTGGCTTTGCGTACCCAACAAGAAATCATTGTGGATGTTCCTTCTACCGCTTGTTTCCGATTCCTCAAGCATTTGTCTCTTCTACGTGTATGTTTCTCAAGCAGTGAATCCGTTTCTAGGTTTCTATCCGGCTGCACGAATCTTGAAACAGTGATTGTACGTCGATGGTGTAACGCCAACTTGAATACATTTACAAAGTCTTAGGAACGAAGTAGTATGCGAGTACCTTTTAAGAGTCACTTAACTATTACATAGCCTGATAGCCATGAAACTTTACTTGTTAATTATACGAATGTGTACATGTTAGTTAGATTTTTTTTTTATGGTTTGTAAATCGGAAGTAACAAATTTGGATTTTCTTAATGTGGTGATAAATGTTTCTGAATTATATTTTTCAGAAAAGGTCGTGATTAAAGTATGACGAAACACCAAACCGAACATCTAGAAAGAGTAGTTCATAATTTTAGACTAGATGTATAAGTTACCTTTTTCCCCGTTATAGATATGATGAGGACATCCTCTACTTGTGTTTAACTTTTGTGAACTAAACTTTATGAGCAAAACAGTAAACTAATTTTGATCTGACCCCGTCTTCTCCGATTTGGTTGATATGTTTATTCACAAAATTTCTGTCTTACTATTTTTCGAAACTTTTTGGAAGTACACATTTCACAACCCATCTCTTAGTTTCGATGTTCCCTTTTATGGTTTAATCTCGTAGAAAAACAACATATAAAAGGGTAATGATGGTTTTGATCGTTGAGGTTAAGTATTTTAATGATAAACTCGTAGACAGGTGGCTTTTGTCATTAATTGCCGTGTCGCATAAATTTTAGTAGATTTTTGTTAAATGACATTGTGATATGTGGTTGGTAATTTATTTATCTATTAAACCATAAAAATATATATGTAGAAAAAAGAAAAGAATACTATATCTCATCTACTCCAGTTTCCCATGGACAAGTTTAGTAGATAGAAAAAGACCCTTAACATTTATATGAACATTAAGTTTTATATGGTAACTAAAAGTGGATACATTTTACTTGTTTAGGGTCATAAAGGAAGAACGGTGAATCTTAACATATGAATACGCTGGAAAGATAAAATTATTTAAGCAACACACCTATCAATACAAAAAACACTAGCTAGCTAACCACATTTAGAAAAAACTAATATCTATTTTATTTTAATTGTATACAGTTAGTTAGTAGTAGACTTTTTATAATTGAAATTATATGCATCTGTTTTGGTCATAAGCTTTTAACCAAAATTTTCAATTTACCGCGCGTCCGACGCGCGGGTTTATAACCTAGTATATATAAACAGGGCTGGCCCGACCCAGTATGGCGCCTAAAGCAAACAAAAAAAATTTGCCCAAGAAAACATTGTTAGAAAAAAAAGAAGCGATTTTGGCTCTGAAAGGAAAACATTGTAAGCTCATAGTGTCCAACCAATGACACAACCACCACGCTACTAAAACATTTGTTATTTTGGCGCCCTAAAATTCTTATTATATGTTGGCGCCTAAAGCATGATGCTTTACATGCTTTAGGTCAGGGTCGGCCCTGTATAATATCTCTCACTGTGATGGTTTATTCTTATGCGTCACCAACGACAATGACAACGACAACTACAACAACTATAGGCTTGTGGTTTGGAACCCTTGTAATGGGCAAACAAGGTGGATCAAGCCTAGAAATTCTTACAACTTCTTTGACAGGTACTCTCTCGGATACGAGAAGAAGGAGAACAACTCGCTTCGTAACCATAAAGTCTTGAGATTTATGGATAACTACAACTGGTGTACTGAGCAGGGACTTCGTGATTTCGAAATCTACAGTTTAAACTCTGATTCATGGAAGGTCGTTCATCTCAATCCCGACTGGTATATAGAGTCTGATCAACGAGGCGTGTCTCTCAAGGGAGATACTTTTTGGTTTGCTAGAGAGAAGTTCCAACGATTAGGAGTGATGAATGATTTCTTACTCTGTTTTGATTTTACAAATGACAAGTTTGGACCTCGTTTGCCTCTGCCATTTAGCTCTTCCCATCTGGACACTGTGGCTCTATCCAGCGTTAGAGAAGACCAGCTCGCGGTGTTATTTCAACGGTGTGGTACGTCGAGGGTGGAGATATGGATTAGTGATAAGATTGAACACGATGCGGTTTCTTGGCGAAATTGTTTCTTAGCGGTTGATATGATGAAACCACTCACTCCTTTTAAGTTGCAGAGTAACGCTGCGAGTTTCTTGGTCGATGAGAAGAAGAATGTAGCGGTGGTTCTTGATAAAGATAATGTGTATCGCCCTACTCGCGACGTTGCTTACATCATTGGCAAAGAGGGTTACTTGGAAACGGTGGATCTCGGAGGTTCTACAAACGAAGATTGTCCTCCACTTGTGTGCTCTTATGTTCCAAGCTCAGTGCAGATCAAGCAAGCTGGTCCATGAGGGAGCCAGAAGAATACACACTAAACTCTAATTAAGTTTTATTTATCTATGTTTTCATATAGTTACAAGTCTTAATCTCATTGTTACTTCATTGTTCAACAGATTTTGATTTATATAAACGACATGTATATCTTAATCTCGATCCGTTGATTCCGTATTCATCTTTTGAAATAATGTTAAACAAGGAGAGCAATAATATTTATGATGCAAACTTGAGAGCATTTTATCAATCTTTGATCAACAACAATACGTAGATGATTGACTCTGTTTCCTTTCATTATGTTCCCCTTCACATAACCGATGAAAATTTTCACAAGTTATTACAATAAATAGTAAACCAGAAAAACGGACCGGACCATTTGAGGCGATGGCAAAGCAGTAATTTTATAAGATTTGGAGCCTTATTTGGTACTTTCCATAATTTCCGCCAAACGAAGCTTATGTATCGCCGTCTCTCTTGTTCCTCAAAACCCTAGAAGCGTTAAACCCTTCTCCTCAAAACCATACAGCTAAACGCAATCCTCTATCAACAATGTCTTCCAAGGGATCGAAAATGCAGAATTCGACCAAGAGGAAGGATAGTGGAAGCTCAGAGAAATCCGATGCTCAAAAATCGAAGAAACCGAAGCTCGCTTCGTCTAAATCCGATAAGAAACACCATACCGTTCAGAATCAGAAGCCTGGAGAAGGCAAACCTAAATTCGGTAAACCGAAATCTTTTGGAGACAACGAGAAGTTCGTTAATCTATCCGCCAGGGAGCGTCGTATACAGGCTAAGGTTCTCCTCTTTTTGAATCTACTCGAATTTAAACATTTGGAATTGGAATCCATCTCCAATGGTTGAATAAGAATTTGGTTTCTGATTCTTGATGTGTGTTGCAGGAGGAAGCAGAAGCCAGGAAGAAGAGGAGGAGGCCACGTTACACTTTTGAGCAAGTATGTAGCTTTCTTTTTGTAATTGTGATTTATGGCTTTATCTTAATAACAATGAGCATGTAACTAAACACTCTTCATACATCATACCACAGGAGCTTACATCTCTATGGGAGAAGATGAGGCGCCGTGACATTGCGAAGGAGGATCGATCAAAGTTAGTAATCCAATAAAGAATGCTTAGACTCTTTGATATTAAAAGGCTCTGTCTTTATAATTTTTTTGATTGATTTTTTAAAAACTACTTGTTAGGCTGATATCTGAAGCTGTACAAAAGATGAAGGGGAAGATCCCAGAGATTGCACGTTCAAGTGTTTCTTCCCGTGTGCTTCAGGTGTGTGTTTCTAAGGCTGACAAATCTCTGAGAATCTATATCTTAACAAATAGTTGACTGTATTGGTTTCTTATGTTATGTAGACTTGTGTCAAGTATTGCTCACAAGCTGAAAAGGAAGCTGTGTTCAATGAGCTCCAGCCGCGCTTTCTTGACCTGGCGTCTAAGAAATATGCTGTTCACGTGTTGACCAAGATGTTGGATGGAGGTACAGAACTTACTTCAAGACGAACCCTATGCTTGGTTTGGTTTATACATTCAGCTGATTTTTTAAGTGATTTTCTTATGCAGCGTCTAAGCCGCAGCGGGCAGTCTGTATATCCAGCCTCCGGGGACGCGTGGCTCGTCTCCTCCGTCACATGTCCGGATCTATTGGTATGTGGAGTAGTGATGTTTAAACATATATTGTATTGGACGACTCACTAACTCAAGTTAGTCCTGTTTCTTTAGAAGCTCACTTTCTCTTTGTTTCTTTAAACTTGTCCCGAAGTTGTGGAACATGCATACCAACTGGCGAATGCAGCACAGAAGCAAGAGCTCCTTGGTGCATTGTATTCTAAAGAGCTTCAGTTATTCAAGGGCTTGACCTCAGCTAACGAAAAAGGGTAAAATTTCAGCTTTCTTTTCTTCCTTGTCTTACTCTAGCACAAAGAAATAGAAATGCCAGATCTCTCCTACTTTTGTTTGCTTGATAGCGAGAGAGCTAGAAATTCCTTGGCTTTCATTGTTGCTATATTCAATGGTGATTTTGACAAACTCGATATTATTCTTTCAGGGTGGTAGACATCATTGCTAAGCGAGGACTGCATAAAGGCGCTGTGATCCGACGCATGACTGCCGCTATCCAACCGATTCTTGAGAAGGGAATTGTCGACCACTCTATCATACACAAAGTGCTGATTGAATACCTGACAATAGCTGATAAGGTATTTTTTAAAAATATGAATGGGAATGTTAAGGAGAACAAATTTGTTTGCATTACATTCTTCATATTTTTACTAAATGTTTGTTGTTTTTTTGGCAGGCGTCTGCTGCGCTTGTGATTGAGCAACTGACTGGCACCCTTCTTACGCGTATGGTTCATACCCGTGATGGTTCTAGGGTTGCTATGCTTTGTATCAAACATGGAAGCGCTAAGGTACAGATTCTCTGATTTTTATAGTATTAGTTATCCTTTTTCTTTTACTCGTAATCCAAGTGAATTACCTCTCATACTTAATCTACTTCATAAGGTTTACCAGTTTGAATCAATGCCTTTTCTTTTGAAGTGCATTATTTTTCTTTTAATAGTTGTATCTGGAGTTCGTGATGTTACCGTAGATATCAAAGATCTGACTGTGGAGATTTCCATAGTAACTTTAAATTGAACATCTGCTCATTCTCAATCATATTCGTTGCAGGATAGAAAGAAAATTATCAAAATAATGAAAGAGTATGTTCGAGAGATGGCTTCTGATCAGTTTGGAAGTATGGTAAGAGGACATTTAAGTCTTATCCTTGGAGTTTTGTTTCTATTGCCTTAGATTCGTTTTTCAGATAATCCCTTGTCTTATGTGTTCTCAGGTACTTGCATGTATCTTTACTATAGTTGATGACACAAAGCTAGTCACCAAGGTAATTTTCCTTGAGCCAGATTAAAGGTCGCTGGATTCTATACGTGAATGTTCTTATTCTTCTGAATCTTGTTCAACCTTGTGCAGATGTTTGTTCATGAGCTTATGGAAAAGGACACCTTAAAGGATCTTGTTATGGACAAGGTTTGTGTTCCTTATATACTGAAAAGCACACCACAATAACATTTAATATACTTTAGCCTCAGTTCTTCGTTCTGATAACATCCGACCTTTTGTCGGCTCCATTATATGGTCTAGACTTCTACTCTTTGCTTTCTTTAGGCCATTATATGACTAATAAGCTGAGTTCTTTCAGTGTTTAATTTCTCTCTTCACGCATGTCTTCGAAACTGTGTCTGCAGAATGGTAGGAAACCACTATTGCAGCTACTTCATCCAAATTCTTCACGTTATCTCAATCATGATGATTTGGCCTCTCTTGATCTGTCTGTTCCATCACTGTGCTCAATGGTATGATGATATAACCCCAACTATCTACCTAACCAAAATGCTAGATGTAAAACCTGTCTATCTTTACCATTCACTTTCAGGATAATTCTGAGACACCCTCCCAAACAAAGGACTCAGATGGTGAAGAATCTGGCGAGGAGGCGAAAGATGAACAAGAAGATATGGAAACTGAAAATACAGATATTGAAGAAAATATCAAAGTTGCAGTCAGTAAAAAAGATCCCCTTTTGAGAAGGCAGGAGTTGCTAGTCAAAAGTGGCCTAGCTGAGGTGTGTGTGTGATGTGGTGACTCGTTTCTCAGATTGTTGGTTGTTTTCTGATAAAATGTTACAACTTCTTTTGTCTTATTACCTCTCATGGAACATTCTTGATTTTGCTGGACAGATGCTTATTGATGTGTGTGTGGAGAACGCTGAGGAGTTCATCAAGTCAAACGTTGGCAAAGAGGTCATGTATGAGGTTGGTTTCTCGCATCTTTTTGTTTTAAAATGGTTTTAGTCCTGTTCTAAAAACGTTGGGAGCGAAACAAGTTCTTGTAGCAATCTGATAACCATTTAACTTATTGATACCAATCACACCATAGATGTCTCTACTCTCTGATCTCCCTTCCATAACAGAAATGCTACTTCTAATGTGATAACAAATACTAATTTGCAGTTGTCACATTCTGTATTGTCATGATTTTCTTGTTCTTATCTATTCTCCTCTTTTTTTTGGTATCAGGTTGCAGTTGGAGGCTTTGATGGTATTCTTTGCCCGTCTCTAAGCGAGAAGCTGAGTGAGCTGTACAAAGCCATTGCCTCTGTAGCAGCAAAGCCGAAACCGGAGAAATCAGAGAAGAATTCAGAGCACGTCCTGGAAGACTTTCAGTCAAGCCGAACCATAAGAAGGCTTGTTTTGGATTGCCCTGCTTTTGCATCCATTCTCTATAAAGAGGCCTTGTCTGGAAAATGTCGATCGTGGGCTCAAGGACACTGGTTAGCCTAATCACTCCTATCATCTTATCCATTTTATCTGCAAACAAGCATGTCCTTAAAATCTGAATATGTGCCTAATCTTCTTTGTTTTGTTTTCTCTCAGTTCAAAGATATTATCTGCTTTCCTAGAGACTCAAGATGTTCAAGTGCGTGAGATGGCCAAGGAAGAGCTCCAAGTGTTGGTGGACGAAGGTGCTCTGAAAATCTCAGAAACCAAGAAAGCCGAATGAAGCGGGCCGACATTCGACTCTGTTTTCTGAAGAGACTATAAAATACTTTTTGCGTTACAGAGACCACAAAGAACAGTTGCTAGAGTTTTGTCTTTGTGTTTATGGAAATTTTGTCCTTTCTGTTCTTCTATAGTTTATCTTCATGCAACTTTGAAAACCAATGTACTCAAACGCAATCTTTTAATTGCATATGTTTTAGTTGAAGTCATGTTTACTCATAGTTGGCTCGATTCTTATAATTCAACTTATTTTAGATCCTTTAGGGACTGATCCTTTATAGCCATGCACGTGAATGTGATCCATGTTTGCCATTTCAACGTTACGAGACGCCTAGTGACTTATTTGTGCAGTAGTACAATATTAGGCTGTCAAGAAGAACGATGACCATTACATGCCAATTTACAAAAAAAGAAAGAAACTCATAATAACTCAGCCCTGTACTCCATTCTCAACTTCTCTCTTCACAACATCTATTATTCTATCTAAATGTGTATATATCACATTTTTGTTGTTGGAGAAACTCAAAACACGTTGATATTTGGTATGTATATGCAATAGAGGTTAAAGAAGAGTTTATTAAATTAAGAAGGGTGAAAGAAGAGACAGAGAGCAGAGATATCATCCATGGCGATGCTTCTTCTCTTCCTACGCCAAAGCACCATGGCTCTCTCCACCAATTTCTTTGCGCTCTTTCTTCTCTCTTTCACTCCTCTTACTATCTCCACTGCTTCATCATTCGACATCACATCCCACATCTACATACATACTCATATATAAGTTATGTGTGTATTTATGAATCTTGATTTTGATTTTACATGTGAATAGATTGTGATATATTACCCCATCGGTGGCCAAGATGAGAAACTGGTCCTTGTCGGTTATCTTTCGGTATGTCACTTCAGGTACAGAGACCAAACCGAAGTCTTTAAGGCAGTAATCTCCGAATGCTCTTGAGACAGCTAAACCGAGCGTTCCTCCATTCGGCATACCAACCCGGTACACTCCCGGTTCATCGTCTAGGCAGAACAATCGTCCATCTGATTGTTTTATCCGTTCTGCCTCCTCTGTTTAACCAAGAATTATATCACATACCGATTGTTAGTTCATATTTTATCGAATCTTTTTCATATGAATAATTAAATAAAGGGATTTGAGAGGTATACCGGGAATGCTCGGTTTGAAGTCTACCGAGAGCTGAACCGGCACTAAACCGTTTCCATCATCAGAAGTTGTTGCTAGTACTGCTCGTGAGTCACCCGCGTTTGCTACAACAAGATGATCACCCTTCAAAAACCAAAAAACATTAAATTACTTAGCATCTTTTTAGATATAAATGTCAAATAATCGACAATTTTTTTTTAATATGAGATGTTAATATATATATGTTATGCTTTGTAATGAATAAATATGTATGGTTGCAAGAACATATGTATGTACCTGCAAGACGGCGGTGAGAGCGGTGCACCCGCTGCAATAAGAATCAATGGAAGGATGGATCTTGAGATCAAGATCGATGAGGGAGTATGTTTTCAGGCAAGCTTGCTTCCATAGATCAGACGGAGAGAAACATTCCGGCGACGATGATAAGGATGCAAGAGTTTGTTGCCATTGGCAAAGGAGAGCAGATGGGAATGACTTCTTTACTCTTTTGGCTATCACATGTCCCCATGGTCCATGTCCATCGAACATCCCACAGAATGTTATGTCTTCTTGGCACCCAAATCCCTATATTATTTGTATATAAATTCACATAATTAGTTTTAATAATTTTATTAACTAGATCATGATGCCACTCAAAACATGTATATTTTTGCCACTAATATATAGACATATTCATGGAAGGAAAAATTACCTAACATATAGTATTTATATAAAGTGTACCTCCCAAACAATGGCACGATCTTGGTTAATTCCTTTCTCACCTCTATTAGAACAAATAGAGGTAAATCTCTTTGAATTTTCGGAGTTAACAAATCCCGAAGTACCAAGCAAGGTTGAGTTCTTCTTTGAATCTTTCACCATCGATTTTGCGATCTCTCTCCCTCCATTTTCATCTTCCGATGTGTTTTTACTTTTCTTTGTCGACACACTTCTCGCCAACCCGTCCAAAAATGAAGGCAAAAGCACCATTTCTCTAATGCTCTTATATATAATATGATCCTACAAAATATACATGAACTTTATTTATAAGTTACAATTGTTCCGAATACTAATAAGTATCGAGATAGTTTAGGTATATATTAACACATGAATCTTGCATCTTTCTCAAGATGAGCAAGAACAAAAAAGAAGGAGACATAAAAAAGAAGAGAAAAATAGAAATCAGAGGATCAGGAAATTATTACCCTTTCTCCTTTGAATATTCTTGATCGGAGTTTCTCTGTTGAATATTTCTCCTTTTGATGGATTCACTACTTATAAGCTGCTGAATTGTCTCTATGACTCATCATCTTTTTCTTTCTCTCCTTTCCACTAGTCTAAACCTTTTATTTTATACATATACATATACACGTACAAATACATATACATTCTTTTTGCATGTAGACAAGGACACGTATGTGTTATGAATAAAGTTGACGGCATTTAGTTTTTAAAATATAGTTGAAGGTTATAAGTTATAACAAATGGCTATATATTTTTAGTTTTAGAAAAGGTTTATGTATAACGTATTTTCCATTGATAAACTAAGATGTAACATAAAACTTGAATATCTATAAATAAGTAAAAGAGTATAGAAACAGTAACAGACCACTTCGACATAAAAATTAGCATATACATAGAAGGCTAAAACTCGAGCGTCTCTGTTTATATGTCAAATATGTAAACTATAAAAGAGTTGTAAATATACGTTATATTTCTAGACTAACAAATGGTATGTGCATGTATGTATCTATAACATTAAACATATGCTTATTTATTAGTGTCAAAGGGTGTATTTTTAGACTTAGCGATGGTGTATACAACATGCATGTGTGTCTGTCAGTGTGTGTGTACAGGCTAATGCATTTGTTGGAAAAAAGATGGCTATGGAAGTGTTTGGCGAGTGAAAATGTCATTTCAACGCAATCATCAAACGCAAGAAAATGGAACTTTATTATTTTGGTTGTCAAATAGACAATAGTAACTCCAAAAAAAGCGTTACAACAACCACAGTGAATAACCAATCAAAGACTCTTTTTATGTTTTCACGATAAATAATCAAGTTTAAGACCGACAAAGGCATAAACTATAGCTGGTTAATACCTCATTATGATAGAGATGCATACACTAAATAATACAAAAATGTTTAGATTGAATGTGGATGTGGAAGAAAATCAATAAACTAATGGATGTGGTGGAAATATAAAACGATATCATGTGGGGTTTGTTAAACAATAAGCACTTGTCGTAAAAAGTTGTGGCTGTGAGAGGCTCCCGAATCTAAAAGCTAATGGTAAGTGCCTTTGATCCGAAACAACTCTTATCTTTAAAGTTATTATTTTATTACACCGTTTCTTCTTATTTCGAACTGATTCTTTTACACCTTAGTCAGATGATACGTTCCTATCACCTGAAAATGTATTACCACAAAAAACGACATACAATTGTTTTTTTTTTTTTTGGTTTTAAACAACATACTGTTGTTATGATATACTTTCTCCGTTTTAAATTAGTTGTCGTTTTGGAAAAATGTATTTGCAATTATTTGGATGAATTTGGATGTATTTTGAATTTAATACATCCAAAAAATTGCAAATACATTTTCTCAAAACGACAAGTAATTTAAAACGGAGGAAGTATAATATATATATATATATATATGTACATCAGTACATACATAGACAAATACAATAATTTTCAAGATAAAATATGGAGACGTTGAATATTAGCATAGCTCTTCGTCAAAAGAAATATTTTCTATACAACCAAGTTTTCATGCTGCAATGGCCTTTAGCTTTAAAAATTAGAAAAAAATTACTATAAGCAAGTTATGCATAATAGTAAGATTATTGCAAACATTTTTGTAAGAAAAGAGTATATTTTCCTTTACTCAAATGAAATGGAGAATTTGTTCCAATACATATATATGCAATAAAGACATGCGTTCCCATCAAACTGCTACGTAGTTACGCGTGTATATGGGGCTTTAAATCATCTTTTACTTTTCTTTTCCTTGAAAGTTATTAATCAACTTTATACATGTATATATATATGATCTGTGCCTAAATGTATAGATGTGCCTAGCTAGTGCATATGTTAGATTTTATAAAGGTCCACTTGGCTAGATTTCTTAGGTAATCCATAGATATCAGCACTTACGACTTTAAATTTAAATTTAGTCCTGAATAATTATTGAGAGTGCGGACTTAATTAGGTGGGTTGGTAATAATATTGTAGTGAAAGAAAATTATAAATAGGGAAAGAGATAATATAGATTATTTTGCACTATGGAATATGCTAAATGCATGGTCATAATGTAGCAAACATTCTTTTTTGTTGCTAATAAACAATGTAGCAAACTACCAAACCAAATCTAATTCTTATTCGATTAATTCCGTTTTGTTTCCAATGCGGATTTGAATTCGGATGATAACATAACATTTCTTGATCATTTCACCAAAGTTATTGATTTAAATAACTAGCAAACTAACAAACCAAATCTAGATTAGTCCACATACAATTATAATCCACACAAACGATCACCAAATCCTCCACATGGTATTTTATTACTTTTCATCATTGAATTTTCTTCTTTTGTAAGTTAGAGACGTGACACACCAAATAGAAACAAACAGTGGGAACAATATATAACACAACAAGGAGATGCAAGTGGCAAAGATGGAGTCGTTTGATTCAGAGGCAAGCAACAAAAGACACAAACTCAATGCCACATGGCCCCTCGTGGATCTCGACCCCGACATTATATTATTCAGTCTTCTTTTGCATAATTACAAAGCATATATGAATATATATGTGGGTGACAAATTTTAGGCCAGGTATATCATAGTATTACTATATTTAACTTAATAAAAAAAAAACGTTCTTTTTTGTTCTTTCTTACCTCAGAAGAGAGCAAAAATGGCTTCTCTTCTGAGTTTCCCGCCTGTTTCCAACATCATATCCCTATACAGACATCTTTACTTCTTTCCCATAAACATATATGAGATTGAAATGGTTAAAGATAGTTTTTTTTTCTTTTGTTCGTGTAGAGATGAATCAGCGATCAAGAATAAAGGGTATGAATGGTCTCAATGGAAGACTTGAGAGGAGGCGTAGTATTCACTCTCGTTGAAGACAGGTCTAAGATCTTCTTTGCACATGAAATCTAAAGGGAAAGAGACGAGATGTCCCCTTACCGACTTTAGTCTGTCCATAGGATCGCTTCTCTTGATGTCTCCATTGTGGTAAGACTCCAGCTTCTCTGGTGCTATTCCCAAGTCGATCGTTGTGTGTCCCAGTTTCTCCTTCCAATACGCTAGGCTTTGTCTGAACGCCATTCTGCAAATTATATCCAAGTGATATATATCATCATCATCCAAAATCTTTTGGCTTGGCCAAAACTGGAAAAAGAAAAGCTAAACCGGAATTGTACCTTGAGTGGATGAGATCATTGGGCACGCAAGAGAAGACATCCTGATATATCATTGTGTTTGTCTGTATTGGGATATATAAAGATCAACGGGTTATATCTTGGCTGTGAAATTAAAAAAAAAAGGCTCAATATGTGATCGTGTGTCTAACCTTTGCGGTTGCCATCCATATCTCCCTGTAGGTTGAATCAGAGACTGGATCGATTATCTGATCAATCTGTAAACAAATAACCAAAGATCAAAAATTTGAAAGAAAAATAAAAAATGGCGCGGGAAGCATTTATAGACCCTCTTCAACATACTGGGGAGGTTTAGATCATCTTTCATCATAAGGTAGGTGCAAGATAAGTTTCTAAGAATAGTTTCCATGGCTTTTCAAGTTTAAAATATATACTGAAATCTCTTAGCTTCGTTGATACTACTTAGTTTAAAGATCAATGATCATCATACCACACAGAGAAGCAATTTAAGGATATGGTATAAACCTCTCCACTACGAAGTCCCAGGTGTTCAGACCACAGAGAGAGCCTAAGGCTTAAAGCAAACTTTCCAGCCTTCCATGGTTTTCCTGCCATGCGCGAATCTACCAACTCTTTGTCTTCGATTAGTACTCCAATCTGATATAAAGCATACAAGCATGTTAGGCTTCTTAATGTTCAGCATATACACAGTTAATAAGAAAATCATATTCAGCATACTTTGAATTAATAGTATAAACCACCAGTATAACATGTTGAGGCACCAATACTTAACAAAAAAAACCGTTTTCACATGAACTACTTTCGTTCTTCTAGCTTTCCTACTCTTTTTTTCTAACATAATCGCCAAATATACAATAGGCTTGAAATCGATGCATAACACACAAAAAGACGTGAGTGTAAGATATGACCTCAGAATCCCTTGAGCCAAGCAAACTCCTGTCGTTGATATTGGCAGATCCAACCAATGCTGCACGGTCATCAACTATCATGATTTTACTGTGAACATACACCTGCATGAAGAGAAAGATATAGCATTCACATTTTCAGTACGCTACTTTTAAACAGCTGACATCCTACGTAGGGTGCTGTGATCACTAAAAAGGTAACAATTCGTAAATCTAGCCCATGGATGATCAAGATGTTACCTGACTAGTGGCGACAGGTCCATCTTCAGAAAGTTTACCATACGCCCTAAGGCCGTAGAAGGATATATACTCATGAGCCTTCGGACCAATAGTATTGTAAAGATTTTTCAATATTGAATTCTGTCCTCTGTACATGGTTCGATACTGCCAATGCATTATGGCTCTTACAGATGCTGCACCGCTGTCGTCAATACCTCCCTGCCAGGCACATAACTCAGTTAAAGGCATACCAGGGATTGGTTCTTTTGAAAAGGAATACTGTGTTCTAAACGAAAAACTAACCTGGAACCCTGGGAGGAGAGGTATAACAACAACAACCCTGAAACTTTTCTTCTCGTTATGGGCACGCAAAATCCTCTTGTACAACGCTTCTAAGACACGGTTCTTTATTGTGTCATCTCCAGAAAGACCTGATATGAAAAACTGGTTCTGTGGATACATTGCACAACATGCAAACAGAGTCAGAAAAATGGAAGACATTTGAACATATGGCCACCACTAGGTTTCAAGAACGAAACTCCTTGTATTATGTGAAATAGGATGCATAAATAATTTGCAAGGTGGATTTGGGCAAGAGCAAGAGAAAACAGGACTATTACTTAAAGCTACATAACTTTGTCCAGGTTAATCATTGGTTGACCAAAGAAAGCTGCAGGATCTCCAGAAAATATCCTAAGGCTAAGAATGAATTATAGTGGTGCATAATCAAAAGCAGGAGAGACATAAAAATGCCTATTATTTGACGGACTAGCTCAAATTACCAGCACAACAGAACTTTACAAGTTTCTCTCAGTTCGGAAAAGGATGGCAGGTCGTTTCAACGAAACTCTATATGATGCTATCAAATTTTAATTCTATGAAGAAAATATTATTATGGAAAATACCTCAATGTAGATGAAATGTTCAGCTTTATCAATGAGAGAACGGTAAGCAGAATGGATACTCTCTTCAACTTGACATGTTCCAGCAGACCATTGACTGACACTTCGTATAATCTGAAAATAGGTTTAATCAGTGCTAAATGTTGAAGGGAAATTCTGATTTTTCTGATCACGAGAAAATTTCAAAGCTAACATATTACTGGTATATATCAACTTCCAGAACACCCACCTGACAGCGGCATGAAGTTCTCGGACCGACTTGCCCAGTCTCCTCTGGTGACCCTGCCTGATAACCATGTTCTGGTGTCTCCCACCACTCTGAATCTATTTCACTAGAAGAACGACGCTTTGCTACTGGAAGATCTAGCACATTACGATCATCTACGAAACCCCTCATAGGAGTATCTCCATCAACTGGTTCAATTTTGGATTTCCGGAAAGAGAAAGGACCATTTCTATTGTTTACCCCATTGGCTTTATGATCCCCACTCGAACCATCTTCATCAACAGGCTCGTGAGGCAGAAGTAATGGAATGTCCTGCAAAGATGATCTAGATGAAAATGAGTCGTCTCTTCTAATCCCATTAATGCTGTTT